AAGGGTCACCAGCATTAACTTCTTGAACTCTAAAGCTTTCCAATATGCAATAAATTTATTTGGTATCCCTTTCAGTTAAGCTTAATAAAAAACAAGCGATTGCGCTTTACAGAAAGTATTAAAAGTGTTATGGCACAACAACTTCATAAAGGTATTACAGCAAATAAAAATGTAAGAGGAATTCAGCCGTAAGAACTTAAGGAATCCGAACGACAAAACATTTTGGAAATAGCATGGCCGCTCATGTACTTACCTGCAATCTTGGTGTCCACAAGCATTGGAAAATTAAAGATTGATCCTGGTTTGTAGAAAGCAATTATTCTAACCACCAGTTGTTGTCTCAGTTATATTCAAGAATGTTCCAGTCATATTGCTTACAGTTTTACTATAAAAGCATCCTGCTCGGTATAGACAGTGTTGTGTGAAAATTGTAAATGCTGTGAAACTACCAGTCAAATGACTAGCAGTTATTGAAATAAATCATAAAGCAAAACTACAAATACCTATTGGAATTTAAACTGTAATTCTGAAACTCAGTAAGTTGTTCAAATGCAACACACTATGTTTGCAACAGAACGATTCGTTTGATATTTGACTGTTTAAATTTTGAATTGACTGTAATGCTGTTTACTTAACGTCCAGTTGCAAAAAATTCTGGGATACTCAGGACAAAATGTCTGTTATTTAGAACACATTTCTGACGTTTATTATAGTATAGTCCTATGAGAAACTACAATGCTTCTCTTGTTGTCAACTTATTCCTTCATTCGTATGAGACAGTCTTCATACATGCGTCTTAGAATAATAAAGGTTACCATTATCCTTTAACTTTTCCTTTCGCTAGAAAGATAATGTCCGATAACGTAATGTCTTTTGTACCAAATAATAAGCCTGGTATCTTTGACAAGGTTTTACAATAGTTGGGTCGATGTTACTGCTGGTGGACGTTTCATCCGCGGGGGTATCACCATTCCAGTAGTCAACACTTTTGTATTGACATGAAATATCATTGATATGTTCATTTTCTATAAATTTGATTTTCTTTTCCCAGGAACCGGTTACCTTAACCGTATTTGGCACAACTTTTTGGTTTTAATGCTCTTCAACTTCGTATTTGGTTTGGCCTTCCAACTGTTTTGATTCGAGTGCCACTGATGAATCTGATGTAGACGAACCGATGAACTTTTTATAAGGCATCATCATTACGTCAGTTCCTGCTGAAGGAGTATATAATTCCAAATTGCACGATTTTCAAGGGCTGGCGTTTTCTATCCGAATTTTATTGATTAAGGGATGGTGCTTATAAGGAAGCTATTGAACCAATGACACATGATGATAAATTTGATTTCATCTCATCGACAATTTCACGGACGCCTTCAAACGTGTTTGACCGTATTGGATATAAGTGATATAGATGACCATGAAAATGTTACACTTGTAGCAACGATCCTGCTATCTTTTTTTTCGATTGTTACATTACCCGAATTCTTCTTGTCGTGGGCTCTCACGGGCAATTCCTTTTATATTGGACATGTATAGGAACTGTTTATGCTTCCGCAGTACTGTTGTTTATCCAAAGTGTTTTGTTGGGGTTTATGTTACCAATTTCCTATCTTCTTTGTTAAATGTTGTTAGTATGTTCATCGTTTCTCCTTCATGGTGCTGCCTTTCTTCGACATTTGGACTTTGGCTATCGCTTAGTATTTTCTTACTTTTTTCTAAACAATTATTTGATAGATCGTTGATTTTTGCGCATTACAAAGAAAGACTGACCAATTATACATATTGTCAAAGAAAAAAATATTCGAAAACCACAATAACAAATTTTAAGAGGTGAATTCTAACTGGGATACCACGGCGAGATGGAGAAAACACTCAAGTGTCTATATTAGTTACAAAGTTGAATGCCGGTGTTCAATAGAATTCTCACAAGTCCAGGTGTATAACAGACAAACATGGATGTAAAATCAATCGGTACCACAAAAACTCTGTGGGGAGTGATACTAAGTAGCATGCTATATGGATGCACCATCCTTCAAACGTTTTACAGTCACATCCAGTTGTTATTGTAACAGGTAGGAATATGAAAAACCGAAAACTGCGTCAAATTGTAGACATGTATCTATGACAGAGTTAAAATGTCAATATAGACAATAAAAGAGACAAGAAACGTTTCACGAAAGAAGTTGATACTGTGACATTCACACTTCTGGTCAGGTGAGGTAAAAAGAGTAAAAACATTGAAATGTCATGCTTGCTTTACTGATTATGAATGATTTTTTTTTGTTACAAGTTTTTAAGATCATGTTCTTTCTATATGTATTACATATACATTGCAATATCAATGATCTTACAAAATGTCAGATTACCCTCTCTGAAGCACGTATAAACATTATGACCGTGTTATACACCTAAATTAGTTGACCTGTGACTTTTAGTATCCGAGAAGGTCAGTGTTGTGAATGTGCACTGGTGGTTCCCAAGTACTAGTTTAATGTCAGTTTTATATTTTGAGAGTTTAAAATATGATATTATGTATTTATTTATAGTTTCTGTTACTTTCAAGCGTACAAAAAGCGTACGTTTCACTTTTAGTTATTAACTGTATTATCAATGTCAAAAATGGCGCAATTTCGTCATGCACTGTTCAAAGCGCAGCCATTTGGTAAATATTCTAAGTATGGATCCAAAACTACACAAGAAGCATTAGCTAAAATAAATATATGCTTTATCTTAATAGATTTTCTTATTTTCTTACGAAGCAAGGATCATTTTGAGTCGAGGACTCCTATGTTTTCTGTCAGCTTTTGACGTTTCATTTCTGTTGCTGCTTAGAATATTTACTTCCGGTATTTTAAAAATAATTACCAGTGCAAGGGTCAAATTCGTCAGTCTTTGCTGTTTACACTTTGGCGAGTGCAAAGACCCCGGGTGGTTCCCTACTTAGAGGTAAGAAGCAGCGCAGATAGCTATATGCCTCGCATGGTCTAAATTATTTACCATACAAATATAGTTTGACATTTCCCTATCCTAGTTAAAACACATGCTATATTTATATTTAGATCAGCTCCGCATTTTTGTGCAAATTTACATGGCAGCTTAAAATAGAAGTATATCTTTTGAATACTTTCGAAATTACATGTTACATTATTTCGATAGTTTACTATGTACATTGTTTCATTGTGCCGTAATAAATATATTATTTTCTACAACGAATTATTCATTTACGCTACCAATATTTACCGTGGAGAACGTAGGCCTGATAAAGGACAGACAACACTTTAGTTATTATTCATTGTAGTTACATTTTTTAGAGTATCCGTCGTATATATATGATTATAACTAGACAAACATAGCAAGAAGCAGAAATTACGACAGTCCCAATAAAGAAAACTTAATGTTGACTATAATTAACATTGACAGTCATTGATAGCTAGAAGAACCCTGTCAGACATTAATACCTTACAATTATTCTATACGCCAAATAGTGCTGACCTTTTACTTATAGTAGTTGAGAAACTGATCTAACCATTAAAACTTTGTTGACCAATAAACCATAATAAGGAGACCAGGGTCAGGTGAACCCTGTCAGACAGACATGCACACTATACAGTCAATCATTTGATAAAGGACTTTCCGTTTTGAATTTTCCTTGGAGTTCGGTATTTTTGATATTTTACATCTTTTTCACCTAATATAATTCACATATTACTTATAGTTTCTGCGAATCGATTATAAAGCTTAACATTAGCTATTCGACAAAAAAAATGAGTTCAAGGTCGGATGAATCCGGTCAGATAGAAATATACACCTTACAGTTATTCTTTAAACCAAATATAGTTATATATATTACTAATAGTATCCCAGATACTGACCTTACTATGAAAATTACTCCTTGAATTAGGAATCATTTAAAAAGGTCAAGGTCAAATGACCCCTGCCAGAGACATACAAGGAATATATATACTTATTTATAGTTGACCTATTTAGCATAGTACCTGAAAAAATGACCTCTTCAGGACAGCTAAAAATTAACCACTAAACCGTGAAAATGAGGTCATGGTCGGATGAATCTGGTCATACAGACATGTCCACCATACAAGTACACAATAATTCTATATACCTGAAATACTTTACCAATTACTTATACATACTAGTATCTCCGAAATGGACCTAATGACCAAGATTTTATCATCATCACTAAAACATGAATTGAGGTCTAGGTCATGTCAACCTGTTTACCTTGCACTTTCACTAATAATAACTTCCTAAAAAATCATATGAAAAAAAAAACTGTAGTTGTAGGCAATCACTGAACTATGAAATTAAGGTCAAGGACACCAGGCAAGATGACAATTTGTATTTAAAAAATACAGTTGTCCTATCACTCATTATATCTTAAAAATAATCTTAAAAAATCTTGCAACAAAAATCTTTAAAAAAATTAGGCAGTCACTGAACTATCAAAAATGAGGTCAAAGATGACAAAAATATGCCAGACAGAAACAGTCTATTAGGCATTTGTATAAAACATATGGATTATCCACCTATTCTACCCCTGAAACATAAAGATCTTTACAACTAGTTCACAGCCTTGCTACCCCTGGGGGATTAGTATCCCAGTCTTGCAGTTTGCATTCTGAACATTTCTAATGAGTGAAAAAAGATAAACCTTTAAACTTTGAGCACATCTTCATAATACTGGAGCTATGAATCTCAATTCTGTATGATTTAGGTAATAAATATTCCTGTGAGATTTAGAAAATAAATATTCCTGTGAGATTTAGAAAATAAATATTCCTGTGAGATTTAGGAAATATATATTCCTGTGAGATTTAGGAAATATATATTCCTGTGAGATTTAGGAAATAAATATTCCTGCGAGATAATATATATTCCTGTGAGATTTAGGAAATAAATATTCCACAAAGATTAAGGAAATATATGTACACCTGTGTCTTCCATCTCAGTAACAGTGTCAGAAACAAAATAACTAAGTCTAATAAAACCATTTTCTTTATTAATCAACAAATTTGTTTCTCTGATTTAATAGCAAAGAAAAATAGATACAAGAAAAATATCGAGAATGAGGAAGTAGAGATTACAAAAATTATGAAATGAACAGTTCAGTAAGAAACTTTTTGACATTCCTCAGTAGATGTTGAACACAGTTTTTAATTTTACTGAAAACAACTGTTATGATACCATTTAGATAGACTCAAATTTCTTGCAAATTTTATTTGTCCAAGATTAGTAATTTCCCTTATGATTTGTTATATAATGAATCATATTATCCTGTACTTATGAAATGTTTGTTTAAAATGTGTATTGTTTTTACTGTTAAAAGTGAAACAGATGGTAAATATAGGTAGTCCTAAAAAAATACGGATTTCAGTACAGTTTAAGTCCTGTATCCAATCATATTGTTTAGAAATTTATTCTTTAAAAGAGTTAACATTTTTGCTTCATTGAAACATTTATTTCATGTCTGATTATGATATATGTTGTGGTTGTTTCTTGCAAAATTTTGCTGTCCTTTCCATTCACTGAATATAATGATTGATTGATTGGTGTTTAATGCCACTTTCAGCATTAATGGATATTTTGTGGCAGTCATTGTTTATTGGTGGAGGAAGCTGGAGTGCCCAAAGAGAACCACAAACCTTCAGTAGGAAAACTGACAATCCTAGTCAATTAAGATTGGAGTCAAATGCACCTGCTACATGTGGGATTCAAATGCTGACTTTGAAAAGGTATCAAATCAGATGTTTCTAAAAAAAACAAAGATAGTTTGATTTGGAAAAAGAATTTTGATTGGATGTACATTGACACAAAAAGACTTTCAATTCTTTACAAATACAAGAAAAAATTCTTGATTTAAAAAACTATATTACAAACTTTGAAATTACAACCTCTTATAACTACATTGGCATATCCTACAACAAATTGTCCCTGAGTAGTTTCTTATTGATGTAATCATAAGTACATGCAAAATGAAACAAATCAATAGAACTGATAACTGAAAGATAAATGTTTTGACAAAGTAAATTAATGACCCACTATCACCACTGGCAGTGTTCTCCCTATAAAGGAGTATTTCAATAAGGCTCCCATACAGCCCCCTATTACTAGCTAAAATTTCAAATAAGGATTTATTGACCATTTCTTAAATAAATAATAGTTAAAACAATTACTAGTTAGGAAATACATGTAAGTCTGTTTGTTGAAAAATTAGGAATCAGCGTTCTTTTCAAGCCATCACAAATAGCACAACTTTTGATGGTTTACAAAATTAAATAAAAACCAAGTCAATCTCCATTGGTTTTTAGGACTGGAAACATACAGGCATATGTCAAAAAAAAGTTTTGACATAATGTTTTATTCATCAAATTACATATCTGACTGGAATATTTAATTTGTTGAACCCTGTGCTCTATGTTACCTACACATCAATGTGGTTGAAATCCAGAATATTTTGTCACTTTTCACCATAATCTCTATTTTTGCCCTATTTGTGGTGTAAATGTCAATGCTTTATATAAAGTAAAGATCAACTAAAATAATTCCCATTAATTTGCATACATGTCTATTAGTCAACTTGAACTACTTTTTAACTTAAAACAATGGTCTTAATCTATAAGATTACAAAAAGTTGATGTACAGAAATGTCTCATCTTCCCAATGAATTATGACTAAATAATATGTTGAAATTCTATGATTGATTGATTGATTGATTGGTTGGTGTTTAACACCACTTTCAGCACTATTTTGCTATTTGGTGGTGGTCAGTTTTCATTGGTTGAAGATGCCAGAGTGCCCAGAGAGAACCTTGACCTGATCGGAGGAAAACTGACAATCCTAGTCAATTAATATGTGCGGGATTCGAAATCACAACCTCAGTGTTGACAGGCTAGTGAAACAGTAGTACAACTACTTAGACCACTCAGTTACAGAGACCTTGAAATTCTATGATATAATGTTAAACTTCAATTAACAAAAAAAGAATCAACCATTGCAATCATATATACAGATATTAGATACTAAGTTTAACAAATACAGTAATTCAGAACTGACCTAATCAATAAAATTCATAGTGAATCAATGAATCATGAACATGAGGTCATGGTAAGGATGCTCCTGTCAGGTTCAATTAACACTTTGCAATGATTTTAAAGATTAACTTCAGTTGACCTTTTAGTTACCAATAGATTTACTTATTGGTTGTCCTAAGCCCAAAGCAGATTGTGGCCAATGAACCATGAAAATTAGTTCAAGGTCAGATAAACATATACATTTGCCCTATCATTTACATGATCTAGGAAACTGATGCAAGTAAAAAGCTAGATATTCACTTAAACAAGTTATTCAAATATGAAATTACTGACATATGCCAGACTGAAACGACCAAAAGTCATCTACAAACAAGATATAAATTGTTCTCCTTCTTTGATATTAATTATACAAATAGTCAACACAGCTGCTATATTAACAACATATGTCTTGCCTAAAGCCACAAGTGTTGTAGTTGAAACAAAAAAAATGATAAATCCGAAATTTATAAAAAACGAAAGGGACCTCACGTCAATAGATATAAACAATTCACCAAAGTTTCATGCATATTGGTTAAAGCGTTTTTGAATTAATGTCTGACATGTTGACGACAGACAGACGGATGGACAGAAGGTCAACGATAATATAATACGTCCCATAAACGGGCGTATAAAAACCAAGTGAAACTGCGAGCTTCTGCTCCCTGATGATACCCCCGCCCAAATATTTCGGTAAACAGGAAGTTGTTGAGTGATGAATCTGAAAACGCATCACACCGTACAGATGACTTATATAAACCCTGAAACCAAATTTCAAAAATCCTTGTATTGTAGTTCCTGGGGAAAATGTGACGAAAATTTTCAACTTGGCTATCATGTGTAAAATGATACAAGTGTACGGTTAACAGGAAGTTGTTGAGTAATGAATCTGAAAACGCATCACACAGTATAGCTGACTTATATAAACCCTGAAACCAAATTTCAGAAATGTAGTTCCTGAGAAAGATGCAACGAAAATATTCATGGGACGGACGGACAAACGGACTGACGGATGGATGAATAAGACAGAGGTAAAACAGTATACCCCCACTTTTTTAAAGCGGCGGTATAATTACTAGTTGTGTGAATTTCAGTAAAAGGAATGTGTGCTGCCAAAAGGACAAAATACAACTTGTGACATAACCATATCAAAATGTGAACAGTATGGTATAAAATGATATAAATAATAGATTTATAAAACTTCATGCATAATACACATTCATTATAAAAATACACAACTTCAAAGGAACAAAGTCTTTTCAACTCTTTGGTCCATTAATTCTTAACTGTATGCTGTAAGAGACTCAGAGTGAAGTGAAAAATACAGTAAACAATAACAAAGGATTTAAATGAATTAAAATACTAATTGGATATATTGCTGTTAAATCTAATCTTTTTTTACCCTAATTTGAGAAACTAATTCCCTCCCATAAAGATTGTATACCTAATTTAAGGATGTTCTCTAGTCTTGATTTTGACTTTTTGTCAGATATTCGGAATTCTCTGGTTTTATCCAAGTGGTGCCATTAACAAATTTTGCCCGCTAACCACTACTTTCCTGTTCATAATTTTATTACATATAGTTTTTAAAAAGGCATTATTATTTTGAAACAGAGTAGCAAACATCCTTAAGAATACATTTCTTCAGTGTAAAGTCTACAACCAACCTATAACCTACATCACCCTGATTAAATATAAATTTGCCACATAATTTACTGTTAATTATAAAAAGATCACAGTCATCAATTAATCTATTGTAAAAATCCTAAACTGTCATCAGATCACGATTTTTCAGCTTGAATATATGCTTGTGCATTCTGTACAGCCAGTTGTGCGGCATGATCAAAGCCATCAGCAACTTGTATGTCTAAATCACTTTCTTTCATTATCTTCCTAGCAGCCTCTACATTTCTACCTGAAATTGAAAATATAAATCTAAATCATAACTAGGCAGAACCAAATAGATTAGTCACCAATAATGGTGTAAAAAATTATTTTGTAGTAGTTCTTTACTGATAAATCTTTAAATAACAGGCAGACAGATACCTGAAAAAGTCCCTATAACAGGTGACAAGTGTAGAATCTAGTGAAAACACTTGCACATTATAAATAAATAAAAGCAAATGTTTGACTCATGAAAAATTACTTTTTTCTACATAATTTAATAAAAAATTTAATTATAAATCGTTTTAAATCGGAATCGGTGAATGTCTTTGCTGAAAAATTATTAGATAATGAAGTTACTTGTCATAGAATAGAATTTCTTTATAATATTACTTAAGCGAGGGTTTTTTAATTTGTTAGATAACAGATCCGCCGACCAAATTTTTCTAATTTTCAGAAAAAAAAATAAAATTGACATTTTATGCTTTTTTATTTCCGCCGATCCTAACAAGTACATTATTCCTGAAATATAAATAAAAATACCTACTTAGCAGCTTTTTCATGAAATAAAATGCATTAAACATTGACAGAAATAATTACCAATTGTGTTCTAATATAATAAAAATCAAAAAATAATCCAGTTTCTAAAAATAGACACTTTAAATGTTGATTGCGCAAATAATTTCATTTCAGTCATACAGGTTTTAGTTTAGGTAATGTCTGACAAATATCACATTTTCTGGACCCTTGACAGGTAAACATTGGTACTAAAGTGACATAAGGTATACATTTCTATATAGTTGAAGACTGTATGTTGAAATCTAGGTGTCTTTGAGCTTAATTGTGTCATTGGATGATTTTTTCCATGGAACCCTGTGACTAGACTGTGATTGCTTCTGTCAGTGTAAAAGTGTAATGTTGTCTGTAAAAAGTCAGTTCATTTATCAGTAAAGTACTGAGATTATTTGAAAAAATAAAACTTTTAGATGCTATTTCTTGATCTAGAAGATCAGCTTCTGTCAAATTTCATAACAATCAATGAAGGTGTATAAATTCTTTTTGTCAAAAAAGTATAATCCCATACTGTATGTAAATGCTAATTGCAAAAAACTAAAATCATCCATCAATACAATACTGAATAAAATGCTTCGCTGGGCGCAGCTTGATACGACCGCAGAGGTCGAACCCTGAACAGTTGGGGCAAGTATGGACACAACATTCAAGCTTGATACAGCTCTGAATTTGGATTGTGATTAAATATTTGACACAGCATAGGTTTCTGACACAGAAAGAATGTGGTCTAAGAATTTCAATTTTTTTAATTTACCTATTATGGTCCAATGCCCAAAATCAAAATACATGGTTAGATTCAGCATATCAAAGAACCCCATATATTCAATTTTTGTTGAAATCAAACAAAGTTTAATTTTGGACCCCAACTTGGACAAACTTGAAAACTGGTCCCATAATCAAAAATCTAAACACATGTTTAGATTCAGCATATCAAAGTACCCCAAGAATTCAATTTTTGTTAAAATCAAACTAAGTTTAATTTTGGACCCTTTGGACCTTAATGTAGACCAATTTAAAAAACGGGACCCAAAATTAAAAATCTAAAAACACGGTTAGATTTGGCATATCAAAGAACCCCAATAATTCAATTTTTGATGAAATCAAACAAAGTTTAATTTTGGACTCTTTTGACCTCAATATGAACCAATTTGATAGCGGGTCCACAAAATAAAAAATCTAAATACATGGTAAGATTCAGCATATCAAAGAACCCCATATATTCAATTTTTGTTGAAATCAAACAAAGTTTAATTTTGGACCCCAATTTGGACCAACTTGAAAACTGGGCCAAAAATCTAAAATCTAAATACATGTTTAGATTCAGCATATCAAAGAACCCCATATATTCAATTTTTGTTGAAATCAAACAAAGTTTAATTTTGGACCCCAACTTGGACAAACTTGAAAACTGGTCCCATAATCAAAAATCTAAACACATGCTTAGATTCAGCATATCAAAGAACCCCAAAAATTCAATTTTTGTTAAAATCAAACTAAGTTTAATTTTGGACCTTAATGTAGACCAATTTAAAAAACGGGACCCAAAATTAAAAATCTAAATACACGGTTAGATTTGGCATATCAAAGAACCCCAATAATTCAATTTTTGATGAAATCAAACAAAGTTTAATTTTGGACCCTTTTGACCTCAATATGAACCAATTTGATAGCGGGCCCACAAATAAAAAATCTAAATACATGGTAAGATTCAGCATATCAAAGAACCCCATATATTCAATTTTTGTTGAAATCAAACAAAGTTTAATTTTGGACCCCAATTTGGACCAACTTGAAAACTGGGCCAAAAATCTAAAATCTAAATACATGTTTAGATTCAGCATATCAAAGAACCCCATATATTCAATTTTTGTTGAAATCAAACAAAGTTTAATTTTGGACCCCAACTTGGACCAACTTGAAAACTGGGCCCATAATCAAAAATCTAAACACATGTTTAGATTCAGCATATCAAAGAACCCCAAGAATTCAATTTTTGTTAAAATCAAACTAAGTTTAATTTTGGACCCTTTTGACCTTAATGTAGACCAATTTAAAAACGGGACCCAAAATTAAAAATCTAAATACACGGTTAGATTCAGCATATCAAAGAACCCCATATATTCAATTTTTGATGAAATCAAACAAACTTTAATTTTGGACCCTTTTGACCTCAATATGAACCAATTTGATAGCGGGTCCACAAATAAAAAATCTAAATACATGGTTAGATTCAGCATATCAAAGAACCCCAAGAATTCAATTTTTGATGAAATCAAACAAAGTTTAATTTTGGACCCTTTTGACCTCAATGTGGACAAAGTTGATAATGGGGCCCAAAAATCAAAAATCTAAATACATGGTTAGATTCAGCATATCAAAGAACCACATATATTCAATTTTTGTTGAAATCAAACAAAGTTTAATTTTGGACCCCGATTTGGACCAACTTGAAAACTGGGCCCATAATCAAAAATCTAAATACATGTTTAGATTCAGCATATCAAAGAACCCTAAATATTCAATTTTTGTTAAAATCAAACTAAGTTTAATTTTGGACCCTTTTGACCTTAATGTAGACCAATTTGAAAACGGAACCAAAAATTAAGAATCTAAATACACGTTAGATTCGGCATATCAAAGAACCCCAATAATTCAATTTTTGATGAAATCAAACAAAGTTAAATTTTGGACCCTTTGGACCTCAATGTGGACCAATTTAAAAACGGGGCCCAAAATCCAAAAACTTAATACTTGGTTAGATTCAGCATATTAAAGAACCCCAAGAATTTAAGAATAAAACCCCATTGAAATTGATCAAGAAATAAGCAATTTATACGAAGTATCTTCTTTTGCACAATACTGTGCAATTGAATATTTCTTGCTATTGTGCAATACTGTACAATTGACAATTTCTTGCTATTGCGCAATATTGTGCTATTGGATATTTCTTGCTATTGCGCAATACTGTGCAATTGAAGATTTCTTGCTATTGCGCAATACTGTGCAATTGAAGATTTCTTGCAATTGTGCAATACTGTGCAATTGAAAATTTCTTGCTATTGCACAATACTTATTATATAATAATTTACACATCCTGTTTGGTGTGTATCTCCTACCATATCATTATTATTTGCTTTTAAATATTAATCAGAAATAACCAACTTAAAATGGTAAATTTTAAAAGAAAAAAAAAAAGGAAAAAAAGAAAAAAAAAAATCCCCCCCCCCCAAATTTTTTGAACCCCCTTATGATTCATCACCCCCAAACTCAATCCCAGCCTTCCCTTTGTGGTATGGTACCTTGCAGTACAATTTCAGAGAGATCCATACACTTGAACACAAGTTATTGTCAGGAAACTAGAAAAATGCTTATTTTTGGCCCCTTTTTGGCCCCCTATTCCTAAACATTTCGGGCAATTACCCACAAACTCAATTCCAGCTTTCCCTTTGTGATATGGAACCTTGTAGTACAATTTCAGAAATATCCAAACACTTACACACAAGTTATTGTCATGAAACTAGAAAAATGCTTGTTTTTTGCCCCTTTTTTGGCCCCTAATTCCTAAAATTTTGAGGCAATTACCCCCAAAATCAATAACAGCCTTCCCTTTGTGATATGGAACCTTGTGGTACAATGTCAGAGAGATCCATACACTTACACACAAGTTATTGTCTGGAAGTTACAAAAATGCTTATTTTTGGCCCCTTTTTGGCCCCTAATTCCTTAACTGTTGGTACCATAACCCCCAAAATCAATCCCAACCTTCCTTTCGTGGTATTGAACCTTATGGTAAAATTTCATGGAGATCCAAAAAATTTTCAATTTTTGCGGTCGTATAAAAAGGAAAAAAAAATTATTTTCAAAATTTGGCTTGAGACATTATCTCTTAATCATAAACAATCTTCTGCCAAAAGTTCATAAATTCTATGAAGGTTTGACAAAATAATTGATGGCTAACTCACTTTACTAGATTTTTGTATCTAGAAGTACAAATACTATGAACTAAAACTGTCACAAAATATATTTCAATTACAGGGATAACATTCATACCTTCAAGTCTGACAACCAGTGGCAACTGTAGATTTATCTTTTTACAGGCTTCGACAATACCTTTGGCTACAGTAGCACAATCAACAATGCCACCAAAAACATTGACTAGAATTGTTTTTACCTGGAAAATAAATAATTCATTGTGAAGCACACAGTAGATATTTGATTTTTCATAATATTAATACCACCAAAAATACTTGGTGTGATGGAAGATTACCATGTGATAAAAAATTATTTATTCAAAACTGTGAATATAATTTTATTTTTGGGTTATTAATTTTTGTGCAAATTTACTATATGCTTGTATGTACACTTTGGCAAAACTATGAAATTACACGTTTTCCTCAATCTACGAAAATGAATGAATCCACAGTATACAGAATGTATTGTAAACTTAAATTTAAATGACTATGACTTTCAAATTTTGATAAACATTCAAATTTAACTACTGAAAAAGCTAAAGCTTTATATATCATATTGGATACTTTATTCTAATATCAGATCTGTGATACAATATTGACCTAGTTTCGTATTGAAAAGTGAATGAAAGTTCTGTTTTGCTTCAATAGAATTCATTGAAAATTAGCCCATGTTAAGTTATTAATGAAGGTTAAGGAACTATTTATTGCTTAAAACAATTGCATTATAGTAAAATTTCCTTTTGCAAGTTTCAAGGCTAAACAATTAGTATCTGCTAGTTTTATAACATACTGTGCTACTAGTAGGAACTGCAACTTACGTGAGCATCCCCTGTGAGAAGATGAAAAGCATCATGAACTTGCTGTTCTGATACACCCCCTCCAACATCCAGGAAGTTAGCAGGTTCACCTCCATGTAATTTTATAATATCCATGGTAGCCATGGCAAGTCCAGCACCATTTACTACAAAATAAGCATGAAAATAAATAATGATATATAATAAGAGGCTTTTAAGAATCTCACCTGTCAAAAATGGAACTTGAAAATTAGTCATTTAAGGGCAAAAAGTCCTTTCAGGAGTCAACAGACAGTCATGTTGGCATTTTTCTTGATCAGTTTTGCTGTTTTCAGTTTCTACCTATATATTATAGTTTTTGAGATAATAGGCAAAAACTCATTAATTACTTAAAATTGTCATTAATGGACAATAACTACTATAAGAAGTCATTCAATTGTCTCGGTCATTCAGCATTTTTGTTGATCTTGTATAGCTGATTATTTTTGACGTTCACAGTTTCTACCTATTTATTATAGTTTTAAATATAATAGACAAAAATTTGTAAACTAGTCAAAAATCATCATTTAAGGACAATAACTTCTATAAGAAGTCATCTCTTAGTTTTTGTGTAAAATGATGGAGGTAGATCTTACCATATGGAACATTTTTCCCTGGTCAAATTTTCTCTATTTATTAAGGTTCTCAAGATATTAGACAAGACATACATTTTATCTTTACATTCTATTCTAAGTCACTGTGGCCATGTTGGTTTATTGGCAGGAACAAATATCACAACTTCATACTGGATATCCTTAGAATCATTTGATTAAAGTTTGGTTGAAATTGGTCTAGTGGTTTGAGAGAAGATTTTTGTAGAAGTTTACAACGACAATAGCAACATTAAGATGCCAAATGATGGCAATAGCTACAGTATCATGACCCTTCGGATAACAGGAATATGTATTCTTCTATCTCAAAGTATTACATTTGACTTGGCAATGAAAATGCAGTTGTAAAGGTTTTAATACATAGGTTATAGGCTTGAAATGGCATACAACATGTAGATACATTATGATAGGCATTTTATCACTGACAAATTATATATCAATTAAATATTGATAGGCATTATATCACAGAATAAAATGCTTCGCTGGGGCGCAGCTTGATACGACCGCAGAGGTCGAACCCTGAACAGTTGGGGCAAGTATGGACACAACATTCAAGCTTGATACAGCTCTGAATTTGGATTGTTATTAAATATTTGACACAGCATAGGTTTCTGACACAGAAAGAATGTGGTCTAAGAACTTGAATTTTTTTAATTTACCTATTATGGTCCAATGTCCAAAATCAAAATACATGGTTAGATTCAGCATATCAAAGAACCCCATATTTTCAATTTTTGTTGAAATCAAACAAAGTTTAATTTTGGACCCCAACTTGGACCAACTTGAAAACTGGGCCCATAATCAAAAATCTAAACACATGTTTAGATTCAGCATATCAAAGAACCCCAATAATTCAATTTTTGCTAAAATCAAACTAAGTTTAATTTTGGACCCTTTGGACCTTAATGTAGACCAATTTAAAAAATGGGACTTAAAATTAAAAATCTAAATACACGGTTAGATTTGGAATATCAAAGAACCCCAATAATTCAATTTTTGATGAAATCAAACAAAGTTTAATTTTGGACCCTTTTGACCTCAATATGAACCAATTTGATAGCGGGACCCACAAATAAAAAATCTAAATTCATGGTTAGATTCAGCATATCAAAGAACCCCATATATTCAATTTTTGTTGAAATCAAAAAAAGTTTAATTTTGGACCCCAACTTGGACCAACTTGAAAACTGGGCCCATAATCAAAAATCTAAACACATGTTTAGATTTAGCATATCAAAGAACCCTAAGAATTCAATTTTTGTTAAAATCAAACTAAGTTTAATTTTGGACCCTTTGGACCTCAATGAAGACCAATTTTAAAAAATGGGACCCAAATTAAAAATCCAAAAACACGGTTAGATTTGGCATATCAAAGAACCCCAATAATTCAATTTTTGATGAAATCAAACAAAGTTTAATTTTTGACCCTTTTGACCTCAATATGAACCAATTTGATAGCGGGGCCCACAAATAAAAAATCTAAATACATGGTTAGATTCAGCATAACAAAGAACCTCATATATTCAATTTTCGTTGAAATCAAACAAAGTTTAATTTTGGACCCCAATTTGGACCAACTTGAAAACTGGGCCCATAATCAATAAAATGCTCCGCAGGGCGCAGCTTGATACCAACGCAGAGGTTGAAACCTGAACAGTTGGGGCAAGTATGGACACAACATTCAAGCTTGATACAGCTTTGCATTTGGATTGTGATTAAATATTTGACACAGCATAGGTTTCTGACACAGAATGAATGTGGTCTAAGAACTTAAAAATTTTAAATTGGACAGTCACCTATTATGGTCCAATATCCAAAATCTAAATACATGGTTAGATTCAGCATATCAAAGAACCCCAAGAATTCAATTTTTGATGAAATCAAACAAAGTTTAATTTTGGACCCTTTTGACCTCAATGTGGACAAAGTTGAAAACGCGGCCCAAAAATCAAAAATCTAAATACTTGGTTAGATTCAGCATATCAAAGAACCCCATATATTCAATTTTTGTTGAAATCAAACAAAGTTTAATTTTGGACCCCGATTTGGACCAACTTGAAAACTGGGCCCATAATCAAAAATCTAAATACATGTTTAGATTCAGCATATCAAAGAACCCTAAGAATTCAATTTTTGTTAAAATCAAACTAAGTTTAATTTTGGACCCTTTGGACCTTAATGTAGACCAATTTGAAAACGGAACCAAAAATTAAGAATCTAAATACATGGTTAGATTCGGCATATCAAAGAACCCCAATAATTCAATTTTTGATGAAATCAAACAAAGTTTAATTTTGGACCCTTTGGACCTCAATTTGGACCAATTAAAAAAACGGGGCCCAAAATCCAAAAACTAAATACACGGTTAGATTCAGCATATTAAAGAACCCCAAGAATTCAAGAATAAAACCCCATTGAAATTGGTCAAGAAATAAGCAATTTATACAAAGTATCTTCTTTTGCACAATACTGTGCAATTAAATATTTCTTGCTATTGCGCAATACTGTACAATTGACAATTTCTTGCTATTGCGCAATATTGTGCTATTGGATATTTCTTGCTATTGCGCAATACTGTGCAATTGAAGATTTCTTGCTATTGAGCAATACTGTGCAATTGAAGATTTCTTGCTATTGTGCAATACTGTGCAATTGGAAATTTCTTGCTATTGCACAATACTTATTATATAATAATTTACACATCCTGTTTGGTGTGTATCTCCTACCATATCATTATTATTTGCTTTTAAATATAAATCAGAAATAACCAACTTAAAATGGAAAATTTTAAAAGAAAAAAAAAATGAAAAAAAAAAAAAATCCCCCCCCCACAAATATTTTGAACCCCCTTATGATTCATCACCCCCAAACTCAATTCCAGCCTTCCCTTTGTGGAATGGTACCTTGCAGTACAATTTCAGAGAGATCCATACACTTGAACACAAGTTATTGTCTGGAAACTAGAAAAATGTGTTTTTTGGCCCCTTTTTGGCCCCAAATTCCTAAACGTTTAGGGCAATTACCCCCAAACTCAAACCCAGCTTTCCCTTTGTGATATGGAACCTTGTTGTACAATTTCAGAAAGATCCATACACTTACACACAAGTTATTGTCCTGAAACTAGAAAATTGCTTGTTTTTTGCCCCTTTTTGGCCCCTAATTCCTAAAATATTGAGGCAATTACCCCCATCATCAATCCCAGCCTTCCCTTTGTGGTATGGTACCTTGCAGTACAATTTCAGAGAGATCCATACACTTGAACACAAGTTATTGTCTGGAAACTAGAAAAATGCTTATTTTTGGCCCCTTTTTGGCCCCCAATTCCTAAATGTTTCGGCAATTACCCCCAAACTCAATTCCAGCTTTCCCTTTGTGATATGGAACCTTGTAGTACAATTTCAGAAAGATCCATACACTTACACACAAGTTATTGTTATGAAACTAGAAAAATGCTTGTTTTTTGCCCCTTTTTTGGCCCCTAATTCCTAAAATTTTGAGGCAATTACCCCCAAAATCAATCCCAGCATTCCTTTTGTGATATGGAACCTTGTGGTACAATGTCAGAGAGATCCATACACTAACACACAAGTTATGTCTGGAAGTTACAAAAATGCTTATTTTTGGCCCCTTTTTGGCCCCTAATTCCTTTACTGTTGGTACCATAACCCCCAAAAACAATCCCAACCTTCCTTTTGTGGTATTGAACCTTGTGGTAAAATTTCATAGAGATCCATTCACTTAAACTAAAGTTAGAGTGCGAAAACCAATGTGTCTTCGGACGACGCCGGACGACGCCAGACGACGACGACGACGACGACGACGACGACGACGACGACGCCGGACGACGACGACGCCAACGTCATACCAATATACGACCACAAAAATTTTTTTGCGGTCGTATAAAAACTATATATCAATTAAATATTGATAGGCATTATATCACTGACAAATTATATATCAATTAAATATTGATAGGCATTATATCACTGACAAATTATATATCAATTAAATATTGATAGGCATTATATCACAGAAAAACTATATATCAATTAAATATTGATAGGCATTAGATCACTGACAAATTATATATCAATCAAATATTGATAGGCATTAGATCACTGACAAATCATATATCAATTAAATATTGATAGGCATTAGATCACTGACAAATTATATATCAATCAAATATTGATAGGCATTAGATCACTGACAAATCATATATCAATTAAATATTGATAGGCATTAGATCACTGACAAATCATATATCAATTAAATATTGATAGGCATTATATCACTGACAAATTATATATCAATCAAATATTGATAGGCATTATATCACTGACAAATCATATATCAATTAAATATTGATTGGCATTTGATCACTGACAAAATATATATCAATTAAATATTGATACATCATGGACAGACATTAAATACACACCTTCTTTGGTCAAAACTGTCAGCAGACACATTTGTAAGGAACCATGCTTAAGGATGAATATATTAAAATGAATAGCAGATGGAAGAACAAAAGATAACAAGTGGCAAGTAAAAGGCTCAGGTGAGCTTAAAGTGCAACTTCAAATTGATTTTGTTTTTCAAGAGGTAAAATAAATGGAGAATGTGTCCCCATGGACACAGATGATGCCCCCGCTTGCATACAACATTATAAAGGGACATAACTCAAGAACGATAAAAGTGACGCTACCCAAATTTGTACTTGATCTAAGTTTTGTGGTAATAAGTATTGTGTATAAGTTTCATAACACTTGGTTGAGGCAAACTGAAGTTACAAAATGGAAACCAAAAATTCAGCAATTTTTTCGATTTAGAAAGGGGCATAACTTGATAATGGTTAAAGTGACACCACCAAAATTCAACTTGATCTGTGTTTTGTGGTAATAAGCATTGTGTATAAGTTTCATAACATTTGGTTGAAGCAACTTAAGTTAGAAAAAGGAAACTAAAAATTTTGCATTTTTTTTTCCATTTATTAAGGGGCATAACTCAAGAATGGTTAAATTGACCCCACCCAAATTCAAACTTGATCTGTATTTTGTGGTAATAAGCATTGTGTATAAGTTTCATAACATTTGATTGAGGCAAACTTAAGTTAGAGAACAGAAACTAAAATTTTTGCAATTTTTCCTTTTATAAAGGGGCATTACTCTAGAACGGTTTAAGTGACCCCACCAAAATTCAAACTTGATCTGTGTTTTGAGGTAATAAGCATTGTGTATAAGTTTTCATAACATTTAAGTTAGAGAACGAAAACTAAACATTTTGTATTTTTTTCCATTTATAAAGGGGCATAACTCTAGAATGGTTAGAGTGATGCTACCAAAATTCAAACTTGATCTGTATTTTGTGGTAATAAGCATTGTGTTTAAGTGTCATAACATTTGGTTGAGGCGTTAGAGAACGGAAACCAATTTTAGGAAGTATGGACGTATGTACGTACAGACAGACAAGGGTAAAACTTAATGCCCCCTCTGCTACGGCGGGGGCATAAAAATACATTAAAATATAAATTCCTCTTTTATGCTGAACAGTATTTTCTTTGCTAAACCTCTTCAGTTTTCAACTAAAACTAACCAATGAACAGTGTTTTAAAACAAGTCACACATTTTGAAAAAATACAAACAAACAAATAAAGTACTGGTATTAAAGAAGATACCATGGGAACTCAAAACTCATAAGTTGAAAGATAAACTGACAACACCACGGTAAAAACAAAAGACGTTGAAAAGACAAACAATCAACAATACACTGAACCCCACAAAAACCCAGTGGTGATCTCATTTAAAATGTCAAAATCATTGAAAAAAGACAGGCCTAGGGTCACAACAATTGGAATATATCCATTGTCATCTGTGAAACAGAATTGCATTAACGGTCAACCAACTCATGATAGCATCACATTTCTGTGAAATTTTGCTGTATCCAATACTTTAAATAATATCTAGGCCTGCTGCTCTTTCATGGACATATTAGTATATACATAGGCGTTGAAAATTTTTAAATATGACTAATTCTCAGAGTAACACAAGTTGTTCCAAGTTCTTAACATGATCAAATGAAATGTTTCTAAGTTAAGCAATTAAAGCATTATAAATTTTTTTTTAGATGCTTATCTTTTGACCACTACCTGCATTTCATGGTCACTAGTCTTGTTCTAAAATGTGATGGCCCACCCATTTGTTGGTTCGTGATATTTATACATATTGTTATTAGGTGGCCTGCAGGTCACTGATGTTTCTCCAAAATTTTCTTTTACACCCTCTATGAATCTATTCATATTTTAGAAAAGTCTATAATAATGAAGATTACAATTTACTGGTTATCTGAACTTATAACCCTTCAAAAGATTGAGGTTGATGGCAGATCTAAGGTAGTCTCTGTTAAATATAATCATAATTTGTCCAGACCCTAGACATTTTAGAGCTTTATCTATGAAAAGAAATTTGTCTTTAGCTTAAATGTTTATTAACCTTGTGGTGTCTTTTTAGGTGATTTGTTGGGTTCCTGTCTCATTGAGGAATATTCCAATATTTTTTTTATTTCAAAGTAACAAACTTGACCATTCAGCCCATAAATTTATTGATATCAGACGATAATATTTTGAGGAGTTACTTTCTATTATTCAGTAAATTAACATCTTGGTCAATAGACGTAATTCATTTCAGGTAGGCAGTAATGGTAGCCATTTACTCAATTCCTCAGCCCATATGCTATCGTAAACTTGGAGATGTATGATGGCTCCTTTCGAAGTTGAGAAATTTTCACGTATGTGGTTAAATTATAGGGGTATAAAGTGAAATTAATTTTTCAGTAATTTAGCATACCCAGAAAAGCCTTTTGTGATGCAGCTTCTCAAGGTAAATAATCTCTTTTTTTCACATAATAAATTTCTTTGAAAATTTAGTTCTTTGCATACATTTGTAATAACTCCATAGTTTTTACACCTTTATTCTATGCTCTTCAAATCAGCACAAATGGTTAAGCTCAGTCACTTGTTAAAAATTGAAACATGACCATTATAACTGTACAGAGATTTTTTGTTTACATATTTGAGAACCTCATTTTGAGGCACATAAAGTATATTGACCTACCTAACCTATTCTTAACAGTGAAATCTCCATGTTGATTAGGTGGGGAAATTTAATTATCATTTTCTTTCAATATGAAATGAACCAATATGGGATGCATGTTACTTTACTATTAATGAAACTGAAACCTTACCAAGGCAACCTATACTGCCTTCCAATCCAATATAATTTAGTTTTAATCTGGTAGCTTCCACTTCCCTAGGATCTGTCTCTGACATGTCATCCATGGCAAAAATTTCTTTCTGTCTGTAAGCTGCATTATCATCAAAGTTTACCTTGGCATCAAAACACACAACTGAAATAATAATAATTATAAAAACAACTTATTTAAAACAAAAATTTCTAAATTCAAATTAAGTATTATCAGTTATAAAAACTGATAAAAACACAATTGAAACCCGAATAAATAATGCCTTATAAAACAAAAGGCTCCCAAGAGCCAGAATTGCTCATCTGGTAAAACTTATGTGATTTTGATATTTATATTTACCTTATTGCAGCTAGTTATGTTTGCTTATTTCTAAATCTTATTTAGTGACATTTCGGTAGACTTTGTATTGATGATCATTTTTAATGTTTACAGTTTATACCTATCTATTAAAGTTTCCAGATAATCTGCCAAATTATAAAAATTAGTAAAAGAATGTCACATAAGGGTAATAATCCTAAAAGGTTTTTCAAATGCTTATGGCATTGGTCTTATTTTGCTGTTCTTTATAAATTTGCTTTTCAAAGTTTCTCTCTATCATGTCTATCTACTTTTGTTTTTTTTTTTAAATGCAAAAAATAGGTTAAATAATCATACAGGGGAAATAACCCCTACAAGGTGTCGTTTGCAAAGAACAATTTTGCAATTTACTGTTCCACTCCATCTATTATAGTTTCTGAGAAGAAAATAAAAAATCGCAAAAAATGGGTAAAAATTATGTCAGGGTTCAATTGATGATTTTGACCATCTTATTTTGCAGAACATTTTTGCTATATTTTGTTACTCTCTATTATATCTCCTGCAAAAGAAATCATAAAATGTTTACAAACAATCATTACTACTCTTTGTCAGTGTCATTATTTCAAGATATTAAAAATGTTTAAACTAAACTGAATCAAACTATTATCTTTATAAAGAAATGAAATGTGGTATGATTGTCAATGAGACACTGTCCACCAGATACCAAAGGATGTTGCATGATTTTATTTTCTTATTTTTCTTGTCCCTGAATCTGAACTAGTATATAGATAAAATCAAGATGGGTTATAAATTAGCAATTTTATCTTAAAAGTTAAACAAATAAAAAAAAAAACTCAAATTTACAACTTTTCAGTATGCACAGAATAGCAACTACCAAATACTATCCCACAATAACCCCTTTTACCCCAATATATTTCATTGCAAATTATAGATAGCTATTATAGTGTTACCTCTGCCATCTGGTGTTTCACCAAATGGATTGATCTCTACCTGTGATGCATCAACCTTTATAAATAGGTTATATAGACCTTTTATCTGATCTGCAGCCTGAAACACACATATAGGTTATATAGACGTTTTATCTGATCTGCTGCCTGAAACACTCAAATAGGTTATATAGACCTTTTATCTGATCTGCTTCCTGACACAAACAAATAGGTTATATAGACCTTTAATCTGATCTGCTGCCTCAAACACACAAATACATGTAGGTTATGTAACCTTTTATCTGATCTGCTGCCTGAAACACACAAATACATGTAGGTTATATAACCTTTTATCTGATCTGCTGCCTGAAACACACAAATAAGTTATATAGACCTTTAATCTGATCTGCTTCCTGAAACAAACAAATAGGTTATATAGACGTTTTATCTGATCTGCAGCCTGAAACACACATATAGGTTATATAGACGTTTTATCTGATCTGCTGCCTGAAACACTCAAATAGGTTATATAGACCTTTAATCTGATCTGCTTCCTGAAACACACAAATAGGTTATATAGACCTTAATCTGATCTGCTTCCTGAAACACACAAATAGGTTATATAGACCTTTAATCTGATCTGCTTCCTGAAACACACAAATAGGTTATATAGACCTTTAATCTGATCTGCTGCCTGAAACACACAAATACATGTAGGTTATATAACCTTTTATCTGATCTGCTGCCTGAAACACACAAATAGGTTATATAGACCTTTAATCTGATCTGCTGCCTCAAACACAAAAATACATGTTTTATTTTGTATTTACATTGTATCATAGATCAAATTTAATTGTTCAGTGTATGTTCACTGGTGTTAATATGTCCTTTGATTGAGTTAAGCCATTTCAGTTGATATTTTATAGTGTGTCTTTCTATGTTGTGATGTTACACTATTGTTTCAGAAAAAGGGTGAAGGTTTGGTACCATTAAAACGTTTAAACCCGCTGCAATTGTTTGCACCTGTCCTAAGTCAGGAATCTGATGTTCAGTAGTTGTCGTGAGCCAAGGCTTCGTGTTAAAGACTGTACTTTGACCTATAATGGTTTACTTTTATAAATTTTGACTTGGATGGAGAGTTGTCTCATTGGCACTCATACCACATCTTCTTATATCTATAGGTTATATAACCTTTTATCTGATCTACTGCCTGAAACACACATATAGGTTATATAGACCTTTTATCTGATCTACTGCCTGAAACACACAAATAGGTTATATAGACCTTTATCTGATCTACTGCCTGAAACAAACAAATAGGTTATATAGACCTTTTATCTGATCTGCTGCCTGAAACACACAAATAGGTTATATAGACCTTTATCTGATCTGCTACCTGAAACACACAAATAGGTTATATAGACCTTTATCTGATCTGCTGCCTGAAACACACTAATAGGTTATATAGACCTTTTATCTGATCTACTGCCTGAAACACACAAATAGGTTATATAGACCTTTAATCTGATCTGCTGCCTGAAACACACAAATACATGTAGGTTATATAACCTTTTATCTGATCTGCTGCCTGAAACACACTAATAGGTTATATAGACCTTTATCTGATCTGCTGCCTGTAACATACAAATAGGTTATATAGACCTTTAATCTGATCTGCTGCCTGAAACACACAAATACATGTAGGTTATATAACCTTTTATCTGATCTGCTGCCTGAAACACACTAATAGGTTATATAGACCTTTATCTGATCTGCTGCCTGTAACATACAAATAGGTTATATAGACCTTTAATCTGATCTGCTGCCTGAAACACACAAATACATGTAGGTTATATAACCTTTTATCTGATCTGCTGCCTGAAACACACTAATAGGTTATATAGACCTTTATCTGATCTACTGCCTGAAACAAACAAATAGGTTATATAGACCTTTATCTGATCTGCTACCTGAAACACACAAATAGGTTATATAGACCTTTATCTGATCTGCTTCCTGAAACACACTAATAAGTTATATAGACCTTTATCTGATCTGCTTCCTGAAACAAACAAATAGGTTATATAGACCTTTATCTGATCTACTGCCTGAAACACACTAATAAGTTATATAGACCTTTTATCTGATCTGCTGCCTGAAACACACAAATAGGTTATATAGACCTTTATCTGATCTGCTGCCTGAAACACACTAATAAGTTATATAGACCTTTTATCTGATCTGCTGCCTGAAACACACTAATAGGTTATATAGACCTTTATCTGATCTGCTGCCTGAAACACACTAATAGGTTATATAGACCTTTTATCTGATCTGCTGCCTGAAACACACAAATAGGTTATATAGACCTTTATCTGATCTGCTGCCTGAAACACACTAATAGGTTATATAGACCTTTTATCTGATCTGCTGCCTGAAACACACAAATAGGTTATATAGACCTTTATCTGATCTGCTGCCTGAAACACACTAATAGGTTATATAGACCTTTTATCTGATCTGCTACCTGAAACACACTAATAGGTTATATAGACCTTTATCTGATCTGCTGCCTGAAACACACTAATAGGTTATATAGACCTTTATCTGATCTGCTGCCTGAAACACAATACTAGGTTATATAGACCTTTTATCTGATCTGCTACCTGAAACACACAAATAGGTTATATAGACCTTTATCTGATCTGCTACCTGAAACACACTAATAGGATATATAGACCTTTTATCTGATCTACTGCCTGAAACACACTAATAGGATATATAGACCTTTATCTGATCTGCTGTCTGAAACGAATATATAGAGTCAAATCTTAATGAAAAGGTCACCCTTGGGACAAGAAGAAAATGACCTTTAAATTGAGATTTGATTAAACTTTTCATTAATTTTGTCAATGCATTATCCTAACAGTTTACTTGGACTGATTGATTGTTGGCTATATCCTGGTGGCCAATTTTTATTGGTGGAGGAAGCCAGAGTACCTGGAGCATATATGTAGTGTACAAAATCTTAATTGGGAAATATCCTTGATATACTACTAACGTTTTTTCAGGGGGGGGGGTCTCTTCCTATATGAAGGTATATACATATGTGCCGCTGGAATGGGTCCCTTTTTTGATACGTCAAATATATTAATGGGGTGCAATTTTACCGAGGAAATATATCAATAGGTAGTAATTGACCAATTGTGATATATCAATGAGTCATAATTTTTCAGTTTGTTGTGAAACGATCTTCTCTGAATTTCCCAAACTCTTTGTCATTAAAATTTCCACATCTGCTGAAACTTATTGACATAAGTTTTGTTAGTGATCAAATTTTATTACACTGTCACAATTAATAATCTTTACTCACTAGAGTATAGTAAAAAAAAAAGGTCACATATCGAACCTTTTGCACTCATGTCGTAACACATCGATCTATTTGCACTAATTGTGTTGTGTTTATTTATAAATATATGAATGGGTTAAGATTTCACTGTGAAATATATGTATAGGTACGGATTTCACAATTATTCAATATATGAATGGGGGGGTTTTTTTAAATCCCAGCTGTACAACTGTACCCAAAATCCCATGTTGAGACCAGGGCTTCCAAAAAATATTTGAGCCAGCCGGACATTTTATATCTTATCCGGATTTTAATCCCTTAAGACTAAGTAACAAAAGGCAATCATGGTAATCAGATGGCCATCCCAATGATTGACATTAGATTAAAAAAAAAAACGATATTAAACTTTACTTTGATGTGAATTTGATGTTCGGACGTAAACTGTTAAATTGGCAGTGCATAATTCGAAGTGTGCACATCAGCATGCTCATAACTGCCAAAGACTCTTTATTTGTGCAAAATTACGTTGTCAAAAACTTTACTTTCGTTTTTAAAATCACATTTTCCTAATACCGGATGTTGACCTGACAATGGTAAAACATGGACCAGAAACGGATACGTAAAATCCGTATACGTTTACAAAGCACGACTGAGTGAAGAAGCTTTTTCCACGTTATTTCTTCAACAAAATACTTGAAATGAACATTAGATACAAGTATCAATGATAATTTTTATCATTTTTTAAGAACTGTAGGATGCATAATTAAATTTCCCTACTGCACACATGCGCACACGTGTTCTAGTTCATACAACGTAGTTCTTACGATTTTTCCTTTAAAACCTTTTTAAATTTTTCATCAAATCATGTTTATAAACGTATTTCTTATAATTTCAATCTTTTGGACTAAATCAATTACATAGAAACCGCTGAAATGTAAGAAATTAACTTTGAATAGACCGATCAATTTATACGATGTCCGGTACTGGAAATAGTTTACCTGTCACCTGAACAGGTAGATTTCAGCTGTCCAACAACTAATTAGCCTTGATTAAAATTAGAAAGTATTGAAGTAGGGGTTGTTTTGATAGTAATAAATCATGTTACTTTTATGACCGGAAATGTGTGGCTGTTAAAGGCAAAAGGTTGGGTAAAAAAGATCGCGAATTATTCTAAAATGACCATCTCTAAAGAAAGCCTTGACAACTAAAAAGTAGATGACCGTTTCATGCTTTGCCCAGCCGGACTTTTACCGGACAATATACAATTGTCCGGAATATATGACCGTTTTGGAAGCCTTGGTTGAGACCCCTCCGTGCGTTTTTTTATAAGAAATTTTTTTCAGAAATGAAACTACATGTACAACTGAACAATAAAAGGATGCACAGAAAAGATTAACACTATAAATCTCTTTAACTTATGTGTTAGTGCATAGAAATAGTGTTTTATGTGCCGAAAATATTGTTATATATACGACAAAGTGTTACCTTTAAATTTAATGTTGAAACAATCTTATTTACCTTACATTCCCATATATCTTTTTTAAAAGGGTTTTTTTTTTATTTCTATATCTTACCTCTTGTAAATGAACACCTCCAAAACCTAACCTCTTGGCCATAGATAGGGCTTGTTCATCTTTTATACCAGTAAGAATATCTACCGGCTCCTGAAATGGTAAAAAAGTAGTTAAAAAGAAACAAATACTTGACATCTGTCCTTAAAATTGTCTCAACTTGTTAATTCTTTCAATTTCTATACATCCACATACATGTACTGTATTCATCATTTTCAGTTATAATGTTTATAACTTCAGTAAAAAACAAGAGTGCACATGCTGAAATGTCTCTCCTGCTAAACTGATCTTAAAGATAAAGGTTTTACTACAAGTATCACATAATCTTAATATTTCAGAGATATGTGACAATGAGATCAATGTCAGAGGAACTCTGTCACACAGACATGTACACCTTACAATTAATCCATACACCAAATATAGTTGACCTATTGCATATGTCAATTAAAAAAAGGCCTAAACACATAACTTAACAGTCACAAAAGAACCATGAAAATGAGGTCAACATCAGATGATACCTACCAGACAGACATGTACACCTGACAATTGTTCGATACACCAAGTATAGCTGACCTATTGTTAAAAGTATTAAAAGTATTTGAAAAACAGACCAAAACACAAAATCTTAACATTGACCAATGAACCATTAAAATGAGGTCAAGGTCAAATAATACTGGCTAGACCAACATGTACACCTTACAATCATTCCATACACAAAATAAAGTTGACCTGTTGCTTATATCATCTGAAAAACAGACCAAAACACAAATACTTGACATTGATCAATGAACCATGAAAATGAGGTCAAGGTCCAATGATACCGTCACAACCGACATGTACACCTTACAATCATTCCATACACCAAATATAGTTGACCTAATGCTTATAGTACTTGAAAAACAGACCAAAACACAAGTCTTAACATTGACCAATGAACCATGAAAATAAGGTCAAGGTCAGATGAAATCTGCCAGACTGACATGTACCCTTACAATCATTCCATACACCACATATAGATCACCTACTGCCTATAGTATCTGAGAAACGTACCTAATCGCGTAACTTTAACTTTGATCACTGATCCATGAAATGAGGTCGAGGTCTGGTGAACCCTGTCTGATGCACATGTAGAGGTTGCAAGGAACCAATATACCAAATATAGTTATCCTATTACTCATAATAAGTGAGAAATTCACATGACAAAAAAACTACAATTTTTTTCAAGCAGTCACTGAACCATGAAAATGACGTCAAGGACAATGGACATATTACAGATGGAAACCTCGTAACACAAGGTATCTGCATACTAGGTATGAAGCATTCAGGTCTTCTACTATCTGAAATATTACGCTTTACACAAAAAGTTTACGCAGCTACCGCTGCAGGATAGTAATCCCTATGTCTCGCATACTGCGACTTTCCTCACAGGCAAGACAAAAACCATGATCATAATCAGCTCTCATAAATGCCAATACATAGTCAAGTATTTTTAAAGTGAAAATTATTGTGTAATTTATGATGATGTAAAGTGTCTAGTGTTACCAGTAATATTTTATTTAATGAGTACTGAAAACAACTCTTGCACTTTTGCACTTACATCATTGGAACCTTAAATTGAATAAAAAAAAAATTCGACACTTATCATTAGTATTTCCAATGAAAAGGCCTGTAGTAAATAAGTTATAAACAATAATAATTTATTTGTTACCTCAGGTGACATCCTAAATGTGTACCACCTTTGCAAATGACTTTTAGTTTTTTATTTCCTAAATTTCTGTAGAGTTTAGTTTTTATCGTCTCAATATTGTATATTTTCCAGTTGGAAATAATTTTAATAAATTTATAAACATTATCAACATTCTGAGAAAAGTAACATTATATTTTGTCAATCTTTTATGGCAAATTAAAGCTGATTTAATCAGCAAAGAGTTTTATATAAATGTTAACTTCTAAAAATTTGAAGATCTTTTTCTAATATTGTTAAATAAATGGAGAATGTGTCCATGGGACACAGATGATGCCGACGCTTGCATAACATTATAATGGGATATACCTCAAGAACGGTAAAAGTAACGCCATCCAATTCAAACTTGATCTGAGTTTTGTGGAAATAAGCACTGTGTATAAGTTTCTTAACATTTGATTCAGGCAAACTTAAGTTAGAGAACGGAATTTGTAAAGGGGCATAACTCTTGAAGGTAAAAGTTACGCCACCCAAATTTAAACTTGATCTGTGTTTTGTGGTAACAAGCAGTGTGTATAAGTTTTATAACAATTAATTGAGGCAAACTAAAGTTAGAGAATGGAAACCAATTTCGGGACGTACATATGGACAAGGGTAACACTTAATGCCCCCTCTGCTGCGGCAGGGGCAGAAAAATATTTTCTGGAAAGGCATTTCCAGTTGTAAGATTAAATTTGAGGCACCTTCACAATGGAATCAGGGTCAGTAGCAGATGTTTCTTCAATATCTACTCCACCATGCCGACTACCAATCATAACTGGTCCCATATAGGTACGATCCATCAATATGGCAAAATATGCTTCTCTTCCTATATCCAAAGCTTCAGCTACCATTACCTACAAAAAAGTTCATAATTATTGCAAAGGATGCTTTATGTTGTTAAAAATTAGGACATTAGTTTTCTAGTTTGAATTGTTTCATATTTTCCATGTTGGGGCCTTTTATAGACGACTATACAGAATGTGTTTTTCTTATTGTTTCAAGGCAATTTGTTGAACTACAATTGCTTATATCTTCGTCATTTGAACTCTGTGCCTCCTGTAACTTTTCTTAAGCTGGATGAATTTTGGCACAGCATGGACTTCGTCTTTAAGAATCTTCACTATATTATGCCATTTTTTTCCAAATAATGGACTTCGCAAGAAGCAGATGTATCATTTTGTGAGTTCTGCACACTATATCTCTTGTTTATTGCTATGTCATAGTGCACTTCACAAAAAATCTTATAGCATCCAAGTAGCCAGGGAATTTTGAAAAACACATCTTCAGAAATCAAATACAAAACAGTATCTGTTAAACATGTTATATCTAATTGATATTGTATAGAAAGAAAAAAAAACATGCAACTGTGAAGATTGATTGATTATTTGGTGCTGAACACTACTTTCAGTACTATTGGCTATTTTGTTGCAGGCTGTCTTTATAGGTATAGGAAGCTGTAGTACTTGAAGAGAACCATGACCTTTGTCAGGAAAATTGGCAATCCTAGTCAAGTAACATTGGAGTCGAACACACCTGCCATGTGCAGGGTTCCAACTCACAACCTCACTGTAGACAGGCTAGTAGATGAACTATTCAGACCACTCTGCCATCGAGGCCCCCCTGTAAAGATTGTTATCAAATCTAAATTCTAAAACTTCTACACTCTCTCACTTGGACACAATAAAGTTTACCTTCTGTACAAGCACACCATCACCAACAGTCTGTTTTGTCTTTAGTTTACTCCCCAACATATTTTCTACTATATGTGGCACTTTTTTTTTTCTACAAAAAAAATACATGTAACTCTAAGTCTCTGACTAAAAACATGAAAAACAACCATTTTATTGTTAATAAATATTCTTGTGTTTACTGTAAGTATTAGGCAAGAGAATATACTTAATTGTTTCAAACTAATTTCTAAATAAAATTTAGTTTTCTGCAAGTTCTTAAAACTTTATATTTTCATCAATTTTATTGAATATCATAATACTCTCTAAATCACTCATCCATGAAGCTGACAAAATCAATGGTAAAATATCTAAAGGGTCAGAAAATTTAAAAGTGAAATTCATTGGTATCAGATTTTTCATTTACATTTATAAGTGTGCGGTTAGAATTCATTTACTCTTTTATCATGTACTCTGAAGCAAGAAAACCCTATGTAGTTAAATAAAATTTATCAGAAACAGTAATACTGCAGATTTGCACTAACAAAATGTCATTTCATTATAAAGATTGTTTACAAAAAAAACTGGATAAAATGTTTTCTTGCTTTTGAAATTTACAGTTTATTTCCTATAAATACATAATCGTTTTCATGGATGTGACCTTTGTATCAATTTGTTATAATGATTATGATTATGATTATCAAACAAATGAATCAATCTTAATCTGTAAAAACTTGAAAACTTACTCTGTAGTTAAATGTACACCTCCCTGGAAGCCATTTGAGAAAACTCCTTTACCCCGACCACCAGCTAAAATCTGTGCCTTAATCACATACTCTTTCACGTCTAGAAATACAATAAATGACAATTAAACAAATGATTCCATCGAAGAATGTAACTGAAAGTACAAGTGTATTTTTTACACATTATCATCCTGGCTTCAAGATGCATAAAAGCATATCCGGTGTATATGTAAATTAGAAAAAAGATTTAAAACAAGAGGCTCTCAAGAGGCTGAATCGCTCACCTGTATTTCAGAGGATAAGATTTTTAAATGTTAGCAAACTTGATGAACAAATTGTGTAAAATTGTCTTTAAAGGGCAATAACTCCTTAAGGGGTCAATTGACAATTTTGGTCATAATAACTTTTTTGTAGATCTTACTTTGCTGAACATTATTGCTGCTTACAGTTTATACATATCTATAATAATATTCAAAATAATAACAAAAAACTGCAAAATTTTGTTAAAACTACCAATTCAGTGGCAGCAACCCAACAATGGGTTGTTCGATTAGTCTGATAATTTCAGGGCCGATAGATCTTGACCAATTAAACAATTTTACCCCATGTCACATTTGCTCTAAATGATTTAGTTTTTGAGATATAAGCCATGGCGGCCATGTTTGTCAATGGATACAAACTTCGGATACAATTTATAAACAAGATACTCTAAGGAACATTTAGTTTAAGTTTGAAGGTAATTGGCCCAGTAGTTTCAGAGGAAAAGATTTTCAAATGTTGGCAAACTTGATGAACAAATTGTGTAAAATTGTCTTTAAGGGCAATAACTCCTTATGGGGTCAATTGAAAATTATGGTCATATTAAATTTTTTGTAGATCTTACTTTGCTGAACATTATTGCTGCTTACACTTTATATATATCTATAATAATATTCAAAATAAAAACAAATAAAATGCTCCGCTGGGGTGCAGCTTGATACGACCGCAGAGGTCGAACCCTGAACAGTTGGGGCAAGTATGGACACAACATTCAAGCTTGATACAGCACTGAATTTGGATTGTAATTAAATATTTGACACAGCATAGGTTTCTGACACAGAATGAAAGTGGTCTAAGAACTTAAAAATTTTTAATTTACCTATTCAAACCATATCATTATTATTTGCTTTTATATATAAATCAGAAATAACCAATTTAAAATGGAAAATTTTAAAGAAAAAAAAGGAAAAAAAAATCCCCCTCTAAATTTTTTGAACCCCCTTATGATTCATCACCCCAAACTCAATCCCATCCTTCCCTTTGTGGTATGGTACCTTGCAGTACAATTTCAGAGAGATCCATACACTTGAACACAAGTTATTGTCTGGAAACTAGAAAAATGCTTATTTTTGGCCCCTTTTTGGCCCCTTATTCCTAAACTTTTTGGGCAATTACCCCCAAACTCAATTCCAGCTTTCCCTTTGTGATATGGAACCTTGTAGTACAATTTCATAAATATCCATACACTTACACATAAGTTATTGTCATGAAACTAGAAAAATGCTTGTTTTTTGCCCCTTTTTGGCCCCTAATTCCTAAAATTTGGACGTAATTACCCCCAAAATCAAAATCCAGCATTCCCTTTGTGATATGGAACCTTGTGATACAATGTCAGAGAGATCCATAGACTTACACACAAGTTATTGTCATGAAACTAGAAAAATGCTTGTTTTTTGCCCCTTTTTGGCTCCTAATTCCTAAAATTATGAGGCAATTACCCTCAAAATCAATCCCAGCATTCCCTTTGTGATATGGAACCTTGTCGCACAATGTCAGAGAGATCCATACACTTACACACAAGTTATGTCTGGAAGTTACAAAAATGCTTATTTTTGGCCCTTTTTGGCCCCTAATTCCTTTACTGTTGGTACCATAACCCCCAAAATCAATCCCCACCTTCCTTTTGTGGTATTGAACGTTATGGTAAAATTTCATTGAGATCCATTCACTTAAACTAAAGTTAGAGTGCGAAAACTAATGTGTCTTCGGACGACGATGACGCCGGACGACGACGAAAACGTACAACGACAACGTCATACCAATCTACGACCACAAAAATTTTTTGGCGGTCGTATAAAAACTGCAAAATTTTGTTAAAACTACCAATTCGGTGGCAGCAACCCAACAATGGGTTGTTCGATTCGTCTTAAAATTACAGAGCTGATAAATCTTGACCAATTGAACAATTATACCCCATGTCAGATTTGCTCTAAAAGCTTTAGTTTTTGAGATATAAGCCAAAAACTGCATTTGACCCCTATGTTTTATTTTTAGCCATGGCAGCCATGTTTGTTGATGGATCAAAACTTCGGATACAATTTTAAACTAGATACACTAAGGAACATTTAGTTAAAGTTTGAAGGTATTTGGCCCAGTAGTTTCAGAGGAGAAGATTTTTGAAATAGTTTACGACGACAGACGACGACGACGCCAAGTGATGACATAAGCTCACATGGGGCCCTTGGGACCCTGGTGAGCTAAAAAAGGCATTTTTAGATGATTAAATGAGTGATTTCTTAAATCACTTATTCAAGTAACATTTTGTCCAGAAATGTTGCAAGTAAGAGTGGTCTTTCTTTAATAATCACCTATTTAAGTAGTACAAATAAATCACTCTACTAAGTGGTTGTATTCTATTGTAGTTTTAAATATATAATATTAATGATCCGGGGACTAGTGATGATGATAAAATAATCAGAACCAACATCTGTGTTTATAGAATGACTGGTCATGTCAGGTGATGACCTTGTACTGAATATGTGATAATGACATGAAAATCACTTATTTAAGCATCATACCTCTATTTTTGTCCAAAAATTAATTCTTTAAGTATTATTATATTAATTACCCCCCACTATTTTCAACACCCCCAAACAGATAAATTTTGATCGTGAATAGTAAAATTTTATTACATAATCTGAAAGCTGAAACCTTGAATTTAACAGGCAAATATTTCCACTGCTGGGAAAAATCTGTTAAGAAAGTATTAGATAATTATGAAAAGCCTTCATTATAGCATTTTTTCAACAAATTAAGAATTTACAGATGAATAATTGCATCAGAATCATAAACATTGCTACTTAAAAGAAGCAAAAGGTCCATTTTTTTCAATTTTACTAATAATTAGATATAATCTAAACCTGTATGTTTAAAATGTTGGTAAAAGTACAAAATCACAGAATTTCTAATTTGCTACTGAAATGAGTGATTCAAAAATCACTTACTTCAGTATTTCCCCTGACAGATATAGGTCCCATGAAAAGGAATTAGAAATAATATGAAGACAGGATCAGAATTCCTTTTATATGTATATTTATTTTACAAACCTAAATGATCTGTAGCATGTTCAGCTTCCTCAAAATTGCTAACCACAACAAACTTTTGTACAGATATTCCATTATCCTGCATTAATTTTTTACTCTGATATTCTTGCAAATGTAAACATCTTACTGTTCCTAAAATGCTTGCCTGAAAAAAAACATCAAAATTTTATGCAAGACATTGTAATGCAATGTAACAGAATTTTAGGTAAAATATTGTTATTTTCAGTACCACATTTTATTATTTACTACATGTAACAAGTCTTGAAGAAATGGATGATCTACTCTAATAAAAGTGTGTGAGAGCACTGAGGGGTTAGGATTGCTTGTGTATTGTTTTTAACTTACTTAAAATATTGCATTGTCTTAAGCATAAATTACTTAAAACTTTTACTAAATTCTTTCATAGATACAAAGATTTGATTAGTAAATTTGGCTGTACCTGTAGAAAACTTATTAAAAACGGTATTTCACATCCTAAATTTTATGGTAATATTGTACTAAAAGCGCAGAAATCACTATGTGATCCGTGTAAACTCATCGAACCTTAAAACAAACTTATTAGTAAAGGTTATCTTACCAACGTTGTAATTAGATCTTTGAATATCGTTTACATTGGCCCTAATATCGATTTTGTCATCAGCAAACTAAAACATAACTAAATTTTTCATTTTTATCTATAAAGAGGTTAACTCCTAACTATCCTACTGCCTGTCGATACATTTATTTTTGGCATTGCACTAGTCATGTCTTCTTTGACTGTCCATGACGTTAAAATACTAAATCCATGGGATGTGTTTTAGTTGATTTTAGTCTCTGATGCATGATTTTTTATTATTGTTTTGGCTTTTAACTAGCTGTCAGTAACTGTGAGTACTCTCAAATCGTACTTACTTGTTAATTTGACCTGTTGATACTATTTGTAATGCTTTTTTGTTATTTAATGTTAACTTATATCTGGTCTATATACCAGCTTTGATAAGTGTTTGGAATTACTATAAATTTTCACTTCTTCGTACTATGAACATCAAAATTATTTCCTTTCTCCTTTTATACTGTTCCGACACCTGTACATGAAGAACATGAAGTTTTATCGAGCACCAATTTTATAGTTTAATTGTTGATATTCACCCCACATTTACCAAGTTTTAGAATAGTTTAATTGTTATACAAGAAATGTCTTGGTGTTCCTAAATGTAAGGTTATCAAGTCAGGGATATAACTCTATAGGGTTATTACAGAAAAATAACATACATTTGTTATTGTGGACTAAAAAATCAAAGAACTGTGATAACATATGTATGTTACATGTTTCAAAGGGACAATAAACATCACTAGTTTAGTTAAAATGCATACAAGTTCTATTGATATTACTATTGTCTTTATGTAAACTTAACTATAGAAAGATATAACAGTTCATAGTTTGTCAAATTTGCATAGTACACCTATATGTTATTACAGAAAAAATATGACTGTAATAACTAAAGGGTGTTATCACAGCTTCTCTATATCACTCCAAAGCATTTTCTCAGACATACATCATGCTTAATTACAATGTATTTTGATTTATTGTAAGAAATAATGACCAGAGCATGTAATGAGGTTCTGCGCAAGCTTCCCAGTAATTCCCAAGTGTCTCATATAACAAGTTACATGCCTTTAATAACTAAGCCTTGTTATTACAGCTAATTTTATCCCTTAAAAGCCTTGTCTCATTGATTTACCATGGTTAATCAAAAATGTATTAATTTAATTAAAAAATTAATTATCAAGGCTATGCATTTAGTTTTTGCGCAAAGTCTCAAGAGTTCCCTAGAGCCCGTTATAAATTAAAATATTTTTGATTTATTTTACAAATAACAAACATATGTTATTGCAGATTTAGAAAATTTAAGGAATAAAGAGTAGACAACTCATGAAAGTATCTGTAATAACACACACAAGTTATTTTCTGTAATAACCCTATAGAGTTATATCTCTGACTGGTTATACAGACAGAAGAAGAAGTATACTGATCTACAAAATAATTTTCATTTACCTGTGTTTAATTTTGATATTACAAATGGCGTAATTTTTTTCAAAGCTGATGTTTTTCTGAAGTTGTTTAGCATTTCACAGCGGTAAAATACTTTTACTATAATTATTCATCCCTTATTTTTATTAACTTTGTTTTTACATTGTATCATAGATCAAATTTATTCGTTCAGTGTATGTTCATTTGGTCACTACGTCTTTTGATTGAGTTAAGCCATTCCAATAGATATTTTATAGTGTGTCTTTCTATGTTGTGATGTTACACTATTGTTTCAGATAAGGGTGAAGGTTTGGTACCATTAAAACGCTTAAACCCGCTGCAATTGTTTGCACCTGTCCTAAGTCAGGAATCTGATGTTCAGTAGTTGTCGTTTGTTGATGTGGTTCATAAGTGTTTCTCGTTTTTTATATAGATTAGACCGTTGGTTTTCCCGTTTGAATGGTTTTACACTAGTAATTTTTTGGGGCCCTTTATAGCTTGTTGTTCGGTGTGAGCCAATGCTCTGTGTTGAAGACCGTACCTTGACCTATAATGGTTTACTTTTATAAATTGTGACTTGGATGGAGAGTTGTCTCATTGGCACTCATACCACATCTTCCTATATCTATAAACATACAATTAAGGCAATATTAAAAATTAAGTTATCTCCCATTGTAGACCAAAAGATATATGTAAATATGTATAGATCTAGATTAGTGGGTTTTCTACACATGGATATTTTTTACAATATCTATATGCAGAAAACCCCCCATAGTCTTTTATATATATATATAATGTATGGGCATTTTTTATTTCTAACAAGGCATATTATTGTCTTATCAAAAAATCTTTTAACAATAATTTGGTATTTAGTAACTAATAGTCATTATTACATATTAATATAGTCATTATTTGCAATACTTATTATGTATGATCAACTATGTAATTAATATACCATGAGCCTTAACCATTTATTGTTGATGAGTTTGTGCTAATAAATATTTGTATTTGTATTTGTATTTGATAATCTATTAATTTTGGATTATTATGATTTGTTATTCTGTAATAAGGTTGATAATGTTTTAATGGTTATGAAAAGTATCAAATTTTACATGTACATTTTTTTATTTCATATGTTATTGACAAATAATCATGTATAAATACAATCAATTGGTTAAATAAATGTTACTAATATGTGGCAAGTGTAACCTGTGAATGAATGTGAAGTCTGTATAATGTTTATGATATGATATGATTTAGTCATCATATATAAAAATCTGCAGGAAATAGTATATCCCTTTTAGGATTTAAAAATGAAATATAAATAGGTAAATCCAAAAAAGTTTTTAATTTTCTGATGCAAAATTTTAAAAATGCATGACTTTTATACCTATGTATGTACATGTATCTAGGTCCAGCCATGCCTTACACATCTTAAAACTTTTCCAGTGGCAGAGGTTTGTCTGCACTCTGAGCAGATTTTGTAGTGTACACACAGCTATTTATTTTGGAGTGAACACACTGCCATATTTGTCAATACCTTATTATATGAAGAATCTTAATTGAAAGATTTTGGATTCACTAGTGTATATACTTTATATTGATTTTTCTACAGTAAATGATGACTATGTCTGCTATATTTTTTTTTTAATTTGTCAGATTTTTCACAGGTTTGTTTAAGTTTCCTACACCTGTTTTTCAGTTTATTTTTTATTCATATGTAAAAGTTTTATTTAAATTCATTTTGACAGATTAAATGAAACTATTTGGTCCTTTATCCCTCTCATAACAATGTTCGCCTGGGTCCATTCCCCCAGTATTCATACACCTAATCGCTATTTATTCCATTCCGGATAAGTTCTAAAATTACACAACTTTTTCATCCAGTTGAAGCTATTCTGGGACCCTGTTTAAACAATGCACCATGCATGATACTTTTTAATGAGACCTGTTTAAAACATCGTAAATACTTCAAACAAAATATTTTTTTGACTATAATTTGAGTTTCGAAAAAGTGGATCATAATCTATCAAAGTTTCCTATTGATCGCTTTCTAAATTTTTCCCTCCTTCAGCTCGTTACTGATGACCTTTGTTTGTTGCCTGTTGACCCAAACAGGAAGTTGTCTAAATGACTGTTTTTTTCTGGATTGGACTAAATAGCGATAAGGTGTATTCACCTCCATTATAAATCAAAATATCCCATATTTATTTTAAATGGTATTTTGTTTTATAAATAATTATATGTGCAGTCAAACGTGTATTCAGCAGTCACTCATGGGAAGTATCATAAGTGACCATGAGCAGATGAAATAAATAATCGCAATTTGCGACAATGGCGAAGCCCAGCGCAGTCCCTGCTGTCACAATACATGTACATAACAAAATAAATATTTTTGCAAATGGACCTGGATCGAACAGGTATATATTTGAAGACAGTCCCTAGATTCCTTCACAGCTGGCCAGGATGTTCCAGTTTGTACTTTTTTTCAGAAATTATGTTGATACTGTACATGCTGTAGAGTGGCTATAGCCTATAGTCACCTTATTGTAATATAATTGAAAGTCAAAACTTGACAGAAATGATAATGTGTAATTTTGTTAAAGAACATATGCAACCAGGCATCTGAAAGGACCAAACGTTTATATGTCGTTTTAAAATAGGAATCAGATCTAACTGACACCTACTTTTTTCCACAATCTTTGGAATAAACCGTGTCTAACTGACGTTCTTATCATTTTCATGGGCGCAGCCATTTTTCTCGAAAAGAAACTATAATTCTCGCGATACTTCGAACTTCTTTTGTACACAAAATAGTCCTATAATTATCAGCAACACGATTGATATTGCAGTCAAAATTTCAGCAAACATAGACATTTTCCTCCACAAAATAAGTAGGTTCTTTGATTGATTGCATTCATATCTTATTTATTATCGCATAATGATAAGTCTAAATTATTCCGCATTACTTTCTTCTGTTCATCCTGGGACTTACAAGATTTTCATCCTGGCTCTTCTTTGATCACCCGTACGAAAACATTGTAAAATGTCAAAACCACGTGTTTATCAGCTGTAATATCGTGTACTTTTACATTTTGTTGTGGTAAAATGAAATATTGCCGTGACTGACAAAAAATTTGAAAAATCAAAATCAATTTGTTGACAAAATAAAATCAAAACATATCTGTTACTGCGTGCATATAGAATGTTTAACCACTTTCACTCATAAGTTTCTAAATTATCCCAGCCTGGTTACCCTTTTGTTAATATGTATAAAAAAAAAATCTGTAATATTTAAAAGCATGTTTGTGATTTAGCAGCCATACCACAGCACAGGCGCTTGTCTCTGTACCAAAAAATAATATACTTTTTAAAACACAAGGTTTGATTAAATATTGATTCCATATGGAAAAAGGTGTATGGAATTTATATAAGTACATCTCAAGTTTAGGGATTTGTATGTAAATGGTTTGTAACAAAAATTTACACATACTTCTGAGATGTGGTAGGATTGCCAATGAGATAAAGTTTGCCACCAGAGACCAAAGACCGTGGATGTAAATTAAACAACTAAAGATCTGTCACCCAACGGCCTTCAAAAATAAGCCAAACTCATACCATATAGAACGTTAATACAGGTCCATACATCATATCTGAGAAACAGGCTATATATGCCCTCAATTTTAGAATTCATTCATACCTTTTTGTATTATTAAAAATTCTACATGTACAAGGATCACCTAGTTGAGCCCTTCACCTTTCATCTAATACCTTAATTACTGAAATATATGCTACATAGTTTAAGATTTACACCTATGCGTAGGAACTATTTTGTTATTGATGTATTGAAGTGTAACATCTTCCAAAGTCTATCCAAATTATTTTTGCAAAGAATTCTGCTCAAGCTAGTGCTGTAGGGGCAGACTGAGGTGAGACTTTTTTTTGTTCCTATTGAAGGCCTCATTGTGCCTTTGAGATGAAGAACAGCAATAAAAGCACTGTTCCTTTGCTTTTTGTGTTTTTTTTGCTGTGCATGTACTGATTTTGTGTTATGGATGGATTCCCCATATCCTTTGTTTTTCTATTATGACAACATGTGAAACAAATGAAAGAGAAAACCAACTGCCTGATTTATTCAAAAAAAAAATAAAACTAAAAACGAAATATGGCAGACAGCAAATGACAACATTACCGAGTTACATTGTAGGTTCCTGACTTGGGATAGGCACACACATCATTTGGCAGGTTTAAACATTTACTAATTTTATGAGCTCAACCTTTACCTAGGAAACAGTGGTGTAACAGCATGAACAGTTGTACATGTGTACATAAAAACAAAACAAAATAATCAGGTGGAGGGCTTAGGGTTATAGACTCATTAGATTGGTACAAAGTGCAAAAAAAAAGAAACAAGTAACAAAAAGACACTGTTTACCTATATCTTAGAGTTCTTGTGTATGAATACTTTTATTTCGTGGTTTATTTTTTTCTGGCATACTAATTACAATTAGGATATTCAATACGTAAATAGTGTAATAGAGACTGTATAGAGTTTTACTTGCCCAATGGGTAATGTTTATTTACCTTTAATTGTCATGATTGTTTCCTCATTTTAGCATTGGACTCTAAACAACATAATTTTGCCATAATCAGTTCTAATTGTTGATATTTTTTATATACAACATGTACAAGGGACTACATGTACATGTTGTATCTACATGTATATTAGAGCATGACATACAGTGACCTATAGTTGTTAACTTCTATGCCAATTGGTCTCTGGTGGAGAGATTTCTCATTGGCAATCATATTAGAAAATAAATAATAATTGATATGAATTGATTTATTTAAATGAACATTGCTTTGAAATTGATCTATATATAATATTTATCCCTCATTAGACAAATTAAAAGCAACAATTATGGTTTTAGAATTTATGGTATAAACTACTTTATCCTGAAAAAAATCTTCTGTATTTTATCAAACTTTAAAAAAATTCTATTGTATTTTATCCTTGTTTAACAAAAGAATACTAGTGCATTTTATCCAAAGTAAAAACAGTATTGTTTTTTAACTGAGGGAAAAACACTTGTAACTTTTCTCCAAATAAAAAAGCCTGTTCCCCATTTTTCAAAGATTCCCCTCAACATACTAAAGAAAGACCCTCTTTTTAAAATTTGACTTTTCAAAATATGTTACATGCATAAATTCCCCAGTAAAACAAAAAATGTCCAAGGGTAAAATCTCGGGAGGATGATTTACACCAGGATATTTTAACCTGTGGAATAAAAACAATTGCTACATGAAAATAAGTCTACTGTAACTTATACTCACAGTTACTGAAAGATACACCATGTTTTTCCATGGTAGACTTGTACAGATTAATTGGGGGATCTTTTTGAAGTCTTATCCAAAACAGATGTATCAAGGAGAAGTAGGAGATTACATATATATTGATTTCATTATCTTGCATGTCTTATGAGAAAAAAAAACATTTACCAAATGCAAATTTCGATAATTGATTTTCTATATACTGTAAATTCAGAAATTATTGCGTGCATTTATTATTGCGATTTTTCAAAAATGGACAAGAATGCGAGTTTAATTATTGCGATTTCAGAAAAATTTACATACAGATCTATGTTTTAGTTATCAAAATGCGAGTTCTTATTATTGCGATACTCATCTGGTCGCATTATTCGCATTAATAAAAACCTCGCAATAATTTCTGAATTTACAGTACATTGACAATGTTGATATACACTGTATTTCGAAAATATTTTCAAGATAAAAAATATGTTTAAGTAATGGCAAGAAAGATATACCAATCAGAAGTCTAAACAGTAATAGTGTCATACATTACCTCCTGATAAAGGGCATGCAATAGTTTAAGTTCTTGGAACTCTTTAATAAAAAAAGAATGAATCTTCATATTGCAGGTGTTTTTTATGGAGACAACAAATCAGAAAACTTCAGAACCAGTCGTACAAGAAATATGTACAAACAGAACATCAGATACACAACATAATGAACAACATGAGCTAACACAGTCTGCGACTTCTATAGAAGATGTTACAAACAATACAAATGTACAAGGAGATGCCATTGACAATTGTGATGAAGGGGAGACAGTCCACAAGACTCATCTTTTGAAGATAGAGGTACCAGATGGTGAAGCAGATTTAGGACAAACAGATGTAGCTGTTGAGGAATGGAAGGACATAGAGAACATTGTAGATATGGATCCATCTTCAACAGCTGGGTTTCTCATTCTGTCAAAAGAAGCTGCTGGTTAGTGAAAATTACACTGAAGGGAGGTGGTGGGCAGGGTCTCAAGATATGATTTTGGGTACAGACAGATGTGCAGCTTGGATTTAAAAAAAAATAATTCATATACATGTACATTGTATTGAAGTTTTGTGATATTAATCACGACTAACATGAATATTTCATGGCAAAATCATATATATTTCTCAATCATCAAATATACAATCTGTGACATCTTAGTTTTATTTAAACATTTGAAAGGATTATTTAACTTGTGTCAATTAAAGTTTTGAAGTTGGTCATACATATTAATTAGACATGTTAGATAGAAGGAATGGTGCACTGAATATACAGACATCTAATTGAAAGATTGATTGATTGATTGGTGTTTAAAGCCACTTTCAGGACTATTGTACTATTTTGTGGAGGTCAGTTTTTATTGGTGGAGTAAGCCTGAGTTCCCGTTGAAAACCACCGATCTAAAGTAGGAAAACTGACAATCCTAGGCAATAAAGATTAAGTCAAGCGCACCTGTCACGTGGGGGATTCAAAACAAAACCTGAGTATTGACAGGCTAGAGATACAGAAGTTAAACTACTTAGACCACTCAGCCAACAAGGCCTTTCTCTAATTGAAAGATAAAAAATTATTGACACAATTTGACATATAAATTTCATGAAATGGCAAACCACTGTTTTGTTTTACATAAAAAAATAACCCATTCCACCAACACATCTGAGTATACCTTCATATTGGAAGAGTACCCCTAGAAAATCATTGCTTAGGTTGTGTTTAAAAGACTATGTCGTATTTATGTGGTTCTAATGTAATTTTAGCATCCCTTGGAATGGATTCTATTGAAAATACTCAAAATGGAGATGAACCAGCAGCCAAAAGATTCCGTATTGAAGGTGGTGATGGCCAGTCTTATGTGTTATCTGTGGCTCCAGGTACATGTTTATATGGATAGCTATATATAGACATAGTTGGTTTTTATACGACTGCAAAAAAATTTTGCGGTCGTATATTGGTATGACGTTTTCGCACTCTAACTTTAGTTTAAGTGAATGTATCTCTATGAGATTTTACCATAAGGTTCAATACCACAAAAGGAAGGTTGGGATTGATTTTGGGGGTTATGGTACCAACAGTTAAGGAATTAGGGGCCAAAAATAAGCATTTTTGTAACTTCCAGACATAACTTGCGTGTTAGTGTATGGATTTCTCTGACATTGTACCACAAGGTTCCATATCACAAAGGGAATGCTTGGATTGATTTTGGGGGTAATTGCCTCAAGATTTTAGGAATAAGGGGCCAAAAAAGGGGCAAAAAACCAGCATTTTTCTAGTTTCATGACAATAACTTGTGTGTAAGTGTATGGATCTTTCTGAAATTGTACTACATTAGGACCCATATCACAAATGGAAAGCCGGAATTGAGTTTGGGGGTAATTGCCCAAAGCGTTTAGGAATAAAGGGCCAAAAATAAGCATTTTTCTAGTTTCAGGACAATAACTTGTGTGTAGGTGTATGGATCTTTATGAAATTGTACTACAAGGTTCCATATCACAAAGGGAAAGCTGGGTTTGAGTTTGGGGGTACCGTAATTGCCTTAAACGTTTAGGAATTTGGGGCCAAAAAGGGGCCTAAAAACAAGCATTTTTCTAGTTTCCAGACAATAACTTGTGTTCAAGTGTATGGATCTCTCTGAAATTGTACTGCAAGGTACAATACCACAAAAGGAAGGCTGGGATTGATTTTGGGGGTAATTGCGTCAAAATTTAAAGAATTAGGGGCAAAAAAGGGGCAAAAAACAAGCATTTTTCTAGTTTCAGGACAATAACTTGTGTGTAGGTGTATGGATCTTTATGAAATTGTACTACAAGGTTCCATATCACAAAGGGAAAGCTGGGTTTGAGTTTGGGGGTACCGTAATTGCCTTAAACGTTTAGGAATTTGGGGCCAAAAAGGGGCCTAAAAACAAGCATTTTTCTAGTTTCCAGACAATAACTTGTGTTGTGTATGGATCTCTCTGACATTGTACCACAATGTTCCATATCACAAAGGGAATGCTGGGATTGATTTTCGGGGTAATTGCCTCAAAATTTTAGGAATTTATTAGGGGCCAAAAAGGGGCAACAAACAAGCATTTTTCTAGTTTCATGACAATAACTTGTGTTTAAGTGTATGGATCTTTCTGAAATTGTACTACAAGGTTCCATATCACAAAGGGAAAGCTGGAATTGAGTTTGGGGGTAATTGCCCAAAGCATTTAGGAATAAGGGGCCAAAAATAAGCATGTTTCTAGTTTCCAGACAATAACTTGTGTTCAAGTGTATGGATCTCTCTGAAATTGTACTGCAAGGTACCATACCACAAAGGGAAGGCTGGGATTGAGTTTGGGGGTGATGAATCATAAGGGGTTTCAACAAATTTGGACATGTTGGAGGAGGGATTTTTTTTTCCTTTTTTTCCTTTTTTTTTTTATTTTAAAATTTTCCATTTTGAAATGGTTATTTCTGATTTATATATAAAAGCAAATAATAATGATATGGTTTGAATAGGTAAATGAAAAATATTTAAGTTCTTAGACCACATTCATTCTGTGTCAGAAACCTATGCTGCGTCAAATATTTAATCACAATCCAAATTCAGTGCTGTATCAAGCTTGAATGTTGTGTCCATACTTGCCGCAACTGTTCAGGGTTCGACCTCTGCGGTCGTATCAAGCTGCGCCCAGCGGAGCATTTTATTATTTTTTGGTAAAGATGAGTCAACTTTCCTCAGTGTTTTGTTGAAATGATTGCAACTAACTAGACAAGTACAAATTTTATACAGTCAGACATTTTTCTACTACCGGTATATTTCTTACATTTGTGTTTTTAATCATGTTTAAAAATAATTATAGTTTCCAATTACTATTGAAAAGTCAAATTGAATTATTGTGGTTATTACTATTGAAAAGTCAAATTGCTTGACAATCTTATTCATTGTCTTTTTTTTTTTCCTCCATAGAAATGTTATTTAAATGCAACACAAATAAAGGGAACTGTGGGGTATACATCAATGAGACATCATCAGAATAACTTTAAAAAATAACCAAAGACATCTTATGTACATCATGCAGAGTCTAGTATCAAAAGTAATCTTATTTCCGGAAATGATATTAGTTATTTACTAGTATATTCAGTGTATACTTATCAAGCTAATGCAAGATAAGTATATTTTATATAATACAAAGGTTGGTTTCTGTACAAATATCTTACAATATATGTACCATCAAATTCTATAAGACGGCAACAAAACAACACAAAATAACCAAAAACAGACATTTAAGAAGTACCAGGTATAGCATATACCGGTAAGGCATTTCATTTCTTTTTACAGATGATACTTTGACAACTGATGAAACCATTGTAGAAAAAATGGAAACTGTTCAGGTAAATTTATCAGCATTTCTTTCTGCTTTAGAGAGGATTTGTATAAGGTTAAATAATATAATTTAATAGCCAGTCAAATTCAACATTGGAGATAAGGAGAACAATCTTTTGTATTTCACCAGATTTAATGCAAGTTATGAATACCACCATATTTTTAAGTTCTTAACTTTTCACTGACTTTTTAACAAACTCAGAACGGGAAGGGAGGGTCATTCTATTTGAAAATGTCTAATGCCCCATTTTCAATTAGGCATGGTACATTTCGCTAAACTGTAGAAACTGAACTTGCATTACTGTGAGGTTTCAAAAAAATAACTTTATTGTCTGTAAAATGATTAATTAAATAAGTTTATAATGAGATAAGTAATCTAATTTTATCATGGAACATGTAAATTATTTGAGTATAATAAAAATGTTTATTAAATTCCAGTTTATTGTCTTGAATCCATTTACTAAATGCATGACCATGTGTTTACTACTACATGCACAAACTTGTGTTTTTAAAAAACTTTATTATTTATCTGAGTTTTGATTTACTATAATACTCTTTTATGTTGAAGGCAACAAATGGATCAGTCTTATTGGGAGCAGGAGATACAGGAGGCCCAAAACAGTCAGGTTCTGGGAACAGAAAAGCTTTAGAAAGCTCAGATATTTCTCAGGCTTGGTTCACTACTAGAGATGAAAAGGATGCTCTTCATAGCAAAGGTATACACATTATTCAAGCATATGAATAATAAAAAAGACATTAGAGTTAAGGATCCAGTCTAAATGGTAGGGACGTATCAGTATCATATTCACAATTCACAATTTGGGACGAAAAAGATGTTAATGAAAAATGGTAGAAATTTGAGTAAGAGGTGATCTTAAAATGGCTTCTCTTTGAGATAATCATGAGTAGTGCTCACAATTGGAAATTGAATATGTAACAGATTGAAGATGTAATTTATGTTATTAAAACATATTTTTAAAAGCAAAAATCATAGGTTTTTCTGATTAAGGTGCCATTTGATTTTATAGATTTTTTTCATATATATATACATATATCTTTAAAGGTGCGACATGGAAACAAGGACAGTGGACAAAGGAGGAAGTTGCTGTATTACAGGAGAATATTAACAGATATTGTGCGGTAAATATTTATTAATACTTTGTTGTTAAACTTTGACCTGTAATATGGAATAGAAAGGAGCAGGATTTAAATGTTTGAAGTTCTGGGTTATTTTTTTTAATTTTAAGGATATTTCAGAAAACACCTGTCTTAATACTGACTCACATTAAAGAAGTTTATTTCATATGTTGTAACTCGCTGGAAGGTTTTCAACAATTTATGTAACACTGTTGTTTCTTGGATGTGCTCTGTACATTATAACATACAGGTCTGAAAACCATAAATTAATCAACCATATTCTATGAATTTTCACTTTAACACTTAAAAGTGACTTTTCTATGTTAGAAGTCATAAATACAGATATAATTACAAGTCTTCCTATTTTTAATTTGTATCATCTCAACTTGACAAACATATAAAGAAATTTTTAATAAACAGTGGAAATTGCATTGAAAATTAGAGCAAATATTGCCTTTATCCCACCCTCTGTGATATCAATTACATTGAACTGTTACTTGAAAGGTAAAAAAATGAAAAGGGTTAGCTAAGTTCGACTTTCTATCATGAAAATGTAACTACCAAGTGCTTTGCATAGTAAATGCTTGATGCAACTGTATAGAGAGAGGAACTTAACTATTCTACATTTCTTCAAGAAATAAAAAAATTTATCTTAACTACATATACATTACAGATGATGATTTAAATTCATATGAATAAAAGCAGATGTGTGTTATATGTCTTTGAGACAATAATCCAACAAAAAGAAAAGAAATTTAAAAGTTAACATATGGTCCACATCAATAGACAAATGTTTATACACTATGTCATACTGAATTTTTCTTATTATTATGTATGATATAATATTCTTATGTTATAGCAATTTTATATTTGTGTTTCTACAGGACCGTAATATAATTGATCCTACACACATCATATTTGAGATGTCAAAAGATGAAAGAAAAGATTTCTATCGTAATATTGCTAGAGGTTTACAGCGACCATTATTCTCTGTATATAGACGAGTAACCAGGATGTATGATCAGAAAAATCACATTGGCAAATATACACCTGATGAAATTAACACGCTTAAAGAGTAAGTAGATAGAATGACAGTTTTACAAAAACAGACAATTTATAAATATTTTGAAGAATTTAAGTTAACAATTAGTTGTGTACCCTCTTTAATTTTGTCTCTGTTTTTATTTCTATTTTTAAATACTGAATAACATTGTACTTCCCCTTGAGGGAACCCACTGTTTAGATATTGGACCTAGTTTCTCAGACTGAGAAGTAAAATCCCCACCCAACATTGGACTGTTCGTAGTTTTGCTGAATGTATTAAATATCCTCCCTTGTAGGGAGAGGGTCTTCTCATAGCACTAAAAAGATCCCTCAACCATCATTTGTTCAGTAGGAATAAAATGAGTGGGGGTATCAATGAGACAGCAACCAAACATCACAAATAACCAAAAGGCATTTATAGGGCAAGATACAGTCGACAATATTAGGTTTATATCTGATGATGGCTCTTTAATTCAAAGCCCTACCAAATACCCTTATGTTTCTTGTTGCAATTACCCCTGCTTCAGTGTCCCATCTTGACACCTTTTCATTTAGTGTTAATTATATACCATCCATTTCATGAATGTTACTTGGATATAGACTTTTTATGCTGTTAGGTTATAAACAATCAACAATCAGTTAATTAATATTGTTTTCTTTTCCATTAAAATTATTTAGATAAATTCTGAATATTTGAATGTTTTTCATGGACATTATCTGAGACATTTCAATTGCAACAGATTCTTAACATAGAGAGGACAAAAGTTGTGGTCTTTAAATTTGATATACTATGTTTGTAATGAACCTGCCTGTTTGTTAATTTTCAGACTTCGTGGAAAGTTTGGTAATGATTGGGCATCAATTGGTGCTGCTCTAGGTAGAAGTGCTTCATCTGTAAAGGATAAATTCAGACTGATGAGGGAAACTTGTAATTCAGGTAGGAATGAAATTGTAAAAAGATAATGTTGCATATTTAAATCATTTAAGTCATATAACAATATTCATTGATTATGTCACCGCCCTGGCAGAAGGGGCATTAAGTGTTACCCTTGTCCGTCTGTACGTCAAGACGTGCGTATTGACGTCCCAAAATTAGTTTCCGCTCTCTAACTTTAGTTTGCCTCAACCAAACGTTATGAAACCTATACACAATGCTTATTACCATAAAACACAGATCATGTTTGAAATTGGATGGCTTCACTTGTACCTCGAGTTATGTCCATTTATAAAGGTATATGCAAGCGGGGGCATCATCTGTGTCCCATGGACACATCCATTTATTTTTTTTGCACATTATATTTTCATGGATACATAAGAAATGCAGTTAGTTCTATGCAATCATCTTTGTCCATCTATTTCATTCATTGATGTGCTAATTTGGTACAAAAATGCTTTTTAGATAGAAGGAATACAATTTCCTCTATTGTGAATTTTTAAGTTAGCAGATTAACAAAGCATTCCAGTCAAAATGGGATGTGATTTGAGTGCAGTGTAAACCAGTTAAATGTTTCTATTTAGAATAGACTCAATTGTCCTGGTGAGCAACAAACATTGAAAGCATGTTTATTTTGCAGAACTGTTCATTGCACCATAATTTTTTTTAAATGATCTCCAAGTTTGGATGGGTTTTCTGAACACTGATCAACAGTGGTGCTAGTCCACATGTAATTCTACTGTTATTCAGAAATTTGTGTTGCATTGATCACAGCGATATTATACAATGAACAAAAATGTAGGAATATTGGAAATGCTGAATTCAAATAAAGATATTAAAATTTAGAATTTTTGGGAAACCTTTAACATTTTTGCAATAATTTAATTTTGGATGTAACATGTCGTCTGATTGGCTGAAAATTTTTTGTCTATCAGCTAATAGACATAATTTTGTCATGTGACCATGAAGTCATTAACGTATTTTCATGATTTACTCCTTAAAAATGGAATTTAGAATTAAATTATAAGGAATGTCTATAATATTTTTTCTGTCTATTCGAAATAACTCAAAAATTTGGTGCACACTTTTAAATAACCCCTGCACAGGTTATTCAGTGTGCACCACATTTTTGATGTTATTTCTTCATAGAAAAAAATATTACAGTCATTCCTTAAATAATAAAAAAAAATAATTAATATCACAAAAAATTCAGAATTTATTAAGAATTTTTTTTGTTGGTTATTGAGCCTCCTCATGGGGTTTTTGATTATGTGATTACTTGGCCATTTTTATAGTGATTTTTTGATTACCAGACCAAATATTTCATGATTATTTGATTAAATGATAATCTAGGACTGTATTTTTGATTATTTGATTATCTAGGTTCAAAAAATAATTAATGATTATATGATTATATCAGCCAAAAAAATGTGATTATGTGATTACTTGGACACCCCCGTGAGGGGCCTCATTATTACATCAATGCCATATTAGAAAATAGCAAGCTTCCTTTGATGTCTTTCTTCAGATGGTGACACCTAAACTTGTCTGACAAAAAAAAACTGTTAATTTAAATTTGTCTAGTCATGAAACCACAACTGAGTTTCAAGTTTATATTTTGTAGGTAAATGGTTGAGGGAAGAAGAAAGGAGATTAGCTTCAGCTGTATATGATCTGGCAGGTGTCAAACCAGGTAGGAATGGCTAACCAAAAGAAACAAACAATTGTGGTCATAAAAAAAGAAGCAGAAGACATCAAGGGGATATTCAAAGCTCATAGAAATAAATGGCCATGCCATTCCTAAAAACAAATAAAGGATGAAAAAAGCAAACAAGTCCACAAAATACTATATAGAAAAACAAAGACTGACCAACACATACTCCATCAAAAACTTGAGGTGAACCCCTGAAAGGCTAACAGTTCCTGCTCCTCATGTGGCACCTGTTTTGTTGCTCATGCAAGTACAAATCCAGTGATATAAAGTCTCATTGTGTGATGTCACAATCCAGGAAAAGAGGAATGGAAGGGTTTTTTTTACCACATTTGGAACAAATTCCTGGTCATCTGTAACACAGATATTCCATAATAGTCAACCAACTTGTGATAGTAATAACCATCATGTAAGCTCAAGGCTGAAATATTTGAATCCAAGTACACACATGTATGATGAATGTATGAAGTAAATAAATGTTGTTATTACATTGGTTGCAATGAATTACCGTGATTTCCCAGTGAAATAAAAATCGATAATTTCACTCCTCTGACGTCATACAACAATAGGTTTTGTCCATGACGTTCCATCAAAGCAAATTGTGAAGGCGTAAAAAAAATATAGTTCCTTGCATTTTTACTTTATTTCCATTAAAAACCCATTGGCAATGTAATAAAAAGAATAACTAATCAAAGAATTCAAATATCGAAAAATATTCAACTTGTGACCAAACAACACTGATAACTAACTCATGCATTACGTGCATTTGTGAATTAATGTGTTGTTTGGTCACTCGTTGCATATTTTTATATATTAGAATTCTTCGTTTAGATATTCTATAATTGTTTGATTTACATTGTATGTTCAACATTTTATATGAAGTGTAAATAGTCAAATTTTAATCTAATTTTAAAATGAAATATTTGTTTCTTGTTTCATTAGTCTTCCCAAATGAATATATGCGTAAACTGTTTTGAAATTAAGTTGGATTCTGTCTATTATATGACAGGTGAAAATGTTACAACTGGATTATCCTGGGCATTGGTTGCAGAGAGAGTTCAAACCAGGTCAGAAAAACAGTGTCGAACAAAATGGCTGAATTATCTGAATTGGAAGCAGAAAGGAGGTACAGAATGGACTCGTGAGGATGATATAAACTTAGTTCTAAAGTATGTTTACCACTCAGACTTTGATCTGAATTAATTTACATTTCTCAATCATGTGTATCTTTTTCTCTGTGAGGATGATTTGTCACCTTTCATAAAACACATTTTAAATGAAAACTAGAATTAGGATAAAGGAGTAGGGGCAATAAGGCCATTATTTGGCCCAAATATTACGGCAAATTTAAAAGTTATCATACATATTCTTAAATTTGTCTAAACTAGACTAAGGTACAAGGTATTCAGGAAATAAAAACAAATTTCACATTGAATAAGCTTCCATGGCAACAAACCATGTCGAATTTGTATATTTTGTAAAATTTCTTGAATATCCTTGTTTTTCATCAAATTCTAAGTATATTTTAGATTGGCAAAGTATGTGCGCACCCAAGAAACAACTTTATATTTGGAGAGATTATGTCAATAGTTATAATAAAGCTTCTCTTAAAATATTTTGTTGTTTCTTGGCTGCGCACGATGTTTCCGTAATGGAAATAACAATGGAAAATTGCACAAATTCTGTATTTTTCATCGTTTTCATGAAAACGGTACATATTATGACGTAATTGTAACGTCATCAGATAAACAATCTTATGTTTTTCATTTATATTTCTTCACTCTATGCATTTCCAAACAATATGTGCCAAATTGAAATAGTTGTCATACATTTTATTTTCTTAGGCCAAAACCGAGCCTTAATGCCCCTACTCCTTTATCAAAATCAGAAATTTACAATAGTCTTTGTTTGCTAGTATTAAAATATGAACACTTGATTTTAGCTTAAGTTTAATGGAATGAACAAAAGTCCTTAGAATGGTCATATTAATTATTATCTGTATTTATTGATCACTTTTGACCTCACAAACATGTTCATGTATTATAAATTTGTTACTGTTCTTTGCACATTTTATCATTGCAAACAAAATTTTTATGCCACAGTTATATGAATCATCTTGGTGGTGCTGCTTAACATGCTCATCTCTGGTGTGGCTGGTCAAAAGTATCATTGCATACATAGTCAAGCTAACTACTTTACAATTGGTATACTTAATTATTCACAAATGTTACAACATTAAGGAGGTAGAGTTAAAATTTGTGCCTCATACTTAAAATAATGTGTTGGATGGGGCCATATATGCTATAAATATATCATGCATGTGTGGACATCACATTGAAGGGTTAAATATGAAAATCAAATTATAAAAAAAAAATTGTACATCATAACATAAGAGGTTCTTTGTTTACATTAATTTGTCACCTGTATATTGTACGGCAATAATGATTTGAAATTGTCTTTCTATTTTTGTATTGAACAACATTGCCAAGACAATCAAAATTTTCATATAAATATTAATAAATGTTACTTTATTTATCTCAGAATAGCTAATTTGGATGTAAATGATGACACAGAGATTGATTGGAATGATCTAGCCAGTAACTGGCCAAGGTTAGTTGTAATCACGTAGTATAACATTAAAAATATGGTTCAGTTTATATATTTATTATAATATCACAGATTAATAATCTAGAAATAGACATATTAATGAGTGATTTCACACTCTAATTTGATAAACATACCATCCCTTCAATAAAAAGTGTACATTAATTTAATAGTTCTTTTAAGATATGACTTATAAACTACTAAGCTGCTATCTTTTCGTGTTTCAAATGCAAATCTATTTACTTATTTATTTTTAGTGTGAGATCTCCCCAGTGGTTGAGAGGAAAGTGGTGGTCATTAAAAAGACATTGTACAGAATATCAAAGTATGGAATTTAAAGGTATGACACTTTGTCAATTTTATTTAGATCTTATTAACAGGTTTGGATTGTCTACAATTCTATATTGTATAGCTCGATTGGGCTATATTAACCCCATTGAGTTAGAAACAATTATCTCCCTTAAAAATATTTCAAAAGAAATTTAAGTTTCTGCATTATTAATTGGATTTGCAGTTTAAAACTTTACAGGCATTATACAGAAATATATTTCATTATGTTTGTGTACAAACTTTTAACTCTTACCATGATTTTTTTGGAGGATTATTTTTTCTCTCTGTAAAATGAAAGATTATTGCATGATTAAATTCAGCATTACTTCCTTATTTTAAAGTCTGCAAAGTTTCATATTGCACTTCCAAAACGGGAATTTCATTGAAAAATTGTCAACACAGAGAATTTTTTCTAGCCTGATTGAGCATAAATAGTTAGAACTGCATATACTCTGAACCTGATTAACCAGTGGGTAAATTATACCAGTGAATTTTATTTAGTTAATTATTTGTGAGAAGAAATACTGTTTGCAAGTAATCCCAGTGAATGGACCAATTCAAACATTCTTTTGTCCTTGAAAAAAACTCTGCTGTTTCATTGTCCTTTTAAATTATGTCTTGGCCAACAAAACAAGAGTTTTCCTGTAATACCACATATTTCTGAATGGTCCATTAGGATAATTGGTGTAATGACAGTAATCCAGTACAAAAAATACAAAGAACATCTAGTCGTCTACATCTGGTCTTCAACATAAGGCAAGTGTCTTTACCATAGCTTAAAATTCCAGAAAGGGCAAAATCCTTAAGATTTAACTTCAGTCAACCTGTGATGAAGTTTATAATTTGACAGACACATTATCATGTAGGAGGGTTAAATAAGTTTATTTGGAATAATGAACTCTCCCACAAGTAAATTTCATTAATTGGATAAAAAGTACAATAAAAATCAGTTGAAAAAAGCATTTTAACTCTTTGACAGCAAAAACTACAATAATGGACCAATTATGAAATTCATCTTTTTGTCCTTGAAAAGAACTGCAGTCACATTGTCCTTTTCAATGATGTATGATTGAAGAACATTCATAATTACTGAAAAAGGCTCAAAGTACTTTACATGTTGATACAGAAACCATGCTGTCCTTATAGAAACTATTTCAAGAAATCACCGTTAAATTATTTCTTATTCTTATGAATTCATGAGAGGAAAACAAAATATATATTCTTGTTTCCGACCTCCTGGCAGAAAAATTGAAATTGAGTAGGTAGGTAAAATGATTTTATTTTACAATATATTTTTATAGACAAAATCAGTGTTAGATAGGCATGATAATTTGTCATTGTATGTAAGGAGGCAGGAAACAAAACTAAATTTTGTTTTGCCTTTTGAGAATTTATTTTAAAACCAACTTTTGACTAAAGAATAAAAATTGAAGCCAAGAAAATATATGTATTTAAAAACATTAAGTATAGAGCTATCTACATAAGTTACTTCCTGTCATTTCAGGCCCAGAAATCCCTTTTTAGTACTTTTTAAGATATCCTTATAAAAACTAAATAGTTGCTGCATTTTATGATATATTTATATTGCAGATATGTTAGAGTATCTTAAGACAGTACATTTACAAAACCTGAAAGTAAAACAGACCCCACAAGCAGGCAGTGGTATGAAGTTTATAGGTCTACAGAATGATGTCACCACACAGTATATACCTATACAATTAAATTCAGGTATGTACAGGTAACAGTGGTATGAAGTTTATAGGTCTACAGAATGATGTCACCACACAGAATATACCTATACAATTAAATTCAGGTATGTATAGGTAACAGTGGTATGAAGTTTATAGGTCTACAGAATGATGTCACCACACAGTATATACCTTTACAATTAAATTCAGGTATGTACAGGTAACAGTGGTATGAAGTTTATAGGTCTACAGAATGATGTCACCACACAGTATATACCTATACAATTAAATTCAGGTATGTACAGGTAACAGTGGTATGGAGTTTATAGGTCTACAGAATGATGTCACCACACAGTATATACCTATACAATTAAATTCAGGTATGTACAGGTAACAGTGGTATGAAGTTTATAGGTCTACAGAATGATGTCACCACACAGTATATACCTATACAATTAAATTCAGGTATGTACAGGTAACAGTGGTATGAAGTTTATAGGTCTACAGAATGATGTCACCACACAGTATATACCTATACAATTAAATTCAGGTATGTACAGGTAACAGTGGTATGAAGTTTATAGGTCTACAGAATGATGTCACCACACAGAATATACCTATACAATTAAATTCAGGTATGTATAGGTAACAGTGGTATGAAGTTTATAGGTCTACAGAATGATGTCACCACACAGAATATACCTATACAATTAAATTCAGGTATGTACAGGTAACAGTGGTATGAAGTTTATAGGTCTACAGAATGATGTCACCACACAGTATATACCTTTACAATTAAATTCAGGTATGTATAGGTAACAGTGGTATGAAGTTTATAGGTCTACAGAATGATGTCACCACACAGTATATACCTATACAATTAAATTCAGGTATGTACAGGTAACAGTGGTATGAAGTTTATAGGTCTACAGAATGATGTCACCACACAGTATATACCTTTACAATTAAATTCAGGTATGTATAGGTAACAGTGGTATGAAGTTTATAGGTCTACAGAATGATGTCACCACACAGTATATACCTATACAATTAAATTCAGGTATGTACAGGTAACAGTGGTATGAAGTTTATAGGTCTACAGAATGATGTCACCACACAGTATATACCTATACAATTAAATTCAGGTATGTACAGGTAACAGTGGTATGAAGTTTATAGGTCTACAGAATGATGTCACCACACAGTATATACCTATACAATTAAATTCAGGTATGTATAGGTAACAGTGGTATGAAGTTTATAGGTCTACAGAATGATGTCACCACACAGTATATACCTATACAATTAAATTCAGGTATGTACAGGTAACAGTGGTATGAAGTTTATAGGTGTACAGAATGATGTCACCACACAGTATATATCTTTACAATTAAATTCAGGTATGTACAGGTAACAGTGGTATGAAGTTTATAGGTCTACAGAATGATGTCACCACACAGTATATACCTATACAATTAAATTCAGGTATGTACAGGTAACAGTGGTATGAAGTTTATAGGTCTACAGAATGATGTCACCACACAGAATATACCTATACAATTAAATTCAGGTATGTACAGGTAACAGTGGTATGAAGTTTATAGGTCTACAGAATGATGTCACCACACAGAATATACCTTTACAATTAAATTCAGGTATGTATAGGTAACAGTGGTATTAAGTTTATAGGTCTACAGAATGATGTCACCACACAGTATATACCTATACAATTAAATTCAGGTATGTACAGGTAACAGTGTTATGAAGTTTATAGGTCTACAGAATGATGTCACCACACAGAATATACCTATACAATTAAATTCAGGTATGAAACAATGGTGTGAAATTTACAGGATTACAAAACAAAGTTACTCAGCAGCATATGCTGGTAAATTCAGGTAGTTAAAAATAACTTTCCAATTTTGATGTACCCGGTACACAAGCAGTTTACCATATATAAAATATGTTTTGATCAATGTTTTAAGGATGTTCGCTACTCTGTTTCAAAATAACAAGCTTTGTAAAGACTTTTATAAATTAATAATATATACATAAAGGAACTAAAATAGTAGAAAAAAATTAAGGGTCCATGTGCTTGTTTTTGAGATATAAGTGATTGAAAATTTGGCGGGAAATGATTCTCTCTAGATTTTTCATATTTTTAACATTGACACCTTTTTTCTTTCAAAAACTATGAAAAAATAACAAGTATTTTAAAAGATTTTCAAATTTTGACATCAGCGGTCATCTCTGTACCAGAATCTATGACAAACGAGAAGATTTTAATTTTGAAATTAGCAATTTCCCCCACCTTAGTAGCAATATACCAACTTCTCCTGCATATGGGATATACATTTCCCAACTCATTCGGTATTCAAGAGCTTGCAGCTGCTACACAGACTTTGTAAAATGTCACCAGTGTCTGAGCCAAAAGTTGATGAACAAGGGTTATCATGGTTATGTCAAAGAACGTCTTGTCCTTTTTCTAAAAAAGTTCATCGGAAGATACCAAACCCTTGTTGATAAATATTCCGTATCAACTTCACAAATAATACACGATGGTCTTGATGTATAGATTCTAGGTACTGACGTTGTTTATCATCTTAATTACATGTTATAGTGTTCCTTTATTTGTCTTTGTAAATTACTAACATTTACTGTTTGGTCCATTTTTGGTAATATCCTTTAGACGTGGATCGGTACTTGTACATCCCGCCATTGTGTTGTGCTGTTGTCCTTTATTGTATTCTTGTGTTTCAATGTTGCATACGTGCTTTGTCTATATGCCATTTTGTTTTTCTTTGTTGACATATTTGTTTGTTTCTATATTGATTGAGAATATAACACAATGTTGACTGCTGTACCCTTATTTTTGACATTTTTACCTATTATGTCTGTTTGTTTTGTTCACACATTGTTGTCAATATAATGGAATTTCATGCAACTGTCATACAAGTGAGAGGTTTAGCTAGCTATAAAACCAGGTTTAATCCACCATTTTCTACATAAGAAAATGCCTGTACCAAGTCAGGAATATGACAGTTGTTTTCCATTTGTTTGATGTGTTTGATTTTGCCAATTGTTAAGGGACCTTCTGTTTTGAATTTTGAGTTCGGTATTTTTGTTGTTTTACTTTTCACTGACACAAGTAACCATGGATATCTGAAGGTCAACATATAGTGTTCAACAATAGACAGCTGTCTATACAATTGTCAAGCTCTATGTTTACCCATCAATAAATTTATCATTTTAGAGCAATCAGATTAGACACAATAATTCTTAGACAAGAGTTAATGTTAAATACATGATTTTGTGACACAAACTGTCATTATTCATTTGTTCTATCAGATGATATGTTAAAACAGACTTCTTCATTTTGTTGGTGATTGTCAGTTTTCAGTTTTTGCAGCAACCTTTCAGTGTAATGAACTTGTTATTTCCATTTATTGCACAATGTGCAAAACTGTAGGTTATTTCACTCATATTAAAGTACATTTATGGTCTATTGTAGTATATCATATTCCACAATTGTATGAGTGCAATTTGATGTGCTACAAGGGGCAGTGTTCCTTTATATTTATCAAAAACCCTTTATGATACGCTGTATATCTGGGTTTTTTCCAGTCTGCTTTTTTTTGCGAAATGATGATAAATTGGGCAGGTTAAATTTTCACTGTGTATAATTTACGATGAATGGGAAAATACACTAGAAAAAATCACTGTATTGTATGGTTAACGATGTAAACAACATAAACTTGATTGACTGACAGATAGTCGATTACAAATAAATAAGTTTACAGTTAACTACAAACTGAAATGCAGATAATTCGGAGATATTTCAATAATCGTTTAAATTAAGTTCATTGCGGTATGGTAAACAATAAAGGTTTTGATCATTTTTGTGCTGGTATACATGTGTAACAGAGCATTTTGAAAGCATATTTGTGCAAATATCCATTTGAAAGTGGTTTAATTTAATTTTATTTTTACATTATATGCAAAGTATTTTGATTATAACAACAATCAATAGACGTTGCTAATTAACATTTTTGAACATTTCACTGACTGCTGTATTGTCAAAAGGTATAGCATGTATGATTAGCCAATTTTATTATTATGAAAACAGAGATCTTGATTAATTGTGCACATTCTTGTGATCTTTTGATCAACACAAATGACTGATTTTATATATAATGTAATTTCATCTTTAGGGCGAAATGAGTGTTTAAATATCAATTTTTTGAAAACTTCATAATTAACAGTTTTATGTATGAAATATTTAAACAAGCTATAAATCTAGGAATAGGCAGGTAAATTTTGTGCAGGGTCTAATTTTCTTGTTTCTGTAGGTGTTGTAAATAAAGTGAAAATTAAACACACATGAAATAAAATGCTTCGCTGGGGCGCAGCTTGATACGACCGCAGAGGTCGAACCCTGAACAGTTGGGGCAAGTATGGACACAACATTCAAGCTTGATACAGCTCTGAATTTGGATTGTTATTAAATATTTGACACAGCATAGGTTTCTGACACAGAAAGAATGTGGTCTAAGAACTTGAATTTTTTTAATTTACCTATTATGGTCCAATGTCCAAAATCAAAATACATGGTTAGATTCAGCATATCAAAGAACCCCATATATTCAATTTTTGTTAAAATCAAACAAAGTTTAATTTTGGACCCCAACTTGGACAAACTTGAAAACTGGGCCCATAATCAAAAATCTAAACACATGTTTAGATTCAGCATATCAAAGAACCCCAATTCAATTTTTGCTAAAATCAAACTAAGTTTAATTTTGGACCCTTTGGACCTTAATGTAGACCAATTTAAAAAACGGGACTTAAAATTAAAAATCTAAATACACGGTTAGATTTGGAATATCAAAGAACCCCAATAATTCAATTTTTGATGAAATCAAACAAAGTTTAATTTTGGACCCTTTTGACCTCAATATGAACCAATTTGATAGCGGGGCCCACAAATAAAAAATCTAAATTCATGGTTAGATTCAGCATATCAAAGAACCCCTATATATTCAATTTTTGTTGAAATCAAAAAAAGTTTAATTTTGGACCCCAACTTGGACAAACTTGAAAACTGGGCCCATAATCAAAAATCTAAACACATGTTTAGATTCAGCATATCAAAGAACCCCAAGAATTCAATTTTTGTTAAAATCAAACTAAGTTTAATTTTGGACCCTTTGCACCTCAATGAAGACCAATTTAAAAAACAGGACCCAAATTAAAAATCTAAAAACACGGTTAGATTTGGCATATCAAAGAACCCCAATAATTCAATTTTCGATGAAATCAAACAAAGTTTAATTTTGGACCCTTTTGACCTCAATATGAACCAATTTGATAGCGGGGCCTATAAATAAAAAATCTAAATACATGGTTAGATTCAGCATATCAAAGAACCTCATATATTCAATTTTTGTTGAAATCAAACAAAGTTTAATTTTGGACCCCAATTTGGACCAACTTGAAATCTGGGCCCATAATCAAAAATCTAAATACATGTTTAGATTCAGCATATCAAAGAACCCCATATATTCAATTTTTGTTGAAATCAAACAAAGTTTAAATACTGGACCCTATCTTGGACCAACTTGAAAACTGGGCCCATAATCAAAAATCTAAACACATGTTTAGATTCAGCAAATCAAAGAACCCCAAGAATTCAATTTTTGTCAAAATCAAACTAAGTTTAATTTTGGACCCTTTGGACCTCAATGTAGACCAATTTAAAAAACAGGACCCAAATTTAAAAACCTAAATACACGGTTAGATTTGGAATATCAAAGAACCCCAATAATTCAATTTTAGATGAAATCAAACAAAGTTTAATTTTGGACCCTTTTGACCTCAATATGAACCAATTAGATAACGGGGTCCACAAATAAAAAATCTAAATACATGGTTAGATTCAGCATATCAAAGAACCCCATATATTCAATTTTTGTTGAAATCAAACAAAGTTTAATTTTGGACCCCAATTTGGACCAACTTGAAAACTGGGCCAAAAATCAAAAATCTAAATACATGTTTAGATTCAGCATATCAAAGAACCTCATATATTCAATTTTTGCTAAAATCAAACAAAGTTTAATTTTGGACCCTTTGGACATTAATGTAGACCAATTTGAAAACTGGACCCAAAATTAAAAATCTAAATACACTGTTAGATTCGGCATAACAAATAAATAAATGTGATCAAAGATTTTACAAATCTAATGCGCCATACTGTGCAATTAAAGATTACTTCTTGAAATTTTTCAATATTTGAAATTTGAAAAAAAAATAATATTTGAAGAATAATTCTTTTTAATTTCTGAAATCTGAAATGAGAAAAAATTGGCCCCCCACAATTTCTTTTTATCCCCCCCCCCCCCCCCTTTTTCCCCCCAAAAAATTCTTTCCCTCAAGATATGGTCATAATCTCAATTCAAATTTCCAATGGAGTTGGCAACCATAATTACCCATTTAAATTTACCATAGTGCTAACTTAATCTATTTTATAATAGAATTAATAAAAATATAGTGTCTAATCTTTCATATGGATTTTTTTGTAAAAAAAAAAGATGAAAACATTTGCAGATATTTTTACTGGTCTTCCTTTATAAATATGCATTTCTTTAAACATAATTTAAAAGCAGTGTAAGGGAAGTAACCAAAACGTTATATTTGGATTACCTCCCTTACACTGTTTTAGATTATCTTTATTGTTCATTAACCATTACTTTATACATAATTTAAAAGCAGTGTAAGGGAGATAATTTCAATGATGTATTTGATTTATCTCCCTTACACTGCTTTAAATTATGTTTTGTACTAAAGTATTTGTCCATTAACCAGGACAACCTTGTTTTTCCCCCTTTTTTGCCCCTAATTCCTAAACGGTTTGAGCCATAACCCCCCAAAGCAAATCCTAACCATCCCTTTGTGGTATGGAAACTTGTAGTATAATTTCAGAGAGATCCATACACCGTTCCACAGTTATTGTCTGGAAACTAGAAAATGCTCATTTTTGGCCCCTTTTTGGCCCCTAATTCCTTAACTGTTGGTACCATAACCCCCAAAATCAATCCCAACCTTCCTTTTGTGGTATTTAACCTTATGGTCAAATTTCAAAAAGATCCATTCACTTAAACTAAAGTTAGAGTGCGAAAACCAATATGTATTCGGACGACGACGCCGGACGACGACGCCGGACGACGACGACGACGACGACGACGACGACGACGCCAACGTCATACCAATATACGACCACAAAATTTTTTTGCGGTCGTATAAAAAACCTGATGTACAGTAGTTCCAAATATTCTTTACAATACTTTTTATGAGAAAAATAATCAACATAGAGATAATTATATATGTGATACTTTACTTTCAGGAGTAGATGATGGTGGTGATAGTATTCAGTATGAAGTTCTCCACCAATCAGATTCAGGGATGTACCTAATCCAACCAGCCAATAGTACCCCTATCTCACTCAGTAGCATGGCCATGGGAACAGATCATATTATTGTTCATGCCCTACCTGTAAGCTTTTGTTATTGCTGATCCTAAAATACTGTAATTTCAGAAATTATTGTGTGCATTTATTATTGCAATTTCAAGAAATGCTGCAGACATATTTATATGCTATCAAGTTTTTATTTTGCAAAATATATCATGTCGCAATTTTGCAAAATAATAAAGACATCGCAATAATTTCTGAATTAAAATTATTCATGAGTGGTTATTTAATGGTTTTAATTACCAGCAAAATTGCTCAAAGGTTCCAACTTCCCAGCAATTTTAATGCAAAATATTTTTATCTACACTTTTCATTTATAAAGACTTTTGACATTCAGTTTTTCTGATGGACCCTTTTAGTTGGTGAAAATTATAATTGGAAAAAGGAATTGATTGCTATAAAATCACTCTTTGGCCCTGTCCCTCTTTGAGTGGATTAATCTAAACAGTCCATATTATAAGATTAAATTACAATTGCTTTTGAATTTTAATGTAAACAATTTCAAACATGATTGCACCAAAATATTAATGTTATTTTAAAATTACATCTTAATATTTTTTTTTCATATAAAGTAATCATAATTAATGTCAGATTACAAATAATTACTGATTCATTGCAGCTTTCAAAAACTTGAATCATTCTTCTTGACAAGTTTCCAACAGGAAGGCAACATTAGCATGATCAAAAGCAGATACAAATTAAAGTCTGATTTTTGCTTTTTGTCGAGCCTTCGACTTTTGTTGAAAAAGCGAGACATAGCAATCCTACATTCCGTCGTCGTCGTTGTTGTCGGCTGCGGCGGCGGCGTCCACAAATATTTACTCTGTGGTTAAAGTTTTTGAAATTTTAATAACTTTCTTAACCTATCCTGGATTTCTACCAAACTTTGACAGAAGCTTGTTTATGATCATAAGATAATATTCAAAAGTAAATTTTGTAAAAAAAAAATTCCATTTTATCCGTATTTTACTTATAAATGGACTTAGTTTTTCTGCCAGGAAACATTACATTCACTCTGTGGTTAAAGTTTTTGAAATTTTAATAACTTTCTTAAACTGTCCTGGATTTCTACCAAACTTGGAAAGAAGCTTGTTTATGATCATAAGATAGTATCCAGAAGTAAATTTTGTAAAAAAAAAAATTCCATTTTTTCCGTATTTTACTTATAAATGGACTTAGTTTTTTTCCAGTTAACATTACATACAGTCTGCAGTTTTAAGTTTTTAAAACATTTATTAGATTCATAAACTATCCTGGATTTTTACCAAACTTAGACAGAAGCTACTTACAATCAAAAGATAGTATAGAGAGGAATATTTTTATTAATTTTTTTCCTCATTTTTGTTGAGCCTGCGATTAACAGCAAAAGTAGGCGAGACACTGGGTTCCGCGGAACCCTTACGAATTTTTATTTAATATAAGGTCCGGATCCTTAAGTCTAAACTTACAAATATTAGCTTTATTGCTTTGTTTATTATCTCTTCTGGGACCATTGAGACCGTTCAATATTCCTTCTCCTTACATTTCTAAACAATTACCCACAGGATCTCAAAGGTATAATAATTACTTGACATTACCAGACTATTGTACTCTATCAGGTTAAAAAAAAAATATTTTATGATAAATATTTGTGAGGATATTAATATATAAAAAATGTGTATTTTATTATTGATTAGAAATTTCTCATAAAAACAAAAAAGATTTTCAATTGAACTATAAGTAAGTTGCTTTTCTGTTGGAATATTCTGATATTGAACTGTGTATTGAAGATCAGATATGTTAATTTAACAAATATTTATACCAATTTCTTTATTATAGACAACTAACATAGCAACAAGTGAAAGTGTATCTGTAGAAATGAACCCTCAGTCTGTGATACTCTCAAATGAAAACAATAGTGAAGTTACCTCTCTTGATTCCACAACAATCTCATTACCAATAGAACAAGACTCTCTTTCAGTTAGTAATGGAGGTAAGCTACCACTGTTGATTTTTATTTGTGAGGTAAAATTGTCTCCAATTCCAATTAGCCATTGACACAAGGTATATCTGTAGAACATAAAATTGAAGTGGAAATATGGGAGATAATTTGTACTGGTTCTATCTTATTTTTAGTCCCAGACTGACGAAGTCGAAGGGGACTTTAGATTTGCACTCTGTCCGTCTGTCCATCCGTCAGTCTGGCAACTAATTTTTCCACACTTTTCTTCTTCGTTCTTGAAGATATTGATTTGATATTTGGTATATAGTTTTATCATGACAAGTTATAGATCAAGATCGAATTTTGTTCCGGTCTGATGATTTAGTCCAGAGTTATACTCCATAACTAATGTAAGAGTACTATGTTAAACCATATATCTGTACAAAGGGAGATAACTAATTTTTTAAAAGACATTCTTTGGTAAATTGTTTGAGGAATTTTGTGACAGGTTTATATGTTATTTTGTATAAACTAATTTTCTGAATGCTACATGTATATATATATATATATATTTTTTTTATTAAGTGAAATTCTTTAATTAGATAATAATCTATTTTTATTAAGGTATATATCTCATTACATTACATTGTGTAGATAAAAGTTGTTGACATTTTATAGATAAGTTACAAATCTATATTAGTTTGTGACAAATGAAAGAAAAAATATTTGGAACTATTAATTATATTTGATTGTAATTTGAAAATAGATATACATTGTATTACATCATATCTAATCTTAGAGAACTATAAATCATATCTAATTTTAAAGTGTTATAGGTTTTCCACACTTTTTATGCCCCCACCGTAGCGGAGGGGGCATTAAGTTTTACCCTTGTCCGTCTCTACGTACGTCCGTACTTACGTCCCAAAGTTGCCATTCTCTAACTTTAGTTTGCCTCAACCAAATGTTATGAAACTTATACACAATGCTTATTACCACTAAATACAGATCAAGTATGAATTTTGGTGGCGTCACTTTTACCGTTCTAGAGTTATGCCCCTTTACAAATGGAAAAATTGCTAAATTTTTCGTTTCCGTTCTGTAACTTGAGTTTGTTTTAGATTAATGTAATGAAATGTATATATAATGCTTTTTACCACAAAACTCAGTTTAATTTGTTTCCGTTCTCTAACTTTAGTTTGCCTCAACCAAATGTTATGAGACTTATACACAATGCTTATTACCACATAATACAGATCAAGTTTGAAATTGGGTGGTGTCACTTTTACAGTTCTTTAGTTATGCTCCTTTATAAACATAAAAATTGCTGAATTTTCCGTTTCCGTTCTCTAACTTTAGTTTGCTTCAACCAAATGTTATGAAACTTATACACAATGCTTATTACCACGTAATACAGATCTAGTTAGAAATTGGGTGGTGTCACTTTTACTGTTCTTGAGTTATGCCCCTTTATAAACATAAAAATTGCTGAATTTTTTGTTTCCCTTCTCTAACTTTAGTTTACCTCAACCAAATGTGATGAGACTTATACACAATGCTTATTACCACAAAACTCAGATCAAGTACAAATTAAGGTAGAGTCACTTTTACCGTTCTTCTGTTATGTCTTTATACGATATGCAAGCAGGGGCATCATCTGTGTCCATGCATGGACACAATCCACATTTATTTTCATCATGCTTGAAGATATTGATTGACAATTGGTATATAGTTTTATCATGACATATTACAGATCAAGTTCAAATTTTTGTTTCCGTCTGATAATTTTGTGCAGAGTTATGGTCCTTGGACTTGAAAAAATTCACTCATATATTCAGTTTTCCACACTGTTTTTAGTCATGCTTGAAGATAATGACTTGATATTTTCTTTTTGTTTACACCATGACAAGTTATAGAACAAGTTAGCATTTTGTTCCAGTATAATGAATTTTTACCCGGTAGGGGACTATGTATTGCCATGCAATACTCTCAGAATGCTTGTTCTTAGTAAAATATATTTCAATAGCTTATGATGGTATGTTATCTCCCTCTAAACTACATTAAGTACTCATAGTACAACATTTGTGCTTTAAACACCAAATTCAGTATTTTATTTGGTTGAATTCTGAGTCCAAGTACGATAATCATACCTGAAATTTTCATGACCGCAAGGCCGCCTGGTGTCAATGGTGGCTAATGAGTTATATTCCCTGTTTCCACTTTAATCTTATAATCTACAGAGATAGACCTGGTGTCAATAACTTATGATGGTATATTATCTTTTTGGGATAATAATCTCATTTTCACTTGAGATAGACATACTGTCATTAAACTAATAATAGTATATTGCTTCCCTCAGTTCTACCTCAATCTTTCTTCTATAGCAATATACTGGCTGTCTGTAGCTAATGAGGTTGAGTAATCTCCTTTAGTTCCACTTCAATATTATTTTCTATGGAGATATTCACACTATCAGTAGTTTATGAGGTGAACTTATCTCCCTTGCTTCCACATTAATCATGTCTGACAATAGCTGTTGGTACAATATCAATGACGTCAACCTATCTTTTCACAACTAAGACCTTGTCAAATACAATGTTTAAGATGTAGTAGGATCATGATAATGACCATAGAATGATGGGGAAAATCTGTTATATGAGTTATCACATATTTTTTTGTAAATGATCCATAACAAAACAACAAAATTGCACCAACAAAAAAAAAAATTACAGTAAATATTTTTTATATTTTAGAGCTTCAGCCTTCAACAGATTTTGAATCTCCAGTAAGTATATGAACTCAAAATAATTCTGGGTTTAAGTTCTGGAAAGATGCAAAAAAAATAAGGCGATAAGAAGATATTGTTACTCAAGATTTCATTTTTGATTTAGAGGGGTTATTTTTAGTTGCAACATAGTCAAACTTGGCTAGCAATATAAAGAACACCAGTCATCTGGATGTCAATGTTTCAGTTTCTTGACAAAATAATTGAGCCATAAACAATATCTTACACAAACTTGGTTTGATAATGACACATGCTGATTTTGAGATTATTATGTCAAAGGTAAAGGTCACAGCAGTAATTAGTCACTTTAAACTTGGCCTAAAATTTGGTTCCCAATGACATCTTTTGAAATATATATTCCAAACCTAAATCAAACTTTAAATTGTCTCTTGGAAAGAACAGGAACCTGATTGATTGTAGGTCAGTAGGTCAAAATTCAATATTAAAGTGCCTATGAGAATGATGAATAAAAGGGAAAGGTTTCTTTCCATACAATATCTGTTGAGCCATAAATCAGATATTTACCAATCTTTGGCTGATAATGGGGTCAGATAGACCTGTTTTGGTTTTGAGATCACTATATGTCAAATGTCAAGTTTGCAACAGCAATTGATTGGTTACTAGGGTAATATTGGTGCAATATTAATATGTCTTTTGAACGGCAGGATAAATATTTGCCAACCTTTGCTTGAAAATGTTCCTTTGGAAAGGACAAGACTCCTTGTTGTTTTTTTCGGTCAGTAGGTCAAAGACATACATAAAACAACATTTTTGGAAATATTTCCCATTTAGACAATATATTTTGACCTTCATATAAAATCTTTACCAATTTATGTAGGATAATGCTCTTTGGTGAAAAATACCCCTATTGATTTTGAGGTCACTTGGTCAAAAGTCAAGGTCATAACAGCAATTAACAGACTGAAATTTTGACTATTTTTATGCCCCCGCCGTAGCGGTGAAGGCATTAAGTTTTACCCTTGTCCGTCCGTACGTCCCAAAATTGGTTTCCGTTCTCTAACTTGAGTTTGCCTGAACCAAATGTTATAAAACTTATACACAATTCTTATTACCACAAAAAACAGATCAAGTTCGAATTTTGGTGGCGTCACTTTAACCGTTCTAGAATTATGCCCCTTTATAAATGGAAAAATTGCAAAATTTTTATTTTCTTCTAAATATCAAGTAATTTTTATACGCCACTAAGGGACGTATTATGGTATACCGTTGTCAGTCTGTCCGTCCGTCGTCAACATGTCGGACATTAACTCAAAATTGATTTAACCAATTTGCATAAAACTTTGGTGAATTGTTTATATTTATTGAGGTGAGCTCCCTTTTGTTTTTTATAAATTTTAGATTTTACGTTTCCGAGTTTTGGGGTTTTATTCATTAAAAAAAGGGGGATTTTCCAGTTTTCGGACAATAACTCAAGAATGCTTTCACCAACTTGCAAGAAATTGTGGTGAATTGTTTATATCTATTGACATGAGTTCCCTTTCGAATTTTATAAATTTTAGATTTTACGTTTCTGATTTACAGGGTTTTATTCATAAAAAAGGAGGATTTTCCAGTTTTTGGACAAAAACTCCAAAATGCTTTCTGCAATTCTTATGAAACTTTAGTGAATTGTTTATATCTATTGATGTAAGCTCCCTTTAGAATTTTATAAACTTTTCATTTTACATTTCTGAGTTATGGGGTTTTATTCATTAAAAAAGGGGTGATTTTCCAGTTTTCGGACAATAACTCAAAAATGCTGTCAGCAATTCTCATGAAACTTTGGTGAATTGTTTATATCTATTGATGTAAGCTCCCTTTTGATTTTTATAAATATCTAATATGACATTGAGAATTAATTGAACTTTATTTGTTTATAGTCTGACAACAGATTTACTAAGTATTGCGCAACAGCACAGTGTATTACACAACAGCAAGAAATCTTTAATTGAATATAAATTCAATTCATATAACCAATTTCAAGTTCTTTGACTACATTTATTCAGAAACCTATATGTCGAATATTTAATTACAATCCAAATTCAGACCTGTATCAAGCTTGAATATTGTGTCCATTTTTGCCCCAACTGTTCAGGGTTGGACCTCTGCGGACGTATCCAGCTGCGCTCAGCGAAGCAGTTTATTAAGTCTCCCAAACGAAGTTTGGGAAGACTTATTGTTTTTGCTCAGTTCTTATTATTATTATTATTCTTCTTCCGCCGCTTTTAAATTTGAACTTGTCCGCACCTGTTCTCCAAAACTGCTTGTCAGATTAACTTAGGGTTTCACAATATGTTAGACTAACATGTCTAGTGGTGCAATCAGGGTTTTGTTTGTGCAATGGGGTTTATAAAGGGGTACTTTGAGGGGCAAAAAGGAAAGAGGGTTTTACTATAGAACCCTATGGGATTTTATTTTTTAAAATTTTCAAATGATTATAAATTGAAAACCGTTTGTGATAGACACAATCTTTTTAATTGAAAATGTTCTAAATGATAAAGCCCATTAAATGAAATACAGGGTTAGTCCCCAGGGGTCACCCCCACCCCCTGCCATTTAAGAAAGTTCTAATATCTTCTAAGTGGTCAAGATCCCCACCCCTAAACCATATATATTCTGGTTTGTCATGCTAAGATGGTTTGAATGATATACAGGGTTAGTCCCCAGGGGTCTTTCCGACCCCCTGCCATTTGAGAAAGTTCTTATATCTTGTAAATGGTTGAGATCCCCACCCCTAAACCATATATATTCTGGTTTGTCATGATAAAGCACATCAAATGAAATACAGGGTTAGTCCCCAGGGGTCACCCCCACCCCCTGCCATTTAAGAAAGTTCTAATATCTTGTAAGTGGTCAAGATCCCCACCCCTAAACCATATATATTCTGGTTTGTCATACTAAGATGGTTTGAATGATATACAGGGTTAGTCCCCAGGGGTCATCCCGACCCCCTGCCATTTGAGAAAGTTCTAATATCTTGTAAATGGTCGAGATCCCCACCCCTAAACCATATATATTCTGGTTTGTCATGATAAAGCACATCAAATGAAATACAAGGTTAGTCCCCAGGGGTCACCCCCATCCCCTGCCATTTAAGAAAATTCTAATACCTTGTAAGTGGTCAAGATCCCCACCCCTAAACCATATATATTCTGGTTTGTCATGCGAAGATGGTTTGAATGATATACAGGGTTAGTCCCCAGGGGTCATCCCGACCCCCTGCCATTTGAGAAAGTTCTAATATCTTGTAAATGGTCGAGATCCCCACCCCTAAGCCATATATATTCTGGTTTGTCATAATAAAGCACATCAAATGTTATACAGGGTTAGTCCCCAGGGGTCACCCCCACCCCCTGCCATTTAAGAAAGTTCAAATATCTTCTAAGTGGTCAAGATCCCCACCCCTAAACCATATATATTCTGGTTTGTCATGCTAAGATGGTTTGAATGATATACAGGGTTAGTCCCCAGGGGTCTTTCCGACCCCCTGCCATTTGAGAAAGTTCTAATATTTTGTAAATGGTTGAGATCCCCACCCCTAAACCATATATATTCCTGTTCGTCATGTAATGAACATTTGAATGACGTATAGGGCCAGTCCCCAGGGGTTCCTCCCCACCCCCAATGTTCTAGTATCTTGTAAATGGTCGAGATCCCCACCCCTAAACCATATATATTCTGGTTTGTCATGCCAAGATGATTTGAATGATATACAAGGTTAGTCCCCAGGCATCACTAATGCATATAACTTTACTGGACCAAACCAATTTTCACTGGACGTTGCCCAATGTCAGGCGACCCTGGGAATTACGAATTATGGGAGCTTCGTTTGGGAGACTTCGTAACAGCATCCTGTTACAATCATTTCTTGTTAAAATTGGAGTTATCTTCCTTTGTCCATGATTATAGTTAAATCAACTACAATCAATGCTTTATACAATGCAATGTTTAATTTTGACTTCCACTGATAAAACACAGATCAAGTTCGAATTTTGGTGGCGTCACTTTAACCGTTCTAGAATTATGCCCCTTTATAAATGGAAAAACTGCAAAATTTTTATTTTCTTCTAAATATCAAGTAATTTTTATACGCCACTAAGGGACGTATTATGGTATACCGTTGTCAGTCTGTCTGTCCGTCGTCAACATGTCGGACATTAACTCAAAATTGATTTAACCAATTTGCATAAAACTTTGGTGAATTGTTTATATTTATTGAGGTGAGCTCCCTTTTATTTTTTATAAATTTTAGATTTTACGTTTCCGAGTTTTGGGGTTTTATTCATTAAAAAAAGGGGGATTTTCCAGTTTTCGGACAATAACTCAAGAATGCTTTCACCAACTTGCAAGAAATTGTGGTGAATTGTTTATACCTATTGACATGAGTTCCCTTTCGAATTTTATAAATTTTAGATTTTACGTTTCCGATTTACAGGATATTATTCATAAAAAAGGAGGATTTTCCAGTTTTTGGACAAAAACTCAAAAATGCTTTCTGCAATTCTTATGAAACTTTAGTGAATTGTTTATATCTATTGATGTAAGCTCCCTTTAGAATTTTATAAACTTTTCATTTTACATTTCTGAGTTATGGGGTTTTATTCATTAAATAAAATGCTCCGCAGGGCGCAGCTTGATACGACCGCATAGGTCGAACCCTGAACAGTTGGGGCAAGTATGGACACAACATTCAAGCTTGATACAGCTTTGCATTTGTATTGTGATTAAATATTGGACACAGCATAGGTTTCTGACACAGAATGAATGTGGTCTCAGAACTAAAAAATTTTAGATTGGACATTCACCTATTATGGTCCAATATCCAAAATCTAAATACATGGTTAGATTCAGCAAATCAAAGAACCCCAAGAATTCAATTTTTGATGAAATCAAACAAAGTTAAATTTTGGACCCTTTCGACCTCAATGTGGACAAAGTTGATAACGGGGCCCAAAAATCAAAAATCTAAATACAGTCAAACCTCGTTGTGTCGAACTCGGTTGTGTCAAAAAATCGGATGAGTCGAAGTAATTTTGAGGTCCCGGTAAAATTCCTGTTTGATCAATGCATAATTACCTCTGATGAGTCGAACTCGGTTGATTCGAATACTCGGTAAAGTCGAGTAAATTTTATAGTCCCGTCGATATAAAATTAATGTAAATTGACCCTGATGTCTCGAAGTTCGAATGTAAGAGTTTTCGAAAAAGTCGACCTAATGATAAAAATTCAAATCGGATGTTTTTCTTATGTAACCTACTCATTTTCAAAAGAGATTAAAGCTGAGTAAACATACTTGTTTGTATAACAGTTAAAATGACATGTTTATGGTGGCCGGTAATTATCACCTTGTTGATTGTTCAAGCGGAACGTTAGTGTGTTGAACATATTTCACATGAGATAAAAACAAAACGAATTTAAAAGACCCAAGCCGAGATTAAATAAATCGTTAGAATTAAAACTCATTAATTACATCAAATAAAAGGATTAAGACAATGATGATGAATTCATGATAATTTAATGTAAAGCAGACGACCTCATCAGAGACCGTTCAGACCTTATTTTGTTCCGCAAGTGATTTCATAATTTATAGTAATTAATCTTTGTAAATATTTGTGTAGAAAGTTGATTTTATTTGTGCATGATTTGTATCTGTACTTGTGTGTTAAATTATTATGAAGGACCAAAATGGAGATTGAATACACAATCATAAAGTGTAATATCGAAAAAAGGCACACTGTTCAAAGTATCTAGTTTACGCAAATCTCATTCCGTATTTCATGCATTCCAAATTTATGACGGCACACTCGACCTCGGATGAGTCGAACCTCGGATGAGTCGAACCTCGGATGAGTCGAATACTTTGGTCCGGTCCCTTCGACTTCGACACAACAAGGTTCGACTGTACATGGTTAGATTCAGCATATCTTTATACAAAACATTCTTGGGGCTACTCAATCATTGGAAAATTTAACCTTTAAATTTTTTAAATACATAACAATGATGGGGAGATCCCTGCAGCAAACTTAACTGTATGAAATGTCACCTGGGGCGATCCCGGCAGGTGTGAGCTACTTGACTAGAGAAATTAAACTTAACTGTATGAAATGTCACCTGGGGCGATCCCGGCAGGTGTAAGCTACTTGACTAGAGAAATTACCGACCTGGCAGGAATTAACCCATCTGATGTATTATTGAATTGGGGGAGTATAATTCCCCTTGAATTATAAAGGCCTGATGCAATTATCCATAATATGAGTAGCCTCTAAATTGGTGAGAAAACAAGTCTAAATATACAATGTACATACATAAAACTAAACTTAATGACTAAGTTAGTTATTAATGATTAAAACGATTATTAAAGAACTAATATCATAACATCAATATCATATGTACAATAATGTGTTATAAATCATTGTTAATTATTAAAAAGGCTAGAATGAAAATCCCTTAGGTTCAACAAATACAATATGAAGCTTCACTATCTACCTATACACTAACAGTTACATACTGGTAAGATACAAGTATATTATTCGAAACCCAGATTGGAGTAGCTGGGGACGGTGGGTGGGATAGCTGATTAACATACATATGATACACGTGTAGGTAAGTTTGTCAATCTGATAATGAGGTCATCAAAACACATACCCCCTCTAGTAGTAAACAATAATAGAATCTAAAAATAGATTGACAGAGGCTTCTAAACTCTAGACAGAAGATAAATTGTGTTGTGTATAAACTATAATTTAATAAATCAAATTTCCTTTTATACACAACACATTTTAAAGAAAGACTTTTATTATATAACATAATAACTCTAAACATCATTATCTAAATTAAACACCATAACATACATGTAACAATAAACATTTCTTTAACTTAAAATGTTACATTATTGGCTTTCTTGGGGCTACTCAATCATTGGAAAATTTAACCTTTAAATTTTTTAAATACATAACAATGATGGGGAGATCCCTGCAGCAAACTTAACTGTATGAAATTTCACCTGGGGCGATCCCGGCAGGTGTGAGCTACTTGACTAGAGAAATTAAACTTAACTGTATGAAATGTCACCTGGGGCGATCCCGGCAGGTGTAAGCTACTTGACTAGAGAAATTACCGACCTGGCAGGAATTAACCCATCTGATGTATTATTGAATTGGGGGAGTATAATTCCCCTTGAATTATAAAGGCCAAATTGAGTGAATTCATAATGAATGATGAATGAGTGAAAGCCCCCAAGAAATAATACCATATAAAAATATAAATTAGTTATAAGAAAACTATGACAAAGACTCAATGATACATTTATCATGATCTTTGCAAATAAACTTCTTATAAGTCCTGATGTATTGTCTTAAGAATGACTACGAAACTTTAGTTATAACCAAGGCATAACTGAGTTGTCCAAATAAGGAATAAACGCATTGCATCAGAGTCACTTTAAAGAAAGGAGGAGAAAGTATACGCCCCCATTCTCAAGTTAATTGTTACTTATACTAAGGCACCACTGGTTCAAACTGTTCTTTAATTGTAATCAGTCTTGGTGTTCTAAGTTTCACACCAAAAGCAAAGTACTACCCTGATAACAACATCACTGATTACTAGGCACTTTAGATTACATCCCTAATTCAACAAGTGAATGTTTCCAGTTCATCGAAGAGAACCAAAGAACGCTGTTAAAATGCACAGTGTTACAGTATCTATGAAACGTGAGGAAAACTCCTGTTGATAACATGTTGTACAAACACTGTAATAAGGATGATGTAAATGTTGGCCTGTTCATAGAAGCCTACATGTAAGTTGTTTATCTTGCTCCATGCAAATAGAAGGTAATCGCTCGATCCCTGTTGTGGTGTAGTTATGACAAGCAAATAATGATATCAAAACCTAGCTATATAATAATTGCAATTCTTTCCGATTCTTTCAGTGTGTTATAAAGTATATCAAATGGTTCTCGGTGATAGTAGAAAGACAGTTCATGGAACTCTGTATGCCCCTAATTCGAAATGATATAAACTTGTACATTTGATTAAATTTGTTGCGTTTAATGCTTAACGAAAGTTGCGTGACTGTCGTTCTAACACATTATACTATGATGACAGGAATCAAGGTATTGATTTCCTTTATATTCCGGTGCTATTGTTCTGAAGGCAGCCTCCGAATACGATAGGTTATTAATATCTGTATCTGTATCTGTATTTTTCTGTAAATAAAGAAAAAGAAAAAACGACCTGGGAAGTCCCAGTAGTCCTAAAATACTCCAGAGAGATCTAAGTGGAGATCCCAGCGGAGTTAAATATAATACATTAATACGTAATTATTAAGATAATAAACAAGCTGTGGCGATCCAGCAGGTGTATTGCCATATATACAAAGAGAATGAACGACCTGGGGCGATCCCGCAGGTGTATTACAATATATATAAAGTGAATGAATGACCTGTGGCGATCCAGCAGGTATAGTACAATATATATAAAGAGAATGAATGACCTGTGGCGATCCAGCAGGTGTAGTACAATATATATAAAGAGAATGAATAACCTGTGGCGATCCAGCAGGTGTAGTACAATATATATAAAGTGAATGAATGACCTGTGGCGATCCAGCAGGTGTGCAATATATATAAAGAGAATGAATGACCTGTGGCGATCCAGCAGGTGTACAATATATATAAAGAAAATGAATGACCTGTGGCGATCCAGCAGGTGTACATAAAGAGAATGAATGACCTGTGGCGATCCAGCAGGTGTAGTACAATATATATAAAGAGAATGAATGACCTGTGGCGATCCATCAGGTGTGCAACATATATAAAGAGAATGAATAACCTGTGGCGATCCAGCAGGTGTAGTACAATATATATAAAGTGAATGAATGACCTGTGGCGATCCAGCAGGTGTGCAATATATATAAAGAGAATGAATGACCTGTGGCGATCCAGCAGGTGTACAATATATATAAAGAGAATGAATGACCTGTGGCGATCCAGCAGGTATAGTACAATATATATAAAGAGAATGAATGACCTGTGGCGATCCAGCAGGTGTGCAATATATATAAAGAGAATGAATAACCTGTGGCGATCCAGCAGGTGTAGTACAATATATATAAAGTGAATGAATGACCTGTGGCGATCCAGCAGGTGTGCAATATATATAAAGAGAATGAATGACCTGTGGCGATCCAGCAGGTGTTGTGCAATATATATAAAGAGACTGAATGACCTGTGGCGATCCAGCAGGTGTAGTGCAATATATAAAGTGAATGAATAACCTGTGGCGATCCAGCAGGTGTAGTACAATATAAATAAATGAATGAATGAACTGTGGCGATCCAGCAGGTGTAGTGCAATATATATAAAGAGAATGAATGACCTGTGGCGATCCAGCAGGTGTAATGCAATATATATAAAGAGACTGAACGACCTGTGGCGATCCAGCCGGTGTAGTTCAATATATATAAGTGAATGTATGACCTGTGGCGATCCAGCAGGTGTAGTTCAATATATATAAAGTAAATGAATGACCTGTGGCGATCCAGCAGGTGTAGTGCAATATATATAAAGAGAATGAATGATTGACCTGTGGTGATCCAGCAGGTGTAGAACGATATATATAAAGAGAATGAATGACTTAGTGCAATATATATAAAGAGAATGAACGACCTGAAATATATTACAATTTATTACTTTACTGTATGAAATGTCCACCTGGGGAGATGCCAGCAGGTGTGGAGCAATCTAGAATAGAGATATAAACATGATAAATACTGTGTGCTACATGTACTATGTGCTGAAATATATACATATAAATACATATTGATGACTAATACTGCACGAAATGTTCACCTGGAGTGATCCCAGCAGGTGTGGAGCAATCTAGGATAGAGATATAAATACTGTGTGCTAGTATGTGCTGAAATATAATACATATAAATACATATTTATTACTTATACTGTACAAAATATTCACCTAGGGAGATCCCGGAAGGTGTAGAGTAATCTAGAATAGAGATATAAATAATGTGTGCTACTATGTGCTGAAATATATTACATATAATATATAGTATTATTTATACTATGTAACTGCTGTTATCCTGATATAAGGAGATGTATGTTTTGTTTATTAATAAAATATATAAATATTACTTATACTTAACAAAGGCAAAGTTTCCACCAATACAATATATTCAGTTGCATATCCTAAAGAAGTGCAGACATATATATGCATATCCTATACGTGTCCTCCAATCTCCATGCTGTTCTTCACTCCCTGCTGCAGTAGAATGGTAAACCCCAATGTGTAGTGTATGATCTACGAGTGCCGTAGGTGCTGTTGGACTAGTATTGATCGTGCTTGGAAAGACTTGCGGAATTTTTTATAGTTGCAAGGACTTATCTTGAACTACTGATTTGACACCTGTTTACTGTTGATTACCGTATGACGACATCTTCTTCTTCTCCTGGTACGGAATTGACCTCGTACATGTACTAATGTGATAATACTAACTCCGCTCGGTAAAGCAGGAGGCTTCTTCATTGAATAAAGTAAATATATGTTCTTTAATTAAATATAGTCATTGGGTTGCTGCTGTAATATTTTTGTTTCAACCAAAGGCAGTCTCTGCAAAATAACCGTAACAGATTCGTACATGTATGTATACTCTTTTATCACGATCACTGACTTCCCGAGTCTGGGCGGTAGGAACATGCTTATTCAAAGACGGTGAAGCGTTGAAGAGCCGACGCAATTGAATAACTGCCTGAAGAGCTGGGAGTGTGATTGTTTCTGATGTAGCAGGAGTACAAAAAAATGGAGTGTATGGAATTGTTGACTGCCGCCGACAAGTAGTTAAAACTGGCCAACCCAAAACTAGCGGGCTTATGTAATGATACTGTCATTTGGAATATTGTTTGACAAACAGATAATTATTTATTCAAAGCTGTAGATTAAAACGTTGAACGAAAGTTTACTCTTTGTCGTTCTAATCCCATAATTGTTATTTTGTTTACATTTTTTGCGGTGCATTGTGGGATCGCGCACTGGTCAATTGAGATGTAACTTCTAACATGCTGTCATGGCCGAAGGTTTCAAAAATCGAACTAAAGTCAATAAGCCATTCTCCTAGCGATAGTTGGGCATTTAATGTCCTTTGTTCTCAGCTCTGCACGAAATCTAGTTTAATTCCAGTTTCGAAAGTTCTGGATCATAAGACGAATGTTTCTGTTACCTGGGGGTTACCCATGGCACACTTGGAAAAGTGATACGTTGAGGAGATAATCATTACTCAATCAAATGAACAATATCCAATCACTATTTCAAAGAAACGTATATCCATCTCAATTGATTGTTAACATACGGATACTAAATAGATTTTCGAATATGGTTCGAAAACAGTAAATAATAGCTGATTAACATACATATGATACACGTGTAGGTAAGTTTGTCAATCTGATAATGAGGTCATCAAAACACATACCCCCTCTAGTAGTAAACAATAATAGAATCTAAAAATAGATTGACAGAGGCTTCTAAACTCTAGACAGAAGATAAATTGTGTTGTGTATAAACTATAATTTAATAAATCAAATTTCCTAAAGAACCCCATATATTCAATTTTGTTGAAATCAAACAAAGTTTAATTTTGGACCCCGATTTGGACCAACTTGAAAACTGGGCCCATAATCAAAAATCTAAATACATGTTTAGATTCAGCATATCAAAGAACCCTAAGAATTCAATTTTTGTTAAAATCAAACTAAGCCCAGCTTAATTTTGGACCCTTTGGACCCTTTGGACCTTAATGTAGACCAATTTGAAAACGGAACCAAAAATTAAGAATCTAAATACACGGTTAGATTCGGCATATCAAAGAACCCCAATAATTCAATTTTTGATGAAGTTTAATTTTGGACCCTTTGGACCTCAATGTGGACCAATTTAAAAACGGGGCCCAAAATCCAAAAACTAAATACACGGTTAGATTCAGCATATTAAAGAACCACAAGAATTCAAGAATAAAACCCCATTGAAATTGGTCAAGAAATAAGCAATTTATACGAAGTATCTTCTTTTGCACAGTACTGTGCAATTAAATATTTCTTGCTATTGCGCAATACTGTACAATTGACAATTTCTTGCTATTGCGCAATATTGTGCTATTGGATATTTCTTGCTATTGAAGATTTCTTGCTATTGCGCAATACTGTGCAATTGAAGATTTCTTGCTATTGTGCAATACTGTGCAATTGAAAATTTCTTCCTATTGCACAATACTTATTATATGATAATTTACACATCCTGTTTGGTGTGTATCTCCTACCATATCATTATTAGTTGCTTTTAAATATAAATCAGAAATAACCAACTTAAAATGGAAAATTTTAAAAGAAAAAAAAAAGGAAAAAAAGAAAAAAAAGGAAAAAAAAAAAAAACCCACCCCAAATTTTTTGAACCCCCTTATGATTCATCACACCCAAACTCAATCCCAGCCTTCCCTTTGTGGTATGGTGCCTTGCAGTACAATTTCAGACAGATCCATACACTTGAACACAAGTTATTGTCTGGAAACTAGAAAAATGTGTTTTTTGGCCCCTTTTTGGCCCCAAATTCCTAAACCTTTAGGGCAATTACCCCCAAACTCAAACCCAGCTTTCCCTTTGTGATATGGAACCTTGTAGTACAATTTCAGAAAGATCCATACACTTACACACAAGTTATTGTCCTGAAACTAGAAAAATGCTTGTTTTTTGCCCCTTTTTGGCCCTTAATTCCTAAAATATTGAGGCAATTACCTCCATCATCAATCCCAGTCTTCCCTTTGTGGTATGGTACCTTGCAGTACAATTTCAGAGAGATCCATACACTTGAACACAAGTTATTGTCTGGAAACTAGAAAAATTCTTATTTTTGGCCCCTTTTTGGCCCCCAATTCCTAAACGTTTCGGCAATTACCCCCAAACTCAATTCCAGCTTTCCCTTTGTGATTTGGAACCTTGTAGTACAATTTCAGAAAGATCCATACACTTACACACAAGTTATTGTCATGAAACTAGAAAAATGCTTGTTTTTTGCCCCTTTTTTGGCCCCTTATTCCTAAAATTATGAGGCAATTACCCCCAAAATCAATCCCAGCATTCCTTTTGTGATATGGAACCTTGTGGTACAATGTCAGAGAGATCCATACACTAACACACAAGTTATGTCTGGAAGTTACAAAAATGCTTATTTTTGGCCCCTTTTTGGCCGTTAATTCCTTTACTGTTGGTACCATAACCTACAAAATCAATCCCAACCTTCCTTTTGTGGTATTGAACCTTGTGGTAAAATTTCATAGAGATCCATTCACTTAAACTAAAGTTAGAGTGCGAAAACCAATGTGTCTTCGGACGACGCCGGACGACGCCAGACGACGACAACAACGACGCCAACGTCATACCAATATACGACCACAAATTTTTTTTTGCGGTCGTATAAAAAGGGGTGATTTTCCAGTTTTCGGACAATAACTCAAAAATGCTGTCAGCAATTCTCATGAAACTTTGGTGAACTGTTTATATCTATTGATGTAAGCTCCCTTTTGATTTTTATAAATATATAATATGACATTGAGAATTAATTGAACTTTATTTGTTTATAGTCTGACAACAGAATCACTAAGTATTGCGCAACAGCACAGTGTATTACACAACAGCAAGAAATCTTTAATTGACTACAAATTCAATTCATATAACCAATTTCAAGTTCTTTGACTACATTTATTCAGAAACCTATATGTCGAATATTTATTTACAATCCAAATTCAGACCTGTATCAAGCTTGAATATTTTGTCCATTTTTGCCCCAACTGTTCAGGGTTGGACCTCTGCGGGCATATCCAGCTGCGCTCAGCGAAGCAGTTTATTAAAATTGGAGTTATCTTCCTTTGTCCATGATTATAGTTGAATCAACTACAATCAATGCTTTATACAATGCAATGTTTAATTTTGACTTCCACTGATAAAACACAGATCAAGTTAGAATTTTGGTGGCGTCACTTTAACCGTTCTAGAATTATGCCCCTTTATAAATGGAAAAATTGCAAAATTTTTATTTTCTTCTAAATATCAAGTAATTTTTATACGCCACTAAGGGACGTATTATGGTATACCGTTGTCAGTCTGTCTGTCCGTCGTCAACATGTCGGACATTAACTCAAAATTGATTTAACCAATTTGCATAAAACTTTGGTGAATTGTTTATATTTGTTGAGGTGAGCTCCCTTTCGTTTTTTATAAATTTTAGATTTTACGTTTCTGAGTTTTGGGGTTTTATTCATTAAAAAAAGGGGGATTTTCCAGTTTTCGGACAATAACTCAAGAATGCGTTCACCAACTTGCAAGAAATTGTGGTGAATTGTTTATATCTATTGACATGAGTTCCCTTTCGAATTTTATAAATTTTAGATTTTACGTTTCCGATTTACAGGATATTATTCATAAAAAAGGAGGATTTTCCAGTTTTTGGACAAAAACTCAAAAATGCTTTCTGCAATTCTTATGAAACTTTAGTGAATTGTTTATATCTATTGATGTAAGCTCCCTTTAGAATTTTATAAACTTTTCATTTTACATTTCTGAGTTATGGGGTTTTATTCATTAAAAAAGGGGTGATTTTCCAGTTTTTGGACAATAACTCAAAAATGCTGTCAGCAATTCTCATGAAACTTTGGTGAATTGTTTATATCTATTGATGTAAGCTCCCTTTTGATTTTTATAAATATATAATATGACATTGAGAATTAATTGAACTTTATTTGTTTATAGTCTGACAACAGATTTACTAAGTATTGCGCAACAGCACAGTGTATTACACAACAGTAAGAAATCTTTAATTGAATATAAATTCAATTCATATAACCAATTTCAAGTTCTTTGACTACATTTATTCAGAAACCTATATGTCGAATATTTAATTACAAACCAAATTCAGACCTGTATCAAGCTTGAATATTGTGTCCATTTTTGCCCCAACTGTTCAGGGTTGGACCTCTGCGGGCGTATCCAGCTGCGCTCAGCGAAGCAGTTTATTAAAATTGGAGTTATCTTCCTTTGTCCATGATTATAGTTGAATCAACTACAATCAATGCTTTATACAATGCAATGTTTAATTTTGACTTCCACTGATAAAACACAGATCAAGTTGAATTTGGGTAGTGTCACTTTAACCATTATTGAGTTATGCCCCTTTATAAATCGAAAGATTGCAAAATTTATAGTTTCCATTCTGTAACTTAAGTTTGCCCCAACCAAACATTATGAAACCTATACACAATATTCATTACCACAAAACTATTAAAGATCAAGTACAAATTTTTTGTTTCCGTTTTCTAACTTTATATAAAAAAGAAGATGTGGTATGATTGCCAATGAGACAACTCTTCACAAGAGACCAAATGACACAGAAATTAACAACTATAGGTCACCGTACGGCCTTCAACAATGAGCAAAGCCCATGCCGCACAGTCAGCTATAAAAGGCCCCGAAATGACAATGTAAAACAATTCAAACGAGAAAACTAACGGCCTAATTTATGTACAAAAAATGAACGAATAACAAATATGTAACACATTAACAAACATCTACCACTGAATTACAGGCTCCTGACTTGGGACAGGCACATACATACAGAATGTGGCGGGGTTAAACATGTTAGCGGGATCCCAACCCTCCCCCTAACCTGGGACAGTGGTGTAACAGTACAACATAAGAACGAACTATAAAAAGCAGTTGAAAGAGGCTTAACTCATCAGATGGATAAAAATACAAATACTACAAATACAAGTGGACGTGGCCGAGTACATTTAGTTTGCCTCAACCAAATGTTATGAAACATATACACAATGCTTATTACTACATAATACAGATTAAGCACGAAATATGGTGGTGCACTTTTACCATTCTTGAGTTATGTCCCTTTATAAACATAAAAATTGCTGAATTTTTTAGTTTGTCTCAACCAAAGTTATAAAACTTATACACAACCATTCTAGAGTTATGTGTGTTTACAAATAGAAAAATTGCTGAATTTTTAGTTTTTGTTCTCTACTTAAGTTAGCCTCAACCAAATGTTATGAGACTTACACACAATGCTTATTACCACAAAACTCAGATCAAGTTCAAATTTGGGTGGAGTCACTTTTACCGTTCTTCAGTTATGTCTCTTTATAGCTATATGATATGCAAGCAGGGGCATCATCTGTGTTAACATGTGGACACTATCCACATTTATTTTTTTGTTTTTGTTTTTGCATCTTTTAAAACAAATCGTTAAAAGACTTAAATACAGTCTTCTTCACCAAAAAAATAAAGAAAATAGGTTGTCATACATATTTTTCTTTAACGATAAAGTTTAAATCTAACAAGATTTCAATAAAATTTCACAGATTTTCATATAAAAAAAAAAGTAATTGACATATGTTTCAAAAGATTACAAATACACAAAAATGTCAACTATATAAAGTCAAGAAAATGTTGTATGATTGCCAATGAGACATCTATTCACCAGAGACGGAATGACATAGATGTAAGCAACTATAAGTCACTGTACGGCTTCAACAATGAGCAAAACCCGTACCATAAAGTTAGCTAATAAGTTTGTTGCTGGAAAGGCTTTAGAAACATAAATTTGACTTAGAATGGCTCAAGTTTTATAATAATGATTTTTAGAAAATAAAAAGGAACTAACTAAAGTGAATTTGAAGCATGCAATTTTTCATCATTGCCAATTTCAATAGATAAATTAAAAGATGAAAAAAGAAAAAAAAATTGTATTAATCTGACTAAGACAGTTACCCAACAAAACAAACACATCAAAAATAGACATCTATATGTCATTGTTTGGTAATCAACAATGGAAAGTCATCCTTGCCTTACTAATTCTACTGCATTTGTACTGAACTTCTAAATGATTAATAATTTGTTTTTCATTTTCCCCGCAGTCAATTCCAGAAGTAACTGACATGAGTCAGTCTTCATCTACAGCTGATGGTGATTTAAATGATACATCAACAAACTTTGTACAGAATAATGTCATGTGTACACTCTCAGGTAAATACAAAACTCTGTACAGAATAATGTCAGGTGTACACGCTCAGGTAAATACAAAACTCTGTACAGAATAATGTCATGTGTACACGCTCAGGTAAATACAAAACTATGTACAAAATAATGTCATGTGTACACTCTCAGGTAAATACAAAACTTTGTACATAATAATGTCAAGTGTACATGCTCAGGTAAATACAAAACTTTGTACAGAATAATGTCATGTGAACACTTTAAGGTAAATACAAAACTATGTACAAAATAATGTCATGTGTACACTCTCAGGTAAATACAAAACTTTGTACAGAATAATATCATGTGTACATTCTCAAGTAAATACAAAACTTTGTACAGAAAAATATCATGTGTACATTCTCAGGTAAATTTACATAAAAACTTTTTACAACCCTCTCAGGTAAATTTATATACAAAACTTTGTACAACACTCAGGTAGATTTACATGCAAAAATAGGTACACCAATCTGATTAAAAGACAGATCCTGTGTTCAAGCTTTGCTCATGTTAAGCTTATGTGATACTTGTAGTAAAGCTTTATATTTAGGACTATCAACATAAAATCAATGGTCAGAAAGGCAGACGAGACATTTCAGCACGTGCACTTTTGTTCCATGAAAATACCGCAAATGATCACACACGATTTGAAATTATCGATTTCGAACAGTTACAAAAAGTTTTTTACCTAAATTCTCGTGGCGAGAAGGGGGGTTTGGACAATGTAGCAGTGCGAACTATAGAAGGCCCATTACGGTAAACAGAAATAAGAATGGAGTGTTTTCAGATCCTACATAAGCTTAGATTGGACACAGGATCTGTGTTTTAATCAGACTGTATGTACAGAATAATGACATGTTAATGCTCTCAGGGAAGGTTACATACAAAACGTTGGAACAAAACTTTGTACAGAATAATGACATGTTAATGCTCTCAGGGAAGTTTACATACAAAATGTTGGAACAAAACTTTGTACAGAATAATGACATGTTAATGCTCTCAGGGAAGGTTACATACACAATATAGGAACAAAACTTTGTACAGAATAATGCCATGTTAATGCTCTCAGGGAAGTTTACATACACAATATAGGAACAAAACTTTGTACAGAATAATGACATGATAATGCTCTCAGGGAAGGTTATATACACAATATAGGAACAAAACTTTGTACAGAATAATGACATGTTAATACTCTCAGGGAAGGTTACATACACAAGAGAACCAGAGGGACAGTCAAACTCATAGATCGAAAACAAACTGACAAAGCCATGGCCAAAAATAAAAATACAAACAGAAAATAATAGTACAGATGACACAATATAGAAAACCAAAGACTAAGCAACACGAACCCCACCAAAAAATGGGGTGATCTCAGGTGCTCCGGAAGGGTAAGCAGATCCTGCTCCACATGTTTTACCCGTCGTGTTGCTTATGTTATTACAAATCCGGTAAATAGTCTAATTCGGTAAGTCACATTCGTGAAAAGGGAGGGTATTGTAGTTACGACATAAGGAACATATCCGATATCATCTGTGAAACGGTTATTCCATAACAGTCAACCAACTCGTGATGGCATCCGTAAAATTTACGAAGGGATGATTTCAACTTCACCATTTGGAACTCTTGGTTTAATAGCTTCCTTGTGAGTAGCAATCCTCTATCAAGGATATCGTGATAGGAAACACAAGCCCGGGAATATTGTATCAATTGGGAGATATAAACTCCGTATGCAGGCGCTGCTGGAATGTTGCTACATAGAAATGGAAAGTTCACAATTGGGAAGCTGAAATCATCTCTTTTGTCATAAAGTTTTGTTTTCAAACGACCCTCATTGTCAATTTCTAGATGTAAGTCAAGATATGAGGCAGACTTAAATGTATCTGTAGTATCCTTTATCTGTAGTTCGATGGGATAGATTCGTTCAACATAGTCACCAAATTTTGTATTATTTAGTGAGAGAACATCATCTATATAGCGGAACGTAGAGTTAAAGGATATTGCTAACTTCTTATCTTTCTTCCTAAGAAGTTCCTGTATGAAGTCAGCCTCATAATAATAAAGAAACAATATAGGAACAAAACTTTGTACAGAATAACGACATGTTAATGCTCTCAGGGAAGTTTACATACAAAATATAGGAACAAAACTTTGTACAGAATAATGACATGTTAATGCTCTCAGGGAAGTTTACATACACAATATAGGAACAAAACTTTGTACAGAATAACGACATGTTAATGCTCTCAGGGAAGTTTACATACACAATATAGGAACAAAACTTTGTACAGAATAATGACATGTTAATGCTCTCAGGGAAGGTTATATACAAAACGTTGGAACAAAACTTTGTACAGAATAATGACATGTTAATGATCTCAGGGAAGTTTACATACAAAATATAGGAACAAAACTTTGTACAGAATAATGACATGTTCATGCTCTCAGGAAAGGTTACATACAAAATGTTGGAACAAAACTTTGTACAGAATCATGACATGTTCATGCTCTCAGGGAAGGTTACATACAAAATGTTGCAACAAAACTTTGTACAGAATAATGCCATGCTCTCAGATTTATCAAAGTGAATTTAAGTTATCAGGAAAGCCATTATATTCTTGCTATTGTTACTATTTCAAGGGCCATGACTACAATATCAACATGCATACTAACTTGGCATGTATTTTATTACTGAAAATATCATTCCAAATATTAATCTATTTATTATTTATTTGTGTGCAGCAATTATGATTTATTACTTATAGAATATTTTTTTAAACTCTGAGTACCAACTAAAAAGTTCAGTTCAAACTAATTCAACAAAATTGTCATAAGCTATCTGCTATTGAAGGTAAATTGTCACAATATTTCTCAATAAATCATTCAGTATATGATCAGTTTCCACAACAAAAAACCCAGAAATCATGCATTCCTGCTCCTTCATCATCATTACAGATCAAAGAAATGACTTCATAATTAAATTGCTTTTATCTTATGTGAAGGACAAACTAACATTTAATATTCCCTGTCATGAAGATATCTTGCTCCAAGTGAAAATGCTACACCCTGTGATGCATTTACACTTCCATTGCTCATTATCAACCTGTTAACCCAATACTTATAAGTTGGGTATCATTAGTGAGCAATAGCTCACCCTTCACTTTATTTTGCCTGTGTTTGATCAGCATAAATATCAGTTGGACTGTGTATATACTCATAAGAACATTCAGAATGTCCTTGTTACAGTCCAAATTGAATTATTTAGCATAGTATGATCTACAAGTACATTCATTACAGATCCGATGCTGCCATCTGGAGGAGGTGATCTGATTGGATCTTCATCTGATGCTGAGATTGACAAGACACATCACCATGATTCAGATTTGGAACATTCCAATACTGCCTAGACATTGTAGAAATACATGTATTAAACCTAGCATTGCCTAGCACCTGTCTGATCAAAATTTCTATATAAAAAAAGAAACCTCAAAAGCATAATATACATCTTGTTGTTTTGGTGCATATTTTGTGAATTGGACAATAAAGATTATGATGATCATAAATAAAGATTTCTGGAGCTATATGTCGAAGTATTTTCTGCTTTCATAAAAATGGCATAATATTAACAATACTTCAAAAAGTACAATGTATGAAAACATGTTTTGGTGTTTAAGAATAATAATGATCTAACAGAATTCTGTACTTTTATATTACAAATTTCTGTTATTTGTCAATTTACAGTGTTTATATTGATATATTTCCTAAGCATATGTGCTCAAATCATGCCTTGTAAGTTTAAAAGTGCTAAGTTTCAAATAAGATATGTAAAATGTCTGTATCTGCATTTCAGAGTGGGATTAATTCCATGATTTAGGATCAGCTTTATATATTATTCACTTTAAATTTATTTATTTTGAATGTTTCTTTCCTTATTTATTTGTTTATAGAAATGACACTTGATGAAATATACTACCTAATAATATTTACTGTGTTGACAGTACATCTCTTTGTATTTACTGTGCAATTTACATTTATGTTGTGTTTTTGTTTTCCAATTTCTTCACGTTTATTTGCATAGTTGATTTGTTTAATGTTAAATTCAATTAAAAGTTGAGAACTTTACCATAGTTAATATGATACATGTATTGATTGTGATAGAAAAGCATTTATTTGTAATTTTTATGTTTGTCAATTTGTTGAAATAAAAATTATTTTGTGACTTTAAACCTGTATCTACTGTTTCCTGCAACAGAATCTTGTACTGTCAATAACCAATTGTTTAGAGAACAATTGAAGGTCTTTCAACCTCACATGTTGAAGGTTTAAATGAAATTTTATACAGATATTCGAAACTTTTTGTTTAATTAAAAAAAAGGAACCTTCTTAAACAAAAAAGGTGTCAGAAGATGACTTTTTTTCACAGATACCAACAGTACATAGTTTGTAGTTCTCTTCTTTGAAACAAGGGGGATGATCTGCTACTTCAGGTTTAAAGTAGTCACTTCTGGTGTCATCTGATAGCTTACCTTTCACCTGATTCCACAAATATATGGTATATATGTATTATCCTGTGAAATAAGGGAGATAATTTGCTACTTCCAGTTTAAAAATGTCATTTCCATTTCATATAGAAGGTTGATTCACAGCGTTTTCTGAAAATATATGGTTTATAGGTACATAAAATCTGTGCAAAAAAATGCTACTTCCCGTTTACATAAGGTCACTTCTGGTTGACCATTGTCAAGGTCATATGTCATCCATCCTATTGGAAACGACCTTATGGCTTTATCATGTACCAGTAAGAGGTTATAGCAAAGAAAATCAAGAACGCCAAATCTAACATTGACCATGACCTCAATTTCAAAGTCAGAGGTTATGGACCCCAGGTCCATAATAGGTATGGTGAACAAGTTGTCCTACTAAACAGCTTATTTTGAATATTTAAGGGAAAAAACTTCTATAAAGTCACCACAGCATTTCGGCCCAAATGTATTGGAGTAGACTAATGTTGAAACAAAAACATTTGGAAAAATCCTGCGAATACTTTTACAGTTTCTGAGGAATTATGATAACAAGCAAAGTTTAAAATTTACCAGTTGACATTCACCTCAATGTCCTGCTTATTGACCAAGGACCTTATATCAAAAGCAGCTGGGTCTCTATGACTCATGATTAATGAGTTACTCCTACACATCACTTGTGTCAAATACAATAAAGGAAATTACTGTTATGACATGTAACTGTTCAGCTTTGGTCCAAAAACAGATCATCCTGAGGAAGTAAACATTTTGAAGACAAAATTTATGTGATGTTACTTTTTCTGAGTTCAGAGGTTTTCTATGGGAAGGGATAAACAAGAAAAATAGTATACAGGGAGATAACTCCCATATGGAAAAGTGTTCATTATCACTGAACTAGTATATATATTTGTTTAGGGGCCAGCTGAAGGACGCCTCCGGGTGCGGGAATTTCTCGCTGCATTGAAGACCTGTTGGTGGCCTTCTGCTGTTGTCTGTTCTGTGGTCGGGTTGTTGTCTCTTTGACACATTCCCCATTTCCATTCTCAATTTTAAGTTTCAAAAGCGCATAAACTGTTCGATACCATTTACCAGATATCTTATCATCATGTTGCAAAACAAATGTAGCAGAAGAAAACAAAATAATCAGAAACAAAATCCAAAAAGGTCTCTACGTAAAGGAGGAAAAATCTAATAATTGATCTCTTTCTCAGTTTTCGCATAAGACTTCAGTTGTGGTCACATCATGTTTTCACTAAGTACACATGTTGATAATGATGTGAACTATGGAAATTATATACCAAATTATGGTTTTTACCCAGATTTCACAGTTCACAGAACATGGAAATGTGATAGTGCGAGAGGGGCATGTTCCTATATCCTTGCTAAACTAAAGATACCACATTGCTGAGGTCAACATACAGTTTTCCACAATCACTGCTTTTCTAGAGAATCACCATCAATATACATTTATATAAAAATAAGATGTGGTATGATTGTCAATGAAACAACTATCTACCAGAGACGAAATGTCATAGACATAACAAGTCAATCTGATTAAAATGTAGGTCAGAGCCATCCTGTGTTGATGCTTTGTTTTCAGATAATGATTTCATCAAAGAAATTTCTGCCTCCAAATTTTTGACAGTATGTATCATGACCAAACCAAGGGATCCCAAATCGTCTTAAAAATAGAATGTAGAACAGAGCATTGCCAGACCCTTGTAAGCAAGGCGTAGGTACAGGGCCTGTATTTCAAACAGACTTACCCTATAAAAGTTTAAAGACTTGGTTTTATATGCTGAATTATTAAGCTGATGCAGCCAATTTCATCATCAATTTTGCAATACACAGAACTGAAATGTATGATCAATGAGACCCTGAACTTTGGATGTCTGACAACATACTTCAATATTGGCAGTAGATGGATATACAATTTTTGGGCAAGCCTTTTTTATTCACACATACTGGTAACCAGTTTACCTTTAAATAAACAAATCAGATTATAAAAAAGCAATATATTTTATTTTTAAAATAAAGTAACAATTAATCCATTTCATGGATTACATATATAAAGCATGTGTAATGAGGATATACATAAATACATATACAACCATAAGTTATTCACGAGCATGCATGTAAATATTAAATATTAGTTTATGGTATCCTGAGACTCTATTTATTGTTTCCCAAGTCATGAATGTACAAGTTTCCACATAAACAAAGAAGAATTATTGTTATTGCATTGTAAATTATCATTTTCCTGAATTTTGGCTCCAAGTCACCCTGTCTATACCAGTAAATCTGTGAAAAAATAAATATAACACAATTATTGCACATTAATCAATAAAATATGGAATGGATTTTAAATGTGTAATAATAAAACAATTCACTATTTCCTGAGGATTATCAAAATCGTACCGCTTACTTGCTATTGTTTATTCATATGTTGCGTGGACGCGACAAATGAGAAAACGGGACCGATGAGATATTTGATTTTAATCAGCCTTCACCATTTCAGAATTTAAAGCATTCAGGGTTATATTTCAAAAACATACATGAACATTCAAAAGTTGTTATTGACAACATCCAAAACAAGAATTAAACCAATAACACCAGTTAAACCTCTAAGATCAATATGAGCTATAACTTACGAGTTATGTACTCATATGTACCTACAAAATTTATAGCTCATATTGATCTTGTCTGTCTTTTAAACTTAAAACAAAAACTGTAAATAAAAATTTTGTTGCTCTAGAAGTCATTTGGTGTTAGTGTTAACTCTCAAGTACATGCATTTTTACACAATTGAAATTCTTCTTTTAAATTTTCTACCAAAAAAAATCATGAATATCTTTTAAAATATGGATTTAAGAAAGCAATCATAGAAAAGTTTATCTGAAGCAGTTTTAGCATTTGAGAAACTACATAACCTATAATCTATAACATGATCTAATTTTGTACCTACCAAGAATAAATGTGATCCACAAATAAGCACAATAATACAGGCAAAAAATACATTGACTCCATTTATTTTTCCTGGAGGAAATATAAAGGCACTTATTAAGGTGACCTGAAACAGAACATTACAATAAAAGTACATTTTGGTATATATATAATTAATTGTACAACTTAATGATTTCCAAAATCACTGAAACAATGAATTATGATAAACCTACAAGTATTATATATATCTAAGCTTACGAAAACAAAGGATATATATATTTTTTTAGCTAAAATTTGTTTTCATGAAGTTTTAAACTTGAAGGTAGATACTTGAATTAAGTTGTATGATTAAAATATGTTTATTGTTTGTAATGTCTTATTGATTGATGTTTTGGTGTTTTAACACCACTTTCAGCACTATTAGCTATTTCCTGGCAACCAGTTTTATTGGTGGAGGAAGATGAACTGCAACAGAGAGGCCCACCATCCTTTGGCAAGAAAATTGGCAATCCTATTCTATTTAGAGTGTAGTAGAACCCACCTACAATGTGTGGGGTTTGAACTCACAACATCAGTGTTGACAGGCTAGTAGTAGAGTTGTTTAACTACTTAGACCACTCGGCCACCAAGGCCCCTTGTTGTGGCTATAGATGTATTTTGTTAAAGGATAGAGTTTGTTTTGTAATTTCTGATAATGTTTTAACTGATGATCTATTTGTTGGATTTTAATAATTACCTTGCTTTCATAAATATAAGTAAAGGGCTCTTGTTTGGATATCACTGTTTTGCACTGCGAAAATTAAACAATTCCCATTTTTTTTATCAATCGAAAAATGATATATACATGTATTTTCCATGAATTTTACTGTCAAATCAAGCTTGTATTTTCATAAGAAATTACAAGAAAAACATCTTTATCAAGATATATATTAAAAGCAATGTCTATGCACATGAATGCAAACCAAATTAGATTATTTGAAAAAGGAAATGTTACAAAATTTCAGGAAATGTTTAATACTACAAAATGATGATTTGTTGAGAAACAACAATCAATTCTGCAGAGAGAAGAAAATTTATATATAAATTTTATTTTAGAGTCAGAAGGCATTGTCATTACCATTTTGTTAATTACTTATCAGTAAACTATTAAACCAAGGGTTCCAAGTGGTATAGTTTAAGTCATCAAGTGGAACTTCTTTGTTTTAAGGTCATTTGTTTTTCTTTTTTGCCATGGCATTGTCAGATTCTCTTTGTCTTATGAATTTTAAATTTCCCCTAAATATCTTCCAACATCTTTTTTATCAGAGTGCCAAGGGTAAATAGATATTCAGTGAAACTTTACCACAACATGCCTTCTTCAAACCCGTTCTTGTTTTATTTTTTCATGTTTTTTCATGTTGCATGCTCAGAAGTGTCTCCTACAACTTACTTCTTACATCTTAGTTAAGTTCAATGGCATACCAGTAGAGAGATAGAATGCATCTTTTGAAGATTGCAACTGGGGTCAGTCTGAATGTCATTGGAAAAATGGGAAACCAATCTACTGTAAATTTTCCATGATTTGTTAACCTTCCCTTCTTAACTTGAATAGCCTTTTAAACAATCCTGATGTTTAAAAATAAAAATATATTTTAATTTGATTTAAAAATATCTATTTCAAAATTGGTACATGTATTGTGGATACCATTTTTTCTAAATTAGCTTTTAAATTTAACAAAAATTCTCATATCTAATTTCTTTGATTTATCAATGTTATATTAAATTATACTTACAACTACTGCAATTGAAGTGAAAACGCCAACAATTAGGTTCAGCATACGGTCCTGAAATAAAAATATGATTTTTTCAGTATTGATAATTAAACCTTACAATTCTGGTTTAAAGTGATTCATCAATAAAACATTCAACATGTCAGACTGTTACCTATTGTTATTTTATTGCACACTGACTTCATCTGTTTTCTTTTTTATTGTCTTGTTTTTGTCATTTAAATTTATTTCAGTGATACATGTACAATGTACATTAATTTGTTTATCTCACCAGCTTTACACCATATTTTAAGGCAATAATTTGACTGCCACAATAACTATATGAGAGTGGCTCAATGATCACTTTACAAGATTACAAGAACTGTTTAAGCACACCTGATTAGTAAGCTTCACAATAAACTGTGTTACATTGTATTACTTTAAATTCAATACAACCTGTTAGAACTGCAAAATTTACTTGAAAATCATTGGAAATGACCTGCATGTATTAAGATGCTCATTCAACATAATTCTAAATATAATGGTTATCATAACCTTATCAGGGAAATTAGTATTACTTAAATTATCATGAATTAGTGATATTGAAATCACTTGTTTCAGTTAAGTTTTGTTCATAATAATTGAAAATAAGAGTTATCTACCTTTATTACTACTGCAATTACAAAAATGTGCAACACATTTACACATAATGTACATGTAAAAGAGTGATTTTATATTGTGTTACCTTTTCTCCAATTCAAAGTATATGTCATAAAGAATATAGCAGAGATAAACAAACTGAGCATAATTACTCTTATATCATTAAACATTTTAAAACTAGAAAATGTACTGTTACATGTATCTGGACCTTCATGCAAAAATCACTTTTATCATGTTTATTGAGAAATAAGGTAATTTTCTGCTCAGAAATTACTTCTTTAAGTAAGATTTTTTATCTGACCCCAGGTATTTTCACCATCTTTAGATCACTAGATTTTGATTGAGAACACTACTTTCTTTCTGCATAATCTCAAAGCTGAATTATTGGTTTTCAGGAATAATACTGCCCAGCCCCTATATGCTGAAGAAAGAGTAAAACATATGTACACCATGTACACAGGGTCCAATTCTTAAATTCCCTTGAATAAAAATTATTCTTCATATTAATAAATTATATTTAGAAACTGCAAAGGATGGATGCTAATGAGACTATTAACCATATCAATGGTCTTAAATCAACTGTATCATAAATAGTTCAACTTTTATATAGCTGAAAAATGAATTAAGGATAAACCCTGTACACAAATACAATGTATAAGGCTTAACTGAATGTTATATGATTTTTAGAAATGACTCTGATTAAAAAAAAAAAAAAATTTGAAAAATATGTTGGTACTGTACAAATTTATATGAACTTATAAGAAATCTGGTTTAAAATACTGCGAACATGTGTTTAGTCTATATGATAAGAAATGATAAACATGCAGTTGGCCCATATGGTACAAGATGGCTATGTATGGCATGAGAATCCATTTCAATTTGCCCAATTGCCAAATCGCCCCAACTTTCTACCAACTTGTTCCACTCATGTTAACAAACTTGCCCCACTAATGTAAAGCAGTATAATTCCCCCTGTATTTAAACCTATCAACTCCTCCATCTTATAAAAAGTGATCATACATTGTATCTATTGAATGCAACAGCTGTCTTATGTGGCAAGTTACAATGTAGCAGACCTTTATTCAGCTGGATTTAACTCGTTTTAGTTAGTGGGGCTAGTTGGCAGGCCTTTATTCAGCAAGATATGGATCCATTTCATTAGTGGGGCAAGTTTGCAGGCATTAATTCAATGGAATTCAACTCCTTTTCATTATTGTGGAGCGAGTTGCTTAACATGAGTGCAGGAAGTTTGGGGCAATTTGGCAGTGGGCTAGTTCATAAGTTGTCTTGCTTTCATGGTATGAAATGGCAATTTATGGTACAAAAAGACCAGCATTAAAGAAGGGAAAAAGACAAATCTTAACAAAAACATAACAATGTCAGATGTAAGAATTGCAGTCAAGAAGTCTACAAAATTGAAATTCCAAAGTTTATGGACAATCAGTGAAACTGGGAGACAACTTTTCAATCTGGTACTTATTGCTGGGAAGAATGTACAACTTGACGCACCAAACCCCCAAATAGGAAGAATATTGTCAGAACTGAGAACAGATTACAGCAGATTTAATAAATACTGAAACCAAATAGGTCAATCCCTCACACATACCTATCACTGAAAATGAAAATGTAGGTCATGACCTATATTGAATAAGGAAATCTCAGGTCATAACGCATACAAACTTTTTTCAGCTGAAGTTTTTAGGGGACAATTTTTATATTTTAAAATCGAAAAGTTTCCAAAACATGTTCACATGGTTAAGTATTTATTGAAAATAATTTAAAACTTTGATTTTATTTTTTAATTGCACTTATTAATCATTAAAATATTAATTTCTTATACCATATCTATTCCAGGCATACCCCCTCTAAATGTTATATTCACAAAGTTTTAAATCAACCTTGCTTCATGCTTTGTCATAGCTAAGTCACTCTAAAGAGCTTTACTATATATTACATTTAAAAGTAGTTTATATTAGTTGATATTTAATTTAAAATTGAAGCATTCAAAGGAAGTAGAGATGAAAAAAATCTGTCCTTAGAAAATTGAAATCATTTAAGTAATATTCTTATATATCATTGCATTCAATTTGCCTTAGATTTAATCTATTTTTCAAAGAAACATCACTTAAGGTAGCACAATACAAAGATTGTATACCTCCAACTCCCCAGATTTAAAATGCTGTAACTTTCTTTATAATGCTTGAAAATTTATAAAAGTTATATTTATGGATAGCTAACAGATTACTGTTTCAAATTAATGCAATGTTAGTATTATACAACAATTATGTAATTAATTATAATTTTAACTGTGTCTACAAAATTTTACAAGAAATTTCCACTTCAATTGAAATTAGCTTCTTCATGGATACCTTGAGAGGGTTGATTTTATAATATGTTGTTCCTAGTGCCATTATCTACAAAAGTGTGTCTCAGATTTTGGATAGAATGTATAGATCAAATTTTACACCTAATCAAATAATTTCTACTTTTATGTGGTAAGGATGTTTACACTAATTACAGATTTATGAGGGAATGGAATATGATAGTGATAATTTGAGACACCCTTTTGTAGCTCCTGCTGTGTTGATTAAGATAACGTTAAAATTTCTTGTGTAGTTATAGAGATGTCAGAGCTAAATTCATTCAAGTGAACTGACCAAGATTTTGCCATTAATTGCATAATAATTGATTACATAATGATTACATAACAAAAATATTGTATTCATTTAAAAGATTAATCTTTTATCTATCTATATATACCTCTTTTATTAATGTGTATATGCAGTCATAAGAAAGTAACATCATTTTAAAGGTTGGAGATTGTAAAAAAATCTTTGTATTGTGCTACCTTAAATATAGTTTTTACTGTCAGACTGTGAAATGTAGCAAAAAGGGGAATAACTCAAATTTTTTGTCAAACATCTTTGAAATATTACACAAATTATTTATGACTTTAGGTTAAGGTAATTGGTGTTAAATAACTATGTGTTTGACACCAAAGCTGTCAAGTGAAATGAACTTAATGGGTCACTTGATTTGACAGTTTACACTGCTAGTTGAACTTCCTGTCAAAGAAGAATTCTTCCAGAATTATGAATTTGCCAGTATTTCAAAGGAAAATCACTTATGAAATATATCATTTCATACTTAAAAAGTCTCAAGGCACAAGAATACTGGTGAAAACGGGTCAAATGCCAAAATAACAGGTTATTTGATGACTCATGCAACTATAGAAAAGTCGCGGGTGTGACATGCAAAATCAGAGCCAGTTGACAGTTTAGTCCAAATAATTACAGCTGAATTATGACGTCTTGAAAGGCTGTTTTAATATTTTTTCTGTGACGCCTTATTTTAATTTATGAAGTCTTGAGAGATTATTCTAATTCTGTGACGCTTCACAGAAACAAATTAAAATAGCCTTTCAAGACGTCATAATTATTTGGACTATTGACAAGTATGCTCACACCATATATTGTGAATGCGGGCCGCCATGGATTTTTCTAGCATTCCACAGGGTACGGTATTCGGACCCAATCCCAATGGCAAATACCCTACATTTTTCCCAATTTTGGGAGCAAAATTCCCAAACGATCTCAAAATTTATTTCATCTTTATTATTCATGACAGCGATGTTCATTTTGTTCAACCGCTAGCTTTATGCCGAAAATCGCCAACAAGTAATGTGTAAATCCGAGTAAAATCGTATATGACTGACAAAAACAACATTGAAAAACAACGGATGCCATAAACCGGAAATGAAGACATTACAATACCAGGTCAATTCCCGGGACGGATAAGGGTATTTCCGGGTTTGCCGATCAAATACAATAAAAAAATAATAATTCCAGGCAGGTGACAAAATACATGTTGATGATGAAATATAAACACTAGAATTAAAAACCAAAAGATATATGGGAAAACAAGAAAAAACAGGAAATAATTTATACAGAAACTCAAAATTACTTTTAGTCATTTAGTCAAGGATTTGTATTGTTTTAGTTCACAAATTTTCAAGTCAAAATCCAATAAAATGTGACAGTAATTTTCCTAATCATCAATAAATGTTGATATTACATGTAGATGTTTTTATAGTGTAAACATACAACTACAATTCCAAGAGGTAATTTCTTCTCAATTTTGAAGGGCCAGTAAAATTCTGGAAGTTTCTTAATTTATTTTCACAATAAAAGATAACTTTTAATGAACTAAACACACTTAAGCTCAAATCTGGTATATTTGCTGTTTTCCCAATTTCATTGAAAAGCGCGTGAAAAAATTTCCAAAACTGGCCAGGGTCCTCTTTCCCAAAATACACAGAAAAAACCCTGCCAATATCAAGAGCTGGCAAGCCCTGAATCCCGATCCAGCATCTAAACAAGTATTTTAAAGTACCTTGATGAACAGTGTACCATAAAGCTTCAATAAGGAAACAAAATAGTATCGCGAGACAAGTTGTCAAACTTGACCGTATGATCAGGATCAGGGTGGCTCTACATGTCTCTAATGAAAAATGATATGCCTATAACAAATATAACAACTTCATTTTATTACCCTTGGTTGTGGCTCTCCAAACAAGGGTCTTTCAGCAGAATCATCATATTTAGTAGAGCTCATTGTTACAAAGTCAAAGGACTGTTAATCATTAATAGTAACACATCATATCGGTTTACACAAACTGTCATGCGTAGAAAACTTGCGGATCTGTATTTCTATAATAGTGTTCATCAAAGAAGCTCAATTAAACAAGTTTCCATTATCAGGGGACTTTTGACAGTTGTTTAAAATAGTTAAAACGAAACTTCCTGTTTCATGTGATAACCGGAAGTATACAACTGGTTACTAATCCGGGACCAAAGACGGACAACTCTGATCTAATTCAGGATGTGATGATAAGCAAGTTTTTCACCTTTTCAGATGAGATTGAAATGTTTAAAGGTATCTAATGATTTGATTTATTTTCAGCAACACATTGATGACAAAATATACAATTAATATATGAAAATATCAGAAATGAAAGGCTTTTTTATGTTATGAAAGGGAAGGTAGGGAAGACAACTCTAGATATCAACCAACATTTTTATCCTGATATCTAAGAATTTATATATATTTAACAACTTACAATAATTTTTAATAATGAGCTTAATGACATCTGAAATTGACTCTTTTGTTCTTAAATTTCAATATTGACTCTTTCAGTTACCGTGAAATAACAACTGATTCACTACTAATAATAAAATTTAAATATCATTAAGTATCATTTTGTTATATTTTTATTTCATTAACCACAGTCAGGGGACTTATTGAAATAAGTGATTTTTAAATCACTTATTTAAGTAGCAAATTCAAAGTTTTGTGACAAATTGTGATTTTGTAGTTTACCAAAATTTTAAACACATAGGTTTAGATAATATCTTTTCATTAGTAAAATTGGAAAAAAATTAACTTTTTGCTTCTTTTAAGCAGCAAGGTTTGTGCCTTTTATGAAATCATTTAGCTGCAAATTCTATTTTAGTTGAAAAAATGCTATAAAAATGGCTTTACACAATGAACTGTTACTTTCTAAACCCATTTTTCCCAGCAGTGGGAGTATTTTTCCTGTAAAATTTAAGGTTTCATCTTATAGATTATGTAATTTTAAATTCTACTGTTCGCTATCAAAATTTCACTGTTCTGGGGTGTTGAAAATAGTGGGGGTTATTAAAATAATGATACTTAAAGAAGTGATTTTTTTGGAAGGAAATTGAGGTATGATACTTAAACAAGTGATTTTTATGTCATTATCCTAGATTTAGTACAAGGTCATCACCTGACATGACCCGGTCATCCTATCAACACAGATGTTGGTTCTGATAATTTTAGCAACATAATTAGTCCCTGGATCATTAGTATTCTATATTTAAAGCTACAATAAAATTAAATCACTTAGTCTAGTGATTAATTTGTACTACTTAAATAGGTGATTATTAAAGAAAGACAACTCTTACTTCCAACCTTTATGGACATAATGTTACTTGAATCAGTGATTTAAAAAATCATTCATTTAAGTAAGTCTCCTGACTGTTAAATAAATATTCTACAAATAATCCTTAATTTTCTATCATGTCTATCAGTCCAAATAATTATGATGTCTGTGACAATTAAAGTAGCTTTTCAAGACATCATTATTATTCGGACTAATGGAAGATTTAGTCCAAATAATTACATCATGTACGTTACTCAGGAAGGCGTCGCAGCAAAAGATTAAAAAAGCCTTTCAAGACGTCTTAATTATTTGGACTAATCTTCCATACATATACTGTCTACATTCAACATGTTGAATATTCTGGTCCAAATAGTTTTTTTTCTATTCTTCATTGTATTGTTTATATTCATGTGCATAACACTTACAACTTGAACTGGAGAGGTGATCAATGGTGATTTAGTACTCACAAATACCAGTGCCGTCAAGTCGTACACATTTTCATGCTTATTTGATCTTTGATCTTTACAATTTTTGCCAAATCTCACGCATTTTCTTCATGAAAACTTGACAGCCCTGCAAATACCCCTGCCCACAGAAACTGAGAGATCATGATTTTGTCTAGTTCCATTAAAATTTCAAAAAAGGTTCTAACATGTCTAAGTTTATTATCAAGCAACCATAATTTTTTAATTTTTCCAATAATCAAGTGCTGTAACTCTGGAAGGTTTTAGGTAAAAATGAGGAAAATCAATCTTGTCATCCAGAAACCACAAAATATTGAATTTTTTCAATGATCAATAGCCATAATTCTGGAATGGTAAATGTGAAAACAACAAAAAATTAACTTCATTGTGTTTAGTGACTTGTATGCCACAACAGTATTTTTATACTTCATTTGCATAGTACTTTCTTGGTTATAATAAGTTCAAATTAAGCAGTACATCTATGTCATATTAATGTGTTTATGCTTATATGCAGGCAAAAGAAAATAACACAAACTAACATCTCCATGGATAAGTTAAAATTCCATGCAACAGATGCAAAATCAACCCAATCAAGAAACAAAGTATATGAAAATATCCAGACAGGGTCTCTTTTTTTATGTCAAATATATTAATCTGATTCAATTTCACAGAGGTACATTATAATACCTATAGATTTTCATCTACCTTTAGTACATATATCGCATGTAAGTGTCTGATAAATACATTTTGTACATGTACTGTGCACCACTCTCAAAAAGTCCTCATATATTATCTGATGAGTTTGAATCTTCCATTTACCTGCTAAAATTTTTATTGACAGGTGTCATAAAAATCCTTTTTAATCTTAATTGAAGAGGTCACAGGTGGTATAATTTACAAATGAGAAATATGAAAAAAATTGTATATCAGAGACTGTTGACCTTCCCATGGACTGAAACAAGTGCCTGTGCCTGCTTAGGCTGCTAATAATTTTAGAAATTTGTATGTTGACATTAGTACTGTATGAATCAGAACACCAGCATGAACAGTTGCTACATGATATATAAAATTGAGAGTTGAAACGGGGAATGCGTAAAAGAGACAACAACCCGACCATAGAGCAGAAAACAGACCAAGGCCACCAATGGGTCTTTAACACATATATATATAGGTCATAAAATCATGTAAGAATTTGAACTTAATCTTATTATTCAGATTTCCTGTAATTAACCAGCTATTGAAGATTTTGTGCTCAAACTGTTCCTTTCTAATTTAATATGTTTAATATTTTACAGGAGAAACAGTTTCTTCAAGTAGAACCTTTAAAATATGTAAAGATTATCAGCTCCTTATAAATGTATGTACTTTAAAATAAACATGATAAATGTATATATTGTCAGTTTCAAATGTAATGAAATTAAGTTAATCATCTAATGGACTAATTAGTTTCGATTGAAAAAGTTTTAGAAAGAAAAATAGTTTCTGATACTGATATGAATGTATGAAAGAGGTTTTAGAGGAGAATAAAATTTACATTTGAATGATTCATGATGATAACAGGTTTGCAAGATAGGTATCAACGGCATTTGCATATATTTAAATCATATCTACATGTATGTCATCACAATAAAATGACTCATGTTATTGCCATGATTACAGGACTGTAATATTTATCAATTAATTAAAATTGTGTTTAATCCACTCTTGTGAAACACAATACCAGTACACATATGACTTATAATTGATTTTTTTCAATAAGTCAAAACATATGGTGTAGTCTGTTGAACTTTCCAATATTTAAAAGGAATTCCCATTGGTGGGTCCAGGGGGGTGTTCCGGGGGTTGGATCGGCGCCTGATTCCTGTTATCTTTTTACGTATAATATCTATCAACATGAGTAAAGTGGGGCTTTGATGACTTGGTGATTATAGTATAAAATACGTAATAGTATACCGTACAGATCATGTTAGCATGTAGTAAAACTTGCTTCTGGCAGTGGTTTGCAAAAAATAAGATATCTAGTTGGCAATTGTTAGTCAATGATGAATAGACAAACATTATGATCAATAGAAAAAAAATAAAAAGTAAGACAATATTAAAAAAATATAGCATGATAAACATAGATTAGCAAAGAGCCATAAACAAGGTGCACTTAATCATCAACAATGTGACAGTGCATGTTAGTTGCTGAAAATTGTATATTTTCCCAAAGTTCTCCCATTTCCTGCACCGTACAAAATCTGATTGACATGAAATTCTAGAAAATTAGCATTAAACTCATTTTCACACTAACAACTATATATATTTCCAAAACGGAACAGAATTATAATTATATCTCAAATTTTCAGCTAAGCAAGGTACATTGTAAGTGTAAATAAACAAATTGGTTTCTTATAAGTAGGAAGGAAAATTAACTATGATATAGATCTCATTTTCTTTCAGAAATGACAATCTTAAATTGACAGTAAACATGGCAGAATGTAAAGATTTTATTAACTGGATGTCAAGATTACCGGAGCATTTACATACTGTTCCACTCAACCAGTTGGCTATTCCAGGTATGTTTTACTATTGATATTCTTCTTACTAGATTTGTTTGACATTGAACTGAATTCAGTTAGTTAAATCAGGAGACATAAGTAGGAAAGTAAAATTACAAAATGGTGCAGAAAATAACAGATGTGGTCATGTTACTGATTGATATTGATTTTAAAACTATGCATTAGGGTTTTAATATTTATATTGAAGTTTTACTTTCGAAAGTACAATTATATACAACTGTATTTTTTGGTTCCAAAGGACATTTTTTTAAAACTTTATATTCTCTTTAACTTTTTAGACATTTCTTTTTAATACTTATACCAGTGGTTAGTTTTAATGGTATGGGAATAAAAAATGTCTTCAGTGACTTATGAAATCCAACTATCACATACAGATATCATCCAGAAGATTCTGTAGATGTATACTGCTCTTTTTTTTAAGGTAGAAGAAATCTTTTCATTAACTACCAAGAACCTCCCTGTTATCTTTATCTCTTCTCTGTCATGTAGAAAATGCCATTTTTAAACATGTGTGATATTGAAAACTTATTTTGTTTCTTCATATGAATAAACATGATACATGAAGATATGGAGTAAACACCAACAAATGAGACAGCAGCCCACTGACACAAATTGCCAAAACACACATTAAGGGCAACATACACTTTCCAAAAATATACAGGAGGCTATACAGTATGTCAAGCTCTCAACCATTCATGGTCAAAACATTTTGAATAGATTAAACAAAAAGTTTTAAAGACTAATTCCATCAGCACTAAATCTTCTTAATAACATTAAGATATGAAATATCTGGTTTACACCCAGTTTAATAATCAAATTGTTGATAACATTCAACTTTTATTGCTTAAAGCACAATTAACGTATGTATGTCTTTATTACCATACATCAAGGTCCCTTTTTCAGAATTAGTTGCAAGTGATATATTTTTACACACATTTTTACTTTTGACAGCTGTGGTAAGTTGTATGCAGCAGCAACTGGCATATATTAACAGATTTTAAGCCCCTGTCTTATGACTTGATATGAAATTAAGTTATGATATACAGCATCTTTGCTTGGCTTTTTGACTCAATGTGCCTTGTCTTTTACACCATGAAAAATGTGAAATATAACTATCACTTTCATCCATTATTTATCCGTTGGCAATGATTAGCATGTTTACTTTTCATATTTTCATCGACGTCATCAATAAAACCAATTATATGACACCAATATTTGTACTGTCTTTTTAAATTCTATTTTTTAGTCCAGACTATTAACCAGCATGGCAATTTGTGGGTATCTTCTCTGAAACTGTTCATCAAAATGAGGAATGAATATTTGCAATCTCGTTAAAATCAGCTGTTAGTTTTCTCTAGGATACATTCATATCACAACATAGGATTTTAATCAGATTTGGATATTTGGGTATTCCCATTTCAAAACTCTGAAACTATAACTATAAGAACCTGCTAGTAATTCAAGATGACATTTAATTAACTGAATTTGACTGAGACAATTTCTTTTTTTTTTAAACTGCTTAACTTTATTAAATCAATTTGGGTAGGAGAAATGCTTTATATTACTTTTTCAACAATGTTGACCTCTGTTACTAAAAATAAATTATTTCAAATTAAATATTTTTGAAATTCTGATTAGGTCAATGACATGACATGACCAATTTTAACCAGTTTTAACAGAAAGTTCTTAAGATTACATTTCAATATGTCTGTTGACCTCTGACATCTACCAACAATCCCGTCTTCCATATTATAAATAGCCTTTTGATACTGCTTAGCAGATACTCCTAAAATTTATAAAAAGTACCGGAGTTGCTCAACTTTCAGGAACGTATCATAATTGCTAGGTGAACAATAATAGCTAATCCTTGAGCCTTCTTAAGTGAATAACAAGTATCAAAAGCACATGCTTTACATTTACAAATTATTTTTTCTTTTATTGTTTAATAATTTGTGGCAATCATCATGCTGGAAATAATATACTCATAACAAAATTTGGCTTTATGCTTATTACAACTTGCTTGTTCAGAAATACCTTTCTGGATTTTCTTTGACCTTATTCTACTTGATATTTAATACAACTTCAATTTTAAATGCTGCACCTTGATCTTCCTTCTTGATATTTGTGTAACAGCAGTAATGTTAGCCTGGCATCCTGACCCAATCTAATACTTTGTCGATAGGGCCAGGTGTAATACAATCCACGTGACCAACTTTCAGCGCTGAACAGGACTGAATTACTGCACATGTGCGTGTTTTATTTACAAGGAATATATCGATTGGATCATTAATTAACTGTTGATTCACGATGTTTATCAATAATGTTTGGATTATACTTGCTAAATATTTCGAAATTTGCATTTCATATGAAATTAAAAAAAATTTTCAATAAATTCATGGCAATAAAAATATTTCCCGCCATGTGTCAAGAAATGACGCTATCCCATGATGCATCATTCTAACATCCAATTGACGAAACCATGTTGTTGTATTCCGCCTGGCTCTACTGTCAAGCAGTGAGCAAGGCTACAGTTATGTATGATTTTTGTTATTGTTTTGAAATTTAGACCAAACGTAATAAAAGTTTGAGAGATCAGAAGTTATCTTCTAAAGTTGTAAGCCTTAAATCAGACCAAAACATTTGAATTGAGTGGGAAATCAAATGTCAAAATATTACCTCCCCTGTAAACACTGAAAACTCTATCTTTTCAATGTTAAATGTCAAGTAGTTTCTTCTTATTAAGTCCTTACACAGTGAAGTAAATTTGATATTTAGCAATTTCATATAGAAGCTAGCAACTGTCCTAATTCCAAGCAAAGTATATATACAGTCCATTGCATAATTATATTACAACTGCATGGATATGTTGATAAAAATGCTAGTAGAATTGATTCATGTAAACTATTGATGTGTTTTTAAGTTGTATACAGTTTTCAAGCATAGTGAAAACCTCTATTTTCTGTGGTAAAAATAAATTATGATTTGAAAATAAAGCGTACAAGTCTACAAAAATTTTTAAAGAAGGATAAAAACAAAGAGACTTTTCATGTGAGCATTTTACAGTCTACACATAGAGCTAGCTTCAAAACAATGTGATTGATAACCTTATGACATTTAGTGGAGATAATTTTTTGTTTGTTCATTTTTCAAATCTATATGCATGCACTGCAATCCAAAAATGAAATACGGTTGAAAGATAACGGCATATATAAAACTTGCTTTTTGATCATCCTCCACAAAGATTAGACAAAAATGTGTGTAACAGTTATCCATCATTCGATTGAATATACCTTTAAATTGTCTAGTATCACTCAACAGTTGTCATTGTCTCCATATTTATCTCAGGAAAATAAGTTTTTTGTCTCGCCTGTGTTAAGTTTTCTGCTTAAGTCAGTTTGATAGAAACTTCTTGTGATAGATTAATGATATTTTCTATAAAGTTACATTACTGTCAATACAAATCAGTTTAATGAAAAATTCAAGGCCCTGTGCCCTAGGTCATGGTCCAGTGACTTTGAATTCTTGCAATGTTGCTGGCCATCAAGTTGTCTTTTTTCAAATTTTCTGCAGAGAGGAGATTCATATCTGTGTGTCAACAGTCAATACAGTTTATTAAATATATCAATTAACATGATTTAAAATGTAGTTCAATAATTGAATGGTAGCTGTATATGTCCTGTTGCGTTTAATACTAATACATTGCTTTTTGTGTTGATATTTTTTTATATTTATATAGGCAGAGATTCCTTTTCAATCTGATGACTGAATTTGATTTTTAGTATCAGTAGATGTTGGTTTGTATTTGGGTGACAGCCATTCTTCATGAGGATCTGGATGGGGGTTTACAGAATTGAGAATTATGGGTAAAAAATAAAGAGTAGAGAATAATAGGGTGCTAAAATATAAGGAATAGAGAAAAATGGCCTAAAAAAATAAAGAATACAAAAATGAAGGACCCCCATCCAGACCCTCCTTCATGGTGCCTAGCTTCTTATGAAATGTGAAAATGTCACTATTTTTATTCAATTATTAGATTATTAAATATCATTTTGTGTTTTGCATTTTCAGGAAGTCACAATTCATATTCATATGAGTTGGACACAAGCTCAGAGATAGGGCCAGACAAGGCTGATATCAGACCATTTATTTCAATGTTTGGAGATATGGGGAAATCTGTGATGAAAGAATGGTCAGTTACCCAGTACCTGACATTCCGACAACAATTAGAACATGGTGTTAGATACTTTGATCTAAGAGTAGCATCAAGAAAGGACAAAGAAGGCATATTCTTTTTGCATTCTTTATATGGCATGCCAGTAACATCTGGGTTAGATGAAATCAAATCTTTTCTGGATGAACATCCAAAAGAAATAATATTATTGGATTTTAATCATCTCTTTGATATGACTTTAAATCACCATGAAAAACTATTAGATTTGATTTTAAGAACATTCGAAAGTAAAATGTGTCCACATTTAGACATGGAAAGTGTTAATTTATCTATGATGTGGGAACAGGGTTTACAAGTGATTGTGTTTTATCACAATGATGTTATCAAAGGCAATATGATGTTTTGGCCAAACACTTCGATAAAAGCTCCATGGGCAAATACTACAAATGTACACGATCTTATTACTTTCCTTGAGTCAAATTATAAGTCGAGCAAAACAACAGACGTGTTTAACGTGACACAAGGAGTTCTCACTCCAGGAGCTGGTACCATCATGGCACATTTGAATAGCAGTTTACACAATGTTCTTGCTGAGAAAGTAGCTCCTCGAGTTGTTATGTGGTTGAAAGAGAAACAGACCGGAGTTCATGGTATCAATGTTTGTATGATTGATTTTGTAGAAAAAGCAAACTTCATTCCAAATGTGTTAAAACTAAATAAATAATGTTGTAATAAATGTTCTATTAAAAATTTATCATCACTCCACTCCATTTTTAAATGTTTTTTTCATACTGTGGAATCATTATCATGATTGTTATTTATGGGATATCAATTTTTTCATGGATTTTTTAGGTTAAGGGAAACCATGAATTTAAATGTTCAACGAAATACAAATTTTTTATAGGCTTGTATGAAAACTTTGAAAAACCACAAAATCAAATGTCCATGAAAAAACTATTTTTCCTCAATCCATGAAAATAAATGAATCCACAGTAGTATACCACAAAATAAGGGAGATAAAGGATATGGGTTATATCTATGTTTTGAAAAATTGTCATTGAGATAGATGTTCAATATTATTTGTCAGGTATTTTAGTTCATAAATATGTTGTGAAATATATTTAAAAATAAAAAAATTGAAAACACTTTATAACTTTTATGCATCAGAAGGGCTTTTCTAGTTTTGCCTTCATCAGGAACGCTCAAAGTTCGATATCTGAAAGCCAAGGATGTATAAGAACCAAGCAGTTGAAGAGCTATATGACCAGAATTGACCTAAAATATAGCTAAATTTATCTTATTAAAATGAAGATTATCTAGACAAGATTTCATTCAAATTTGAAAACAACAAGAATAAAAGGAAATGTGGAATATACATTATGAGATATAATAACGAAGTTCTGTTTAAAAGAATTTGACTAAGGCAAGTTTACAGTTTGTTAAGATGGATCATTACTATATGTTTTCCTCAGATAGAATGTTCTTATAATTTGCCAAAATGTAGTTTTACCATGCTTTTTTAAAAAATATAATAGAAAGTAAGGGTCACCATGCTATTTTTCAAGTTACATTAGTCATGCAAAATTTATATTTTTGCATGATAGATTATTCATTTAAAAAACACTTTTTTTGAATAAAAGAAGTCAATGAGATAGAATTTTGAAATGAAATATGAGAAGATATGTTTTAAAATATGCTTTTAGGAAATAGAATAAAAAATGGTGTCATCAAACTTGTTTTCTTGCTACAGTCGAACAAAAACAAGTATTTGGTATTTGTTAAAACAGTCTAGATAATGCAAAAAATCACTTATTATACGACCGCAAAAAAAATTTTGTGGTCGTATATTGGTATGACGTTGGCGTTGTCGTCATCGTCCGGCGTCGTCCAAAGACACATTGGTTTTCGCACTCTAACTTTAGTTTAAGTGAATGGATCTCTATGAAATTTTACCACAAGGTTCAATACCACAAAAGGAAGGTTGGGATTGATTTTGGGCGTTATGGTACCAACAGTAAAGGAATAAGGGGCCAAAAATAAGCAAACATAACTTGTGTGTTAGTGTATGGATCTCTCTGACATTGTACCACATGGTTCCATATCACAAAAGGAATGCTGGGATTGATTTTGGGGGTAATTGCCTCAAAATTTTAGGAATTAGGGGCCAAAAAAGGGGCAAAAAACAAGCATTTTTCTAGTTTCATGACAATAACTTGTGTGTAAGTGTATGGATCTTTCTGAAATTGTACTACAAGGTTCCATATCACAAAGGGAAAGCTGGAATTGAGTTTGGGGGTAATTGCCGAAACGTTTAGGAATTGGGGGCCAAAAATAAGCATTTTTAGGCAGTTAAGCTGCCTTATGCGAGCACCCTAGATTTGTGTTCTACCCAATAAATGCTGAAATACGTGCCATTGTTATTATCTACCTGGATATAATGTTATTTATAACTAATTGAATAGTTTTTTCATACTTTTAATTCTGGATTACAAAAATATGACCAGAAAAAACCTTAAATGATCGTCGAACCACCCAAAAGTTTTGAAGTTGCACATAGGAAGTAGAGCACATTAGGAATCCTTATGTAGTTTATTATCCCCTGTGCTTTTGGCTAAGATGTCAAAGAACAATTGTATGAAATATTTAATCGCCGAAAATCTTTAAAGACAAGTAGTTTAGATTTCCCAAATGGCAAAAGTCGTAGGAATATTGTTTGTCGTCAATACGTGGTACAACTACGTCAGTAGTCTATTAATAAGTTCAACTGTTCATGCTGTTGGCGGCAATTTCAAATTAGAAGACGAAATTTTCGTATCATTTCAATTTGGAGGCAGGGGTTCAAATTAGCGGTGGTCCGAGGTCCGCGACCTTCCACTTTTGCAATCGGACTCTCGACTTGGTTACTAGCTACGCCCGACGGACCTTTCACTTGAAAGAAATTAAAATAACTTTGCAAACCTTTTTACCAAAGTTTCTAAATAAACGATCTCAAAACGTATTTTCATCTTTATTATTCATAACAGCGATGTTCATTTTGTTCAACCGCTAGCTTTATACAGATAATCGCCGACAAGTAATGTGTAAATTCGAGTAAAATCGTATCTGACTGACAAAAACAACATCGAAAAACAATGGATGCCGTGTAGACAATTACAATATCGGGTCCGATTCCGGAAGCGGATAAGGGTAATTCCGGGTTTTGGAGATCAACTACAAAAAAAAAATTTCAGGCAGGTGACAAAATACATCTATGCATGGTAAATAAATATAAACACTAGAAATGGAAACCAAAAGATATATGTAAAAGAAAGAAAAAGCAAAAAATATTTGATACAGAAACTCAAAATTACTTTCTGACAAATTTTAATGTCCAAATCCAATACAATGTGACAGCTGGGAACAGTATATCTAACAATATATATGTTCCTGGTGACAGTATAAATCTTCTTTATCAGTGATAAATGTTGATAATGCATGAAAGATGCTTTTAAAGTGTAAACATATTACTGCAATTTTTTTCTCAATTTTGAAGGGTCAGTTAAAATAGCTGGAAGTTTCTTACTTTGTTTTCACAAATAGTGCAACTAGATTATATGATACCTGAATGTAAGCAAATCATATGATATATAGGTGGAATCCTTTGGGTCACTCTACCCCCTCCTGTTTGATAACTTTGAAACGGATGAGATCCCCACTCCTAAACCATATATATTCATGTATGGGACTATATAACTAATCAAATGAAATATAGGGGGAAGTCCCTAGGGTTACCCCACCCCTCCTGTTTGAGAACTTGGAAACAGTCGAGATCCCCACCCCTAAACCATATATATTCATGTATGGGACAATATAACTAATCAAATGAAATACAGGGGAGTCCCTGGGGTCACCCCAACCCTCCTGTTTGGGAACTTTGAAATGGTCGAGATCCCCACCCCTAAACCAAATATATTCATGTATGGGACAATATAATAAATCAAATGAAATATAGAGGGAGTCCCTGCGGTCACCCCACCCCTCCTGTTTGAGAATTTGGAGACGGTCAAGATCCCAAGACAAGACAAGACAATTTATTTAAACTTAAGCACACGTATGGTGCTACAAGAGGATAACAATTATACATTAGCAATTACATATATACTTATACATTTACAAGCAAGACACACAATAAATAAATAAGTGATATCATACAATAAAATTGAAATAAACCATATTTGGTTGATTTGTTTGCAAAATTCTTAATTGCAACGTGGATATGAAGTTATTGTAACATGCTTTGTATTATGAAAATATTTTTTCAATATGTCTTAGAAACATGCACACTTTTGTTAGCAGTGGCACGTTACAGTGTGATAATAGACCAGTAAGTTTCAATTGGGAAGGATTTTGTGTGTAATATGTAGGTATATACCTTTCTCTTAAAGACATAATTTGTTCATTGGAGCATACAAAAAAATAATGATCCCATAAACCATACATATTCATGTATGTGACAATATAACAAATGAAATGAAATATAGGGGGAGTCCTTGGGGGTCACCCCACCCCTCCTGTTTGAGAACTTGGAAACGGTCGAGATCCCCACCCCTTAACCATATATATTCATGTATGGGACAATATAACAAATCATATGAAATATAGGTTGAGTGCTTGGGGCCACTCTACCCCTTCCTGTTTGAGAATTTGAAAACGGTCGAGATCCCCACCCTAAACCATATATATTCATGTATGGGACAATATAACAAATCAAATGAAATATAGGGGCAGGTCCTATGGTCACTGTAAACCATCCTGTTTGAGAACTTGGAAACGGTCGAGATCCTCACCCCGAAACCATATATATTCATGTATGGGACTATATAACAAATCAAATGAAATATAGGGGAGTCCCTGCAGTCACCCCACCCCTCCTGTTTGAGAACTTGGAAACAGTCGAGATCCCGACCTCTAAATTAAACCATATATATTCATGTATGGGACAGCAGAACTTATCAAATGAAATATTGTCCTGTTTGATAACTTGGAAACAGATGAGATCCCCACCCCTAAACCATATATACTCATGTATTTGGCAATATAACAAATCAAATGAAATATAGGGGAAGTCACTGGGGTCACCCCACCCCCTCCTGTTTGAAAACTTGATAACGGCCGAGATCCCCACCCCTAAACCATATATATATTCATGTATGGGACAACATAAAAAATCAAATGAAATATAGGGGTAGTCCCTAAGGTCACCCCATCCCCTCTTGTGTGTGTTTTAAGAACTTGTAAAAGTTTGAGATACCAACTCCTAAACCATATTCATTCCTGTTCGTCATTTCAAACAGATTTGAATGACATACAAGGTCAATCTCATAGGCATCACATATGCATATCACTTTACTAGACCTAATCAATGTGTACTAGACTTTGCCCAATGTCAGGCGACCATGGGAATGAATAATTATGGGAGCTTTGTTTGGGAGACTTCGTAACAGCATTCTGTTACAATTATTTCTTGTTTATTATAAAATTTTATTGATGCAAAAAATGAGTAGGTTTAAAGAATTTACCTTAATTATATTTTGAATAATTTCTGGTTCTATAAAAAATTTCATTTTAATATGGCTCATTTTAAAGAAAACATATCTTTCAAGCCCAAGAATGTTTGACCAACTTTATTATAATCACCTGTCATTTTATTCCAAACTTAGACATCATGGACTTGGGGTGAAGGCGGGGGTTATTTACATTTACTATGGGTAGGTCAGTCAGACCTCACCTTTGATCCCCGTAGTAGTAAACATTTGTCTGATTTGTGTCTCATAACTTTTGCACTGTAGAACACAAACTCAGTTTTCTTTCCAGGGAAGCAAGTCCATGCATACTATTACAAGCTCGTACTAAGTCAACTTGAACTACTAACAGTCAACTAATACCAACGTTAACTATCAACTAGAATAACTGCAATCATTTCGAACTTGTACCACTGCAGACACATGACCATTAAAAATATACTTGATATATGCATTGCTTTGGAAAACCTTGATAAAATATGAATTATTTGCCTTAATAATTAATTCATTAAATGAACATAAATGTACAATATATGAATGTTTAATGTTTGTTCTTTTAAATCTTAAAAAAAATGAAGCAACAT